GTGAGAGTGTTGAGAGAAAGGGCATAGTGTTGTTCTGCTAAATTGGCGTTACCTTGTCCGTCCATCCGTCAGTAACTATTACCACTAGTAACTACTAGGTAATACCGTTAATATATATCTTATAGTCGATATCTTAATATAACTATAGAAAAATTCATTGTTCTGAATAAACAATTTCTGTTACTATTTCTCGTATTTTAGCGTTAGCTATATGTAGTGAATTTAAATGAATAAATGAAATTACTAGATACAGTATTGTGAATCTTAGTCCTCAAAAATGGTTAAAAATACCATTATAATGATTATGTTACCGTTCAAGTCTATAACCGATTATTACCACTTTCGACAAGATGTATTATGATTGTTTGCGATTTCCAATTCGTTAAAAATGGTTACCTGAATATTACTTTTAACGATTTTATATTTATTATAATTTAACATATGATCAATTTTATTAATATTATTTACTCATAACTGTTATCTGTATTAGTTGTGGATTTGTTTCTTTTTTATTATTTTGGACTGGTTCATATTGGTAATAACATAGAGCCCTTGACAGTCTACGTGTTTTCTCAGCAAAATACGTAATTATGCATTAATTACTAAGAAATGGACACAAAACCTACGTTCACACGTATTGTATGGCGATTCATGTGTTTATGATTCCCATGCGGTAAGATGATTGGTATTGAATAAACATGTTTTTATAGCAATGACCTTAGGTTAATCGCCACAGCTCTGTAAACAATTGAAGGTTTGTTGAATTCATCAACATGAACTGCTGTTATTAAGGGATGTTTATATTTTATATATCACATTTCATGAAAATAATTTCAATTATACTTAAATATTACCATATATATGTCTACATTTTGTTTATGATCAATCTTAAACATGATATGGAAAAAAAACTTAAACAAGTTAAATTTCTGCATAATTTTGTCATAAAGCGTATACTTAATATTTACATAATTATACATCAATGAATTACAAAAAGAACAAATTAAGAAAATCGCGTGATCTCACCATCTTTTATTATTAGTTATTATTGAGTTCCCGATAAATTCTGGTTGGAGCAACAAACTAAATGTATAAATGTAAAATAATATATCTTTAATCTATTTCTTAATAATTTAGCATCCGACTGCTTCTCTTTAGCTCAACCGTGATTATGGCGATTAAAACACTGCTTAAATATGGGGTACTCAATAAGATCCTGTGATTATCTTAACTTTATGGGTACCGACCAGGAAAAAAAGTTTCCAATTTGACTTTATTATTTCTGTATATTAAATCATATCATAATTCATAACTTATTGAATGTTTTTCTTAGGAATTTTATGTTCTCATACGGGCTATAATTTGGTTATGATATAAGTCGGCCATTTTTATGAAATTTATTTTAAATGTTATCTATGTATGTATGTAAGTTATGGTTTATCATTAATTTGTGTCTGTGTCTTGAGGATTGCTATATATGTTTATCCAGTTTCTGTTTTTAACATTCAATTTGACTACTATTTTACCGACAATAAAGTGCCGTTCTATATAGGACTCTATCCATAACAAATTATTTTAAATATGACACTTTTGAAAATTCCCTCTTACTTGGTCTATTAATAGATTGACGTGGGTTTTTTTAATAATCTATCTTTTCTACATACTAGGATGACTATGGAGTTATATTTATTTAAGATATATATTGAGGCAATTCTATTAGTACATATCTACGTGATATTACAGACATGATAAAGTGTCCAGTATGCATTTCTGCATACAATGGTCATGAGTCGAGCGTCTGATCACGTCTGCTAAGTCAGCTGCAATATCGATGCACTTATTATACCTATTAGTACCTACACGTAATCATTATTAATTTTGTATAATAATATTTTATTTAATTCTTATTCTTTTTTAAGGAAAGTTTTTGTACAAAAATATCTAGGTAGACAACCTCTGCCTATTTCTGCCAGTAAGTAATTTGCTTTGTAAGATATGTTCTGGTTTGAACTTGGACCATATTACGCTGGAATTATAGGGATAGAGACTTAACGCTTTACATCTCATTGGAATGGCAATGCATATGTAAATTACTGTACATGTGGCATGAAAACATGATCATGTCTATTAGTTACGATTGCCACTTTCCATGAGATGAGTCGTCAGTTTGTTATTCATGTGTAAAAAATAAACCTAGCCTAAGTGACTTGTTATTTATAAAAAATGCTAACTGAAAACAATTTTATGTGACGATATAATCGCACCTTATGACAACCGGATTGTCCACTTATTTCTCCATAATAAATATGCTTACCACCCGGTTGTTGTTAAGTCTTTTGATTATCAATCGGACCACACGGGTTTCCCCCTCTAAATTACTGAATCATTTTATACCAATATTTTATAATAATTTTATATCACATACCTACCGCGTGGAATACACACCACAAATATTACGTGTATTCGTTATTAGAATCTAGTAGTTTATTCGCAAAATAAATACGAAGCATTCCATGTTTTTATAGATTATCAGCATTTGATCTGATTAAAAAATAACATTTATGTTCCCGGTATAGTATCTTAACTTTATCATCTTATAAACTTGATGAAAAGTTATCAAATATTGTAAAATTTGAAGCAATTAAATATTTTGTATTTAAATATATATGATATAAAAGTCTTCTCCATAATCTATCAAATGTTTATCACTTATCCAAGGATAGAAATATATCATATCAATTAACCTATTCTTAATGGAATCTACACCGCAAATCTCAATTACAAATATAAGAAACAAAGTTTAAAGTCTATGTCCATAGGTCTAAATTTATATCCACATTGCCTCTTACTTCATACACTTTCATTTTCATTTGAAGGCTGCGGGCAGTTTCCGTAGATTTCACGTCTTCCTCGTAGTATATCGTCTACTTGATTTTAATAATATATATTATATTTAATAGTACTAGTAGCTTTTGGCTACAATATCATTCAACAAACGATATTCGCTGTGTGGAGTACCAGTAGAGGATGATAGGATGAGCATAAAATTTGGTCATCGTAACAAATTCAGCAGGTGATGGTTTCTAGGGGATACCCTCTGAAGGTCTACATGATGTGCTACATTGTCTAGATAATAGAGCCGTCACTAGATTGTTTAACGAAAGTTCGCGACACACAGCACTTATCTGTACACTTATTGTATTGATGCCTGGATTTATTTATGACTGGATTCCACGCAGATGATAATTTTAAGAAATTGGGATGTTTTTTAATATCGTCTCCCGGACCATTCGTGGGTAATAGTGGCGAAGAGAGGACCTTACTAGTTCAATCCAGTGATTTGTTCCTGCGTTCAGTAGATGATCGGCAATCGCTGATTTGTGTGGTTGTCGATTTTTAACATCGATGTGCTCTTTGACTCTCTCGATTGATCGTTTTGTTTGGCCAATATAAGAGCTACCACAACTACAGTCAATTTTGTAGACCTTTATGTTGTTCGTTAACAAATTTATAAAACTGTTCCAATTTTGTCCGTTATTCCTCTTAAGTAAGTCATGTACGCTTGTCTGTTCATTCCGGTTTTTTAGCTTTTGTTACTCTGATTTGTTAAGACCCGGTTAATAATTTAAATAATGTATATTAAACACGAAAGTTTAAAATTAACTATTGCAAATCGATCAGAATTGTCTACCGTCCCTTTATGACAAAGTAAAATATGTGTCCATTTTTAATTAGCAAACAGAATTAAATTAAATTATTTATTTATATTTAAGTTAAATTAGCGCGCGTGATTAATATTTATTTAATTCATTCATTAAGTTGTCCAAGTTTTATGGACTTAGTTTTTTCCGGATAGTCATGTAAAATGCATGTTGGTATGTACAATTTTAGTAGGTATAGGTAGGTAACCAGTTTCACTTATTTCTACATATACATTAGATTAGCTAATAGTTACTAATTGTGAATGTATTTGTTTGGATATCTACGAAATGATATTAGTTAAAATCTCTATATATATATATATATATATATATATATATATATATATAAGTAAATAAGTAAAGATAGATAAACAAACTCATCACGAATAGATTTCTAAAATTTATAAAAAATCATTAAGTTAATAGACATGACAAATCTTAATTGATACTTACTTTCTCGATTGTAATAGTAGCAATGATAGTATCGCTAAAATCGCGATCGATTAAATCAAGATACCTAAGTCTCATTTCAATTCACCCCCTCTCTAAAATCTCTTATTCTCCCTTTTTTCTCTTTTCTTTGTGAAGAAAGTTGAAGTTTTGTATTTCTAATTTTAATGACAACACCAGTTGCTCCTTAATCTTAATCTAGGTCTTAATTGTTTCAATCGCTACGTCAAATCGATTACTAATCAAATTGACGTCTCTGACGAAACAATTATAGACGTAGGACGTAACGGACGTCAGTCGGTGCTATTCCACTTACCAAGGTCAGCACGCTGTAGAACGAGATGGACGTAGTTTTAATTGTTCCGTCGCGTAATTTATCGTAATAATTTCGCCATAGTGACCGTGGACGACATGTCAAAACGACGATGTCGCACGCTGTCTGAATGATGATGCCTTTGCTTCTTGAATTAAAAATGAGTTTGAATAGACAAAGGGTATGTATTTATGGTCGTCGTTTGGTACGAGCTAGCGTATAAGCATCCATTTTTCTATAATGTACCTACTGAGATGACAAGGTCTTTGCCCTTCTATGGTGCTAAGAAGATTTCCTTGAATATTGCGGGTTCAAATGTTGAACTCTAAAGAACACCTGCGTCCTTTAAAGTAATATAATTTAAAATTTAAATGTATAAATCTATTAGTCTTCTTAATCATGTACTTGGATGGAACCTATTAGGTATATACTGTCTACTTCGTTTGCGTTGATTTAATTTAATTATGTTAATTATTCTTTAGGCTACATTCTTTTTTTCGAATAAACTGTTAACAGACTTTGTTTCTTGTCCACAGAGAGACCTCGCCTCCGTCGCCCATCGGCGACGAGAAGGAGTCCAAAATGAGCCAAATACAGTTCTCTGTGCCGTTCGAAAAACAAGATTCCACGGTGAGTTTAAACACAAACGTAATGAATTAATATTAAGAATTTATTTTAATTATTAATGTACTGTTTAATGAGTACTATTGTATGTGTGGTTTCGGTTCGACATAGTATATATCATACATACATATAAACTACATTTTTAATTTTATTTTATTGTATGTTAAATACACGTATGCCTGTGTTGACTGGAGAGAATTCTTGGCAATTTATGTAAATACATCATGTGATGTTTTTATATTGATGATGCTTTTTACTAAGTTTATGATACTTCAGTAGATTGCATGTAGTCTCGGCCCAACACTGAACACCAATGTGATCCTGCAAGTATGCGATTAAAGTAGAGGAAAACCTCCTTTGCAGGAAAACGCGGATAGAATTTATACGTCTGTGCGGGCCTTGGTAACATAAACTAAAAACTGTTTTAACTGTTCACTATTAGATTTCAAAATTATCTACATCTTCAAAATCATTGACCTTTGGAAATATCTAAATACCTATTAAAATGGACATGGTAACCGAGGGACAATAATGTGCAAATACAATGTTTAGTAAAGCAAATCCATTACGAAAATCAATACCGTTTCACGAGTTAACCGACCCATACTTACGAAGTGTAATCATTTATAAATATTTACTATACAGAGCCCTCTATATAAATTTACAGGAACATCCATAAAATATTATCATATGTATCATGTATTTAGTATAGCTCAATATTTGCAAAGGTATAAAATAAAGAGGATATTTATTAACACTTCATATGTCAGCAACACTTGAAGCCTTATCGATCGTCGCGACGGGTAAAGCAAACATCCATGTTGATTTTTAAATATTTTATATGTTAGAAAACATTAAAATATACATGTATAGCACGCATTATTGTTCAAATGAGCAAACAAGCAAAGAGGCTGCCGATTTTTTAACATTTTCAGAAATCTAATATTAAGCAGTAGCTGAAAATTAGATTTCTGAAAATGTTAAAATTCTTTTTTGAGCCTTCTTTAGTAAAATAGGCTTAATAATGCGCGTATAGTTTGGTAAACATTATAGTAACTGTTAAATTATCAAAAGTCGAACGTCGTTTATAGAAGCGTGTATAAACTTTTATAAGCTTATATATCTGCTGTCTTGTATATTTCGAAATTGCATAGAAGTTCCTCAAATGATACAAGAATTCGTTAAAAATAAATTGAAAACTACATATTTACATAAATAGGTACTTAAGTGATTTTATATTATTAAAGAAAAACATAAGCTATTTAATATAAAATCTTTTTTGATAATAACATTGTAAAAACCCTAGGCATTTTTATGATTTTCTGTAATGTTCATACTCAAATTAAGAAACCAGATTCCAACGAATGTCGTTGTCCAACCGTGTATAAACAAGCTTGACAAATACAATAAGTTGTTAAGCCTTATGAGACAGCCATAAAATGCATAGTTCATAAGAATGAAATAATATGGCACTTTATTAAGGATTGTTATTGAATTCTTGGACGTAACAAAAGTACATGTAATGATGGAGCTATATTGATATGATCAGGAAAACAGTAGAGTCGAATGACCTGCTGTGAACTTTTTCATTTATGAGCCAAAATAATTATACGCCATGAAATAACCGATTTAATTGGTTTTCGATATATATATACCGACCTTAAACAATATTGATGAGGTGATCAGTTGTTATCGATAAGTACTTGAATAATTTACCTAGAAAGCTCAATCACAAAATATTTGTGTAGAATATTTGAGGATTTACCTCAATTATCCTAGGATGATATGATCAGATCTATCCTGCTGTGAACTTTTTCATTTATGAGCCAAAATAATTATACGCCATGAAATAACCGATTTAATTGGTTTTTGATATATATATACCGACCTTAAACAATTCCCAAACACATGCCCTATCCCTGACCTCTTTGATGAGGTGAGTGGCAGTTGTTATCGATAAGTACTTGAATAATTTACCTAGAAAGCTCAATCACAAAATATTTGTGTAGAATATTTGAGGATTTACCTCAATTATCCTAGGATGATATGATCAGATCTTTACTTGATAATAATGGGACCACTACGGAAGTATAAAAAAAGCAGTTTAAAAATTGCTCCACAATTTACGAAGATACCCATAGATGAACACACTTAACAATTATAGAACCTCGTCCTTTCAAAATAAGTATTTCTGTTATTAAATGCTTTGTTTTGCACGAACAATAATATGTATTTGCTTGAAAAATGATGCTACACGATAGCTTAATTACCGCATTATTGTTTTCATAAAAGATTCTGCAATTAATTGTAACTTTCCTTCTTCCCTATATTATAATATTATGTTATGTATTTCGGAAAATCTAAAAATTTTAATAGTAAAATGCTGAAAAAGTGATGCCTCCTTTAATTGTGATAATATTTAAAGATGTTTAGCAAAACAACAACATAAAATAATGACAATTGTTATTATATTTATAAATATTTATCTTCATGCTTGCAGAATACCCATCGAGTCATTCGCCCTTAACAATATCTTAACTACATTTAAATACAATAAATTTGATGGGAAGTGTAATGACTAATTGTGGTTTGAGAACAACTTATAATTACTATGCATAGTAACTGAATATTAATCATCTATAGTTGTCTTTATAAGTAGAAATATATGTGTCATCAACTTAAACTCCAAGGTATTGTAAAAAACGGTAAAAACATAAAACACGTCACAGGAATGTAATAGAAAGAAAATTAAAAATAAAATGGTATATATAAGCCTTCCGGCTGTTGTGGTAGATGTTGTACCCTATTGAGGGAATGTTAATAATTAATGCATTATTGTGGTGACGATGACGATACTTATAATTTTATCTATTTATATTTTCCAATATCACATGATATTAAAACAAGAATTCATTTTGTATATTTTTAGAATATCTAGTCAAGACCAGGAAGTAAAAAACAAGATACCGTGTTTACATGTCTATATTAAACATATTATGATAATATCAATAATACCTTTCATATTTACGGAAAATAAAAGTCTATTTCAAATTTCCAGTGATACAGCAAACTACGAGTACTGAATGTACTCGTAGTTTGCTAATCAGAATATTGTATACTTTCAAAGTCAAAATTTCAAATTGTCATCGCAGGTTTATTTTAAATGGTGTATGAAATAAATACGAAAAGATAGTGAGTAATAGAAGTAAAAAATTTTCAAAATTGTTACCATTTTCGTTAAAATTAAATAAGTGTTATATTACCTAAACTGGTTCTACTAAGAACTTTATGTACGTAAACATCCTCTGTCTATTACTTGATATTTTTATTAAGATAAACAGGTCCATGTCTTCCACAGACTGACTCAAAGATTTATTTTATATGATAAACTAGCTTTTGCTCGCAGTCTCGCTCACGTTAATTTATTCCTTTAGGGGTGGAATTTATCAAAATCCAATCTTAGCCTACGTCATAGTAGCTTTATGCAAGAAAAGTCTCAGCCCGATCGGTTTAAAATTGACGAAATTTCATACAAACTTTCATCCCCTTGGGGGTAGAATTAATCAAAATTCTTTCTTAGCGGATGCCTATGTCATAACATCTACCTGCATGCCAAATTTCAGGCCGATACGTCCAGTGGTTTCGGCTATGCGTCGATAGATCACTATGTCAGTCACCTTTGAGTTATATATATTTAGATAGACATCCTGTGAGTATACCATAATAGTTTATAAAGGTAATGGCTATGATGGTCAGTTCATTATTTGAGATCCTCAATTTATCTTGACTTTTTCGTGACGATTCGTCAACCAACCAACCACCTTTACATTATTCTTAAGCGTAGTATATATTGTATATATTAAATTTTCTTTAAATTTCTCGCAAATAAACGGAAATATTTCCTATAAGAACACTAATTGAACTTGAGGAATTTTATTGTGATTTGTTTGTGTGACGATATCTACGCTACCCGATTATATTTCAGTTTTCTTAACCAAACAACTGCTATGTATTTATAAGTTAAAAAGTTATAGTTTAAAATGTGTATTCAGTAAGAAATTATGGAATAATATTGTACGAAGTAGAATAACTGCAATGGCATCTGATAAAGTGAGACAAATTATTTTATGTTCATTAGAATTACAACGGGAGTGCACCATGGCTGTCACATGATACGATGTGATGTTCGTAGCTTTTTTTGTGCATATACTAGGTGGGCCATTAGCCTATTTGTCAATCCAATTATATAAAAAATGTGAACTTCAAATAATTCTTCGACTTTTATGATTTCGTTATTATACAGATCATGTGTAAACATGTCTCTCTTGACTAATCGATGTAAATTCTGTTTTAGATGTGGCAAAAACGTCAGCAGGCGGTGTGTGTCCGACACGCGTTCAAACACTACGGATCTAACAAGAGGCCCAACCATGTACTCAGCAACCTAAATATGACAGTCGCTAAAGGCACTATGTAAGTATAATTTTCATATGTATATATAAATAATAAGATACATCGCATCTGAACCTTAAACTAAATAAAGTTACGTAATACGCAGACATAGACCATCAAATTTGTTGTTATAAATGCATATTTAATAATATATACAGAGTATACAAGGTTTGAACCCTTAGTAACTGATGTGAGTAGGTGATGCAGTATAATTATTATAACGGCTTACACGTGGTCCTAAATTCCTGCCCGGTGGTGAGAAGTATTATGGACTGTTTTCATTTTTAGATTGATCACCTTTAGTGTAGTAAAATCAGAACTGATTTTCCAATTTTTGAAGGATCTCTCTGTTTTTATTACTAGGTACATTCCAAATTTCTAGGAAATTTTACACAGAGATTTATGAAACAGTTTTAGACAAAGTTTTTAATAGCAGATATGCTAGAAAAAGAGCTCCAAATAAGCAAAATTATGTCGTTTCCATTTGTTAGCGAAGAATTGAATTGAATTGTAGTATAATGCACATTATATATCAAAGGGTAATACAATAAGGGAAGAACTTGGAAGAATGCCAGTTATGGCAAACAAATAACAAAAGATTGTTAACCTCAGACAATTTTAATTAATCCTTTGTATAACAATGTACCACTTTATGAACCTTAAGCTATTGAATATAAAGTTGACAATTACAGTTGCAACTTTTGCTCCCTTAATTTGAACCTAATTGTATGATGCCATAAAGTTAATAGTTAATATGCAGGTTGATTTAGCTGGTTCCCTTATAGGCCGTTATTGTGACGTAAATGATTGGAAATGATTAGAATTTTTTAGACTTCCGTTACAGAATGTTACTAACTAAGAGCATAACATAGCATATAATTTAGCTTTTAGGCATACATAGATTACAATCCAGTTTTGTACCGAACGACACGCTCCTAATTATCTTATTGCTTTGATTGTAATCTGTTTTGTGTGCTAATAAATAAATAAATAGCTTACCTGATTCAAAAGTATTTTATAAACCTAAATACTTATGTATAGCTCGTTTATGACACATTTAAAACTCTAGCTCACCTCTACTAGTACATATGTGTGATTTGTGAATACAAGCTTAATAAGAACAAACAAATCCCAGACTTGAAGATAATATTTCGAACAAATATTTCAAAATAAATATAAATTCTTCTCTGAATCTTTTTATCATTTATTATACGAGTTTAAAGAAAAAAAGAGAGGATTTTGTTATAAGAGTAAACTCCGGAACTACGACACTGAACTGAGAAATACTATATTTTAAAATTTCATAATCATCAGCAAAACTGCAGCACTTATATTTTTTTATACAATAAAATCACCGTTTCGACCTTGATGACACCTATTTACTTACCCATATTTACCTGACTGTCGGAGAATATGTTTTTCACGTATACAACGTACGTACCTATTAGCGAAACATATCACGGTACAAAGTCTTAAATTTTATAGAGTCAGAAAGAATATGTATCACTTTAATATTGAAGGTGTGATAGAAACTTCAGTAAATGAAATCAATTGGCTGCTTTTGTTTGGTTTACTATTCGATGTAATTCTGGGTTAAGTAGTCAAATATAATAATTACAGCCAAGTGAATAAGTATATCAGTTAACCAGACAGCACTGAAACAAAGCTTTGTCTCCTGAGTTAATGGTCTTTTTTCTAATGTTTCTCCTATCTACACTGCATGCAGATTTTAATATTAAAATATTATTTTATTGAGGTAATGCTAATATTCTTCAATACAGTAATAATTATAATTAGATACAACATATCAAAATGTTTTTGCACCTATTGTTAGTTATATAAGTTATAATGTAAGCCCAATTTAAAACTGGCAGCTCTCTAATTTTAATAATTATTTGTGTAAATGAAGTATACTACTATTTTTAACAGTAAGTATAAAATTGATGTGGTTTAGAATGTAAATAATGTTGTGAAATTAGTTCGTCCTCGCTGCGCTGGCGCAAGTGTCTGCCGAAGCGAAGCGACGCGTGCTTCTTTAAAGTAAACGAGGCTATTATGGATCCTACATTATTCTTTCTATCTCGATTCTGGATCACATACGGTCTAGTTGAACTGTGTTTCAAAATACTCTACTTTCACATATATACACATTTTACCTCTATCTTCTTCTTTGTATCTACGTACCTCTTTTTTTAGTTAAACAGATTTCTGATGGTGTGTTGTGTGTGTTCTTTTTAAATTTACCTATAGACAATTTTTTTTTATCTGCTCCGTTTTTGCGTTAAGCTATTTGTAAAACTTTGTCCACAGCATTTATTTAGGCATTATATATTCAATCTTTGAAATAATTAGTATTAAATATAGTATATAAGTAAGTAGTAAGATTTCAGAACAATATAAAAACTTCACTGAAATATTATATTTGAGTACTACAACTCACACGTGATAGATCTTGTTTTATGAATATCCGTATATTTAATAGCACACGTTATTTAGATGTCGAGATGGAACGGACACGTATTTTCCACTGTTGCCGTATATATAAAGATAATATTCATGTTAACTTATTGTTCAACAGATACGGACTTCTGGGAGCATCAGGATGCGGCAAAACAACTCTACTATCCTGTATCGTGGGCCGGCGGAAACTCAATAGTGGAGAAATATGGGTTCTGGGGGGTAAACCTGGTACTAAAGGTAAACAATAAATTGATTCTATTTACTTATTATAAAGGAGTGCAGTTTTTCATTCACTTGTCTTTCTCTCACAGTCGTAAAGTTAACAACTGTTAGAATATGCACAGTAATTTGACCATATATAGACTGAAATAGGATAGTCTATACGATTTATTACCTAAATGCCGTCTACACAAAGTTAGTAATTCATTTTATGGTAATTGCGTAATATTCTATAATAAACTGTCAGAATCTACGCTAAATCTGACAGAGAGGCAATTCAAATTTTATATTAAACAAATGTTATGTAAAAAACCTATTAGGATAGATGAATTTATAGATGATAGCAATATATAGCAATTATAATTTATTTGCGGACAATGTTATAATTTTTTTTTTGTAGCTGTGACATGGTCGTGTGGAATGAGTAGTCATGCTCACTAAAATGTCCAGACATGTGGCGGCGTGGTGGGCCGGGTCAATGGGCTCCCTAAAATATGGTCGAGCGCAGTGATGGCTGGCTCATCCGTCATACTCTTGAACGAGTGCTGCTTGTAGGGACTAGTCTGCTCTTATCACTACGAATTACAAGCCTGATTTAATCTTATTGCATGATTATATTTGACCCAAAAAATTAGTGCTTGTTGGTAGTTTGTATTTACACGATTCGACTTGTGAATGTAAACTTACAAGGATTATTTAAAAGAGCAACACACAAGTTTCTTGCTCGTTCTTCTTGTGATGAGACAGCTTTCCGAACGAGTGGTAGATAAAAAACAAATTGTTATGACTATTCAAAAGTGCTTAAATTAAGTTTATTTGAATAAATGATTTTCTATTCTATTCTATTTATTTTTCATACTGCTTTCTTGATATATGGTAGCGTAGCGGCTTTTGTATTGATTGCCGCATGCATCCTCATGTAAAGAGCGAATACTGTAACTACCATATATTAATTTTTGTAGCTGAGACGTGGTCGGGTGGAATGAGTAGTCATGCTCACTAAAATATCAAGACATGTGGCGGCGTGGTGGGCCGGGTCATTGGGCTCCCTAAAATATGGTCGAGCGCAGTGATGGCTGGCTCATCCGTCATACTCGTGAACGAGTGCTGTTTGTAGGGACTGGTCTGCTCTTATCACTAGACTGATTTAATCTTATTGTGTTTTTATATTTGAGCCTAAATAAATTAGTGCTGGTTGGTAGTTTGTATTCACGCGTTTCGACTTGTAAAATATGAACTTACAAGGATTGTTTAAAAGAGCAACACACAAATTTCTTGCTTATTCCTCTTCTGATGACACAGCTTTCCGAATAAGCGGTAGATTAAAAAAAAAATGTTGACTATTCAAAAGTGCTTAAATTAAGTTTATTTGAATAAATGATTTTTTATTTTTTATGATTCTATTCGGTTGAAGAAAAACATTGTAGTATTACATATATATATATAAGGTGGACCAATTTAGCAAAAGTGTAAGAGTTTTTAATACTATTTTCTCTTTGAAGTAGCAATATTATGTGATTTAGTTCATAAAATCAGATATAGAGACCTACACAAGAGTATTCAATAAAACCAAACAATCTCATATGAACGAAGTGTAACATTCTTAGTTCTTATGAGGTTAGAAAATATGTTTGGAATTTATTATTGTTATAGACTTACTGATTCTATTATTTCTGTATTTGCTGGCAACAATTTCGTACTATAAGAAATAGTAATTTAAAATTATCTGTAATTTATTTTATAGGCAGAACATTGATTTATAATTATATTTATTTTGTAGGCTCGGGGGTACCCGGCAAACGAGTTGGATACATGCCTCAAGAGATTGCATTATATGGAGAATTCACAATCAAAGAAACCATGATGTATTTCGGTTGGATCTTCGGCATGGAGACACGGGAAATCGCAGAAAGGCTCCGTTTTTTGTTAGACTTCTTAGATTTGCCTAGCGAGAATCGGATGGTAAAAAACCTCAGGTGAGTTTATGTGGCAATATATATAATCAAACGATAAGTATTTCAGTACCGTAAAGTTGAAACAGCAAAACTACTCTTCTCTCATTTATAATCAGTCAGTTAAAATTATAATAGTGCATTGCATAGTTGTCTGTTTATTCTTTAGATACCACAGTTTTCTAAAACAAGAGATGCGTATTTCAACTCAATCATCTTTCATGCCACTTGTGTTGTATTATTATTATAATAAATATTAAGTAAAATTTAAAGTCTAGGTACATTTTGAATTTAGTAAAGAAATACAACTGTTAGTAATTCAAATATTTTTTGTGTAACAAGGGTTGTTTAATAAAAAGATAATTAATAATTAAACATGACCTTTATGATAAGCTACTCTATGATTCGAGACAGGAATCTTGTTAATCAATATTCAAATATAATAATAATATTCAAATTTCTTTAATTTACTTAAAACTGTAATCTTATCAAACAACAAAGACTTTGTAGGAATGTAGACTGCATTTTTGTAACTAAGTTTATGGAATGAATCTGTCAGCATAATATTTGCAGTATCTATTAACATGAGTACACGAATGTCCACAAGCGTGATATGTTATATTTTGTCTGTAACTGTTATTTTTCCTAAAGATGTTAAATCTTTTTAATATACGTAAAGTTAGAGAAAACTTTGTGTTGCTAAAAATAAACGATATCAATTTTCTAAAAATTATATATAATTTATACATATCTATGTATATAAAGTATACGAAGCTCTATCTTTCTCAAGTCTGACCAAAGTAGTATACATGCTTAGGAATTTTCATTGTGCTTTGTTTCCATATTTTTCATATAAAGATAAAAACCTTTAAACTTCTATATCTAAAGAAACTTTTGATAATAAACGAAGATTACATCCCATTACGATAAATAATAAAAGGTTGCCTGTTTGCTACTTAAATAGGTATACGTTATACATTTAAAAAAAGTATAATTATCAAAGTTAGTGGATATCATTGTAATTTGTTTAAATTAATAAAACAAAGTTGATATCATTTTAATTAGCATTTATTGTGTTTACCAGTATAACTCAGTCGACTTCCTGATATAAAAATAACTTATAACCGCAACTTTAAATATACATGCAGCTTACAAAGAAAATTATGAAATCATCTTAGGTAAATTTTCCTTTACGTTTTCCAACGCATCACAATCATCAATACATCAAGGCTACTTATTATACAGTCACGCTGGTTTTTTTATTTCATTAACATATAATTTATACATATAACTATGTATACTGTAAGCAAATTCGCAGTATAATCAGATCTATCTAGAAAAATCTTGAAAATATTAATAATTGTAGGTACTATTTGAAACTTCCGGAATTTTAGCCTTGTGTCAGTTTATATGTCAATGTTTGAGAACAAATTTTAATTGATTTTAATACAGTAGTAATTTGTTACTAAAACTGAATGGTAAATTTATATTATTATATATAAATTTTTTAAACTAAAACATTTGATAATTTTTCAGTTTTCAGTCTTTATGTTTTATGCTGTTCTGGTCTAATGCAATCTGAAAATTACATTGATTACCAGACTCTACTTGGGATCTACTTAAATCTTACATCGTTTTCATAAATTCTTTAATTTAATTCTAAAATTAATGACCATTAATGTTTATTCATATTAATTTGTTACTAAAGGTAAATGTGAACTTATTCCGGAAAGGGTCAAATACTACATTACTTAATGATCATGACGAATCGAATTATCAGTCGTTAGTTCCGTTACAACAAATGAGTAAAATGGCGGAAAATTCTATTTGACACAGCTATTGTCTGCTAATGATGTGATTGTTTGTGAAGTATCTATGTTTATTACTGTTATTTTCTTGGCGTGAGTTTTACAATTACGCTATATATGCTAGTAAGTAAATATACTGGTGTATATTATACAGGCTGTATCAAAAAATGATCAAGTAGTTTATTATATTATTTTTTAAATTTGGATTCAAATTGCTCAAAGTTTTGCTAAATGTGACCAAGTCAAGTATTACCATAACATTGTTATTTGACAATATCTCTGAATGGTCCATTTTGATATTACCTAGAGTGACGATACATATTCCAAAATAAATTACATAAAAATGTGGTTATAATTTTTTAAAATTAAGATTCTTTGTAGGTACGGCATTACCATCACTTTATAGACTGAGTGACTATAATATGACGGTATTGGCATAAGACGGGAAATAATCATTTTAAAGAACGTTAAGTAATAAAATATCTATTAATATATATTAAAATACATTTATTAGTAGGAAAATTCTATTAGCTTCATATGATTTTTCATACATACTGTAGTTTTATCATTACGACATAATATAAAATGAAGGGGTAAGGTATCAAATCACAAAGCGTATTAATTTAACATGTCTCGCCATGCCATACGACTTATATGTTTAGTCTAACACATAACAATTGTTAGTTTTTTTAACAGCAGAGAAAGTGACATCGTACTTCAAAGTTGTAGTAGTATTATGTTATTTATTATTGATAAATAGAAGATTGATAGCTCTTATATTTACTTTCGAGTGAGGTCACGTCAAGGTTTCAATTCATGTTTTTAAATTCAATTGTAATTATTTGATACTTTCTCCATGTGTTTTGTGGTTTCGAAATCCTTACTTTAACACTAATCAAATAGAAAAAACAAAACAAATTAGTAATATATATATAAAATATATTTAGAATATTAGGTTTGTAATTGCTCTTAATTTTTTTGTGTATACTTTGTATCTACGTTTTTGGTAATTTAAATTAATCGTTGTGATGTTTATAAAGACTTTAATAGACTTTATCTATTGGCCCCATGCTATTTTCGTTACAGTTTTAAGACAAACGTGTTGGTACAAAATATTCTGGTGAAGTTAATAATATTATGCGTATCTTTGTTTATTGTTAATTTATGAATCGATTTTAAGGATTCTGTTCGAATAGGAAAACTTTAGTTTCGTTATATGCCTAGATCAAATTTTGCCGTAATGGAATTTGAATTAATTATAAAGTCCACATTTATAAAACTGCTTACAATAACGAAAACAAATAAATGAATGTTTTGTTTTGTGCCATAATAATTAGACATAACTAGGTTAAATACGTAAAATCCTTTCATATGTATTATACAGTTAGACGCCCAATTTAGTGACACGTTCCTTTGTGTGTGACCACAGTACAGTAATGTTTTTTTCAGACCAATTAGGTACTACGCCTATTTAACTATTGACCTGCTTGTATTCCTTACATACTATAGTTACAATATTAGTAGGTGGTTAACAAACAATCATTACTGTGTGTGTTTGCATTTTATATGACAATTTTATTTGAAGTATTTTGAACGTTCTTTTTGGAGTCTTTTACCTTCTATTTTATCATACGAAGTTGATGTTTTTTTTAACACCAGTCTTAAACTACACTAGTATAAAAGTTATGCGTTCACGAAATTTTTATTACTTTTGCACTATGCGCCTAGTTTATTTAACATATTTTCATTTTCATAACCCCAACACTCAGATAGGCTATACTTTATACAAGTGTGAGATATTTTATTGGTTTTCCCAGCGGTGGACAACAACGACGGGTGTCATTTGCTGTGGCTCTGATGCACGACCCGGAACTCCTCATCCTGGATGAACCCACAGTGGGCGTGGATCCACTACTTCGGCAATCCATCTGGACCCACCTCGTCCGCATCACGAGCTCAGGAGACAAGACTGTTATCATCACAACACATTACATCGAAGAGGCGAGACAGGCGCATTGTGTAAGTAGTTCTAAGTAAATAAATAAAAAAATTACAATGTGTTGTCTGGTTACAAGCTTACGAAATGAACGGAACATAGAATTGTTCTTATTTCTATATGTCACATATTTATTTGTGTTCGCCAAAACTGAAGGGACTTTTATGTTTTTTTTAATACGTAGAGTTTATTGCTGCGTTAAATTAATTTTGATTTTATCCGCTTTGTTACTTTAGGTAGTAGTTTATTTTTTGTGTAACACATACTCGTGAATGGGCCATTACAAGTTTTGTACATAATTATACGCTTTGTAGTTTGAATTAATATGATATTCCACAATGATTTTCATATTTTAGGTAGCAACACCACATACATAAGATTTTATGTAGATTTGACATTACTGACCTGTGAAAAAACTACATATGACGCTATGTCAACAAGATCTTAAACAATAACTATTCCTGTCTTTATACGTCAACGTTAAATGACGCAAACAATCATTGCGCATAAATTCGCGCAAAATATCTCTTTGATTTTGGAGAGGGTCACGCGCTGTACTACAAATGCCACGTAAGGCATTTTATGTTAATGGCAGTTCTAGTCTGATAATTAAATAAAAATTGTATATAATAGTAAAATATAGAAGATGAAGTTTTTTCACATTACATCAGGCACTATTTTAAAACAGTTATTATTATTATATTGTTATTAAAACATTTATTTCGTCCCGCATCACATTTTATACAATACCTAGGCATTTTTCACGTTCAAGTTATTACAAGACACATAAGAACATCGTTAATATAGTTTTTACGATTTTTATTCAATTAAAATGCATATAGTACAAGACACTTGGCTAGCGAAAAGATACTGATATCACACCACGACTTTGTATCAGTCGTCCTCCACAGTGAGAGAGGGAAACATTCTATCAGACTATGGAATTTAGCACGGACTTCACATAATCATGTGACGTCCACACACCAGTAATGCGGAAGACTAAGATACTTTGTAATTTTACTGCCTTATCTCACCCTTCCACTGAAACACATCTTAAAAACCAAAATACTTGGCTGCTGAAATAGAGGACTTCATACAAGGTGTATATATAAAAAAAAATATATTCAGATATAATATTAAGTCCGTATACAAGATTCCATCTCTCCAGAGTACTCCAGACATGAAAAACAACATACATTCATTGCTTATTTGCGACATAAACGGATTTATATTTTTATTTCATTATGAAGATTTTTATTTCATAGAAAATATTGAAAGTGAACATTGGAATCTAAAAAACGGATGTACCGACTTAAGTATAAAAGCATGTACCTATGCGTACGTCCGTCTCCGTGTTTGAGGGCCAAATTACACGTGTGTTATATCTATGTTTTAACATAATAGTTAGTCGTTTAAATTCAAAATCGCATACTTTAACGTTAACGCGTATGTCAGGTGTTTAATATCCGCGGAAATCTTGAATACCAGTATTAAGTTGAGCGCACGTGGGTATTATACAACGTGACTCGAAGGCCACAGTTTGAGAACGGATATGTGGTAGATGAAGACATTTCTAATTTGACAACATATTTCTATTCTTCTAAAAGATAGGTAGAAAATTGAATTCGCCCCAAATAGATTAATCAAAACCATAGCCAATAAAACTTGTGCTGTGGGCGCATTTGTACCTATAATATGTAAGTCACATGGTACTGGGGATTATTACATCGTCACATTTATGGAATAACAGCCACATTAATTGATCAATTTAGCAACTTATCAATAATAATTATTTCTAATCAATTCTATAACGTTTACTTGTTACTATAAATAAAATAAAGGAAATAAATACATCTAATGGACATCTAATAATTTTTACGGTCGTATTTATGTTTGTTAATATTAATTAGACTACATTAGAGATACAATAGTTTTAATTTAATATTAATTCAGTACTCCGATTGAATACGTTAATAATGACCTTCACTTAAAATTGAGCAAATTAAAAGGCCGCCGGTCAATATATCTTGACCCTTGTATTTTTGGAACCTTGCAAAATAACTTGTTGATATGTACCTCCTTATATAACCATAAGGTCGAAACCTTGGCTGTGGGCTAGAGCTGTATCATAATGAAATTCATATGGAAAAGAAGCTCATTTCGTACTCCTTGAAGTCAGTACATGCACCATATTGTGATTACTTTCTGATTACCCATGAGTACTAGACGGTTTATTAAATAGGAAACTCAACCTTGTATAAAGTTGCATAAATACCTTTTCCTCCTAGCAGTTAGTAAAGCAGTTAGTAGTATTGCCAGCCAATGGCACCATCATATTATAATAATCAATTAGTAGTTACAAAGTTTTTGTATATAACTGTAATGCCAGACTAGCTAACGGCCCGCCTGATGGTAAGTGGCAGCCGTCGCCTATACACATGAACAGTACCATAATGTGTAACGCCGCTACTCCTTAGTCGTTGGCATTCTAGATCGAGATATTATACCACCAACATATTTCATCGTTACTCATCATTATTTTATCATTAGTGACATATTTCACCATCTAACTATGGTATGATTATTTGTAACAATCTGGGTGTTTTCTATGTATATTATTTATGTATATATTTACGAAACAAAATGTATCTGACTATCAGTTGTCTTAGTTATGTAGTTGACTACTTTCATCACAATATACCCATGCAAACTACTTCGTACAAAGGCTACCTATGATTAAATATGTATTTTAGTCGAAAAGAATTAATACAATAAATCATCGTATAATTAAGAACATTCTCCTTTTGGCAGTCGGTTAAAGATATTCCAATATTATAATTATTATAGAATAGCATATCAATATACATTAGACCTTGAGGTTCACTGGCTGTTTGAGGTTTGGGCGGTCCCTTGTCGACTTTGTAGTCTACTTGTTTATCTGTATATTATGACATAAAATATTATTTGACCGGTTTAGTTTTTACGATATTGTTATTAGCAAATGTTGTTATGATATATTTGCAAGTCATTATTGTTAAATATTATTTAAAATAATAATTTAATTATTACAATGAATATTTTATGATTATTTTTACTAATATATTTCTGTATCTAATAATTAAATCTGTTTTATCCACCATTTTTGCTAAATGCTTATTATATGTTAGGCTCTCTGCTGATTTTACTGAATAATCACTTGATGTAAAGTAAAAATCGCCATCTACGAGATGATAAAAACCAATAATTCACTTATGTAGTATATATAGGATAGAATGAGTCCTATCACAATACAATCCTATCACAAAACAAATATGTAGCTTATATTAAAGTTCAGTTACAATTCACCCATCGCCATGTAGATCCAAGCTAAGGTGAGATTATATTGTTATGGGTACTAGACAGCTGATAAAAATACATAAATACTTCTTTTTATATAAATAGATATCTTTACATAATAAAAATCAGGTAGCTTAAGGTCTCTGTTTGCTTAAATTTTTATCGTTTTTAGTAATAGATATAGTTTATATGTAAATACATGTGCAAAGCCGGGGCCGGTAGCTAGTAATATATAAAGAAAACACCGAGACCGAAACAAATAATCATACTCATAAATACAAATGTTTGGATAATATGAAGAATTGAACCCGTGACCATCGAAATTAATACGATATGCTAAATTGATCTATACCACTGAGTTCTTAGTTTGTGTTTATTAATTATGTTTTGTCTTTAGATCGGGCTGATGAGAAGCGGGCGGCTACTAGCCGAGGAGTCCCCACAAGCTCTCCTCACCATGTACAACTGCATCTCATTAGAAGACGTGTTCCTAAAGCTCTCCAGGAAACAAGGTCAGTTCTAATTTAATGGCATTTGACAGCATTACCTTTAGAGTTACATTGTCACGATCGTATCGATCTATTGATTAGTTTTTTCCCAAAATATTATATTTATACAACAATATATTTATACATTAACTACATACTAAGTTGATAGATATAGCTTACAAAGTTATACAGGAATAGTTAAAAGTTTTGCGTAACTAAAGAAACTGAGGGTAATAATGCTGCTTTTTCACGAACATAATGAATTGAGAAAGGTTTTTAGATCACTGAACTAGTTTATTCGAAACAAAGCTATCACAATCAATCACTACGCTATTCTGGGTACAATATACCACATAACGATCTACCTGAAGAAATTTCATAATAATATTAAAAAACAAAAATGTAATGAAAAAACGATGTGCTTTTTGCTTCAAAGTTTTACCTATACCATATACGATCTTATCTGTGCTATACTTACCAATCCTTTTCTGGAAATGGTGGACTAATAATATAAATTGTTGTATTATAAATTTTAGTTTTCATTTCACCCTAGAATCAAACAACATTTACCTGGATTGCAACTCCACTTACAACTAAATTGTTTTCGGTTCTATTTACATAATCAGCTGGTAACCTCAATAATACCAACGCTATTATGTGATCTAGCGTTTCGTAACCGGATTCATTAAATTCGTTTCTATCTAGAAGGCTTTATATTAATTGTTACCTCTTTGTGTAGATATAAAGCCAATACATAGATAATAAATTCATCTATTTATGCAAGGAGTTTAAATTAAAAAAACAAAACAATATATATATATTTGCAACCGACTGCGTTGGAGAGTCGTATCGTATTTTATTTGTATTGTAATATTAGATATATCGACCGTATTTCAGAAGACAATCTATCGAATAAATATAAAGGTATCCAAAATTAAGCCTGCACGGCATAGGACGAAGCTCTGGGAATAGTATCTATCTTATATTTTCTTATCAGACATGTAATGTAGGTATGTGCTGTGAGTTTACAAAATGTATTCAAATAGCAAATGCAAATAGATTTTATATTTCAAACATAAAATACAAAATGGTTTTTCCTTTTGGGTTTAAAATACTAAATTCAAAATAAATATTTTCTTTTATTGTTTTTTTTATTTTGTTTATTTTATTGAAATGTTTTTATTCTTCACTTCTTTTATCTTATCTTCCTTTGTTTTTTTATTAAAACAAATCATAATTTGACAGATTGGTGATTATAGAAACCACAAAAGATTTTTTTTAATAGAACAAACGAAATAGGTTTTGGCATTTGCGACAATTATTAAATAAAGGCAATCAGTAAACAATAAGTATAGAATTGAAGAACATTGCCTAAAGAGGTATATTTTATTTTCTTACTATTTTGCAATCAAGTATTATTATTTAAAAATGACACATCCCCGTTCCTTATCTGCTAACACTGCTCATGTTCTTAAATAAATAATGATTTATTTATTTGTAAAAGAGCCTCCTACAAATGACGATACATGTTTACCATTAATGGATTGATACACAGCGGCGTTGTGCTGCCAACAGAATTTACATTTTCCCATTAAATGCGTCTTTATTACAAAATAAACACAATTGCGATGCACTGCGACCTTGCTTTCAGAGACATTTCATAATAGCAGCACGCGACTCGCGGCCAGCGGCTGCAGTCGCCTACTTTACGACATGTACAGGATACGAACCATTCAATGTTTAATCGCCATTAAGGTATTATATACTAATGTTCTGGAGATAATGCTAAATGCAAACTTGCGCCTAATCAGAGCGAGACAGTACAGAACCTTTTATTGCTATGGAACTTACGACTAGGTGCGTCTATACCTGTTTTTCAAATTATTTCTGGCTACATAATAGCTACACAGGAGTATATCGATGCAATAAAATTAGGATTTAGATATTCTTCAGTACAGTTCTATCTCTAGAGACCTTACGTCTCCCCTAACACAAGCACTATAGCAATACTTTCAATCGAAATTTATCTGCATTTATTTATTTTCCGCTCTACTCTGCTTACTCTATTATTACAGTGAGTATTTATTTCGTTATTTAAAAAAATCATTATAATTCCAATGTCTTGCGCATTTTTTAATATTTTATTATTGTTTTGGATTGTTCATACAACGAGTTAAAGCTGATTTGCGAAAAAATAATTTTGCAGTTGCGTATATATCTAAAACAGACTTGTGTAAAGATAATTTAACTAGTGAGAAACTTTGATATTCATTGCTTTATACTACGGAAAAAAACATCAAGTTTAGTTAGTTATTGTGGAAAATTTTCATATGGGGACATGCACCCTTAAATGGAAATACCATGGAGAACTTCATAAATAGTATCGCCGGCTTTTTTACTTACTTTTATAGTATAAGTGTGATGTACATTAGTTCCCAAAATTATAATGAAAATTATCCGTTGCGTGGTTTAGAAGTAACCGCAGAAACAGTACATATACACTAGAAAGACGAAAAGAACGAAAGACATTTTTTTATGTGTATTTATATATATTTTATATGACATAGTACACAATAATGCATATTACGCGTACTATATAGCTGTATTTATGTATTACAATGACTTTGTACTCAGCACTATGTGTTTTTATATATAGTTAGGTAGGTACCCAATGAAGAAGTATTTTTATTGCATGGCTAGGCGTCATAAATGTCCATACACTTATGTAGTTGAACACAATTGCGGGCATCGTCGCGTGTTCAAACTAATATATCTTATTTAAAATACGGCATTATTATTCAGTTTCAAGACAATAAGACTTGTTATTACCTAGCTACAGCAAATAATTCTATTCTATTCTATTAATTACAAGATATTATCGTTTGTTTGGAATTCGTGACAGTCAATAAATATTAATTTAAGTTGTTCTATTAAAATCAAATCAATCTCCAAGTCAGAGAATAATATTTAATTTGCAATCACATAATTAACTTGGCTATGTATATATTAATCTATAATATATGTATTATATTTAGGTACGGAAACCTTGACAATTATTCAAAGTGACTTTTATACAATTTAGATTATATATATATAGTTTCATGTAGACCCAAAACTAAAAAGAGAGCTTATACTATATTCCTCCTCCTCCTCCTCTGCCTCCTTGCATCGGTCTAGTACCTACTTATACAATGTAGGTATGTGATGGATATATTACTCTAAAAATCAATCTTCGTTTGGTTTAAAATAAGCTAGCGGACTTAGGCGGAGAAAGAAACAGACAAAAACAGTTTGCTTTTATCTTACTTATATTATAAACGCAAAACTTTGTGAGTATGGACGGATGTGTGTTTCGAGAAATATCTCGCAAAATCTACTGATTGTTTTTTGATGAAACATTACAGTACCTAATATAGCTTATACATCAGAATAATACATAGACTATAAATTTCACACAGGTGAAAACAAGGGCACAGCTTGTTTGTTTTATAAGTAAACACGACTTAAGTAATAAAAATATAATAATATATGTATACACAAATTTACGGGAATTAAACTCGCGATAATCGTAGTATTTTAAACCGCCAAATCACTAAGTTCGTCAACTACTTGTCTGTGTGTTGTTCAGAAGTCAGACGTGGAGATCAAGAATTAGTCATCTGCAGTTCCGGTTTAAAGTGCGATGGTGAAACTTTACAGATAATAATATATGATATAATGTCTGCGTCATACATATAAGATACGTTATGATCTTATATCTATGTAACAATAAGATTGGTAGGTATATGTAAAAGAAATAGTTGATGTTTTAGGGATCATTACTACTTACGATAAACATACAGCCAAAACTACTAAGCCAAAGAAGCTAAAATTTAGAACATACGAGGAGTACGTTTATTTTATATAGTGAGCATTCGCAAAAGGTTTTGAAAAAAAATCAAATTAGCCTCGAAGCGTCATGCCGTGGTGAACCGCTAATAATTTATACATCAAATGTATGAATGACCGTTTTTTTGTCAGGTGTCTTTAAATACAGTGTCGTTAAGAATATTTTTCTTAATTAATATGCGTTCAAAAACTTTTGACCGACCTTGGCCTTTTTTAGAATCTGTACAGAAACTATGCCTACACTTACATATTATTATAGAATATAGGATATTATTTTTATGTGTGGATTATGTATACCCCAGATATGCAGATTATAATATTATATATACAATTAACCGTTAAGGTAAATAAAATAAAGCAAAGATATAATTTTGGTTTAATTCATATCTTCATTACGTTTTATTCTGAACCCATTTTAAATCACAGACGGAACTCTAATGTAAGTATCTACTATAATTTCGAGTTTTTTTGTGCGAATTGTACCAATCACACAGGAATTTACGAAAATCTATCCTAAAAAAATGTACCATTGTGTTACTTAAATTGTATAAGGAACCTGGATACTTTTAGGAAAATATCAGGTTTCTAGGGTTTTGTGTTTTACGTACGCAATTCGCATATATTTAGGTGTACGTAATTATTAGATATACAACAACATATTTTTTTATATATTTCAACGCTGTTCAAACGTATCTATATTTAGAAAAACTAAGATTATGCAAAATATTTTAGTTGTTATTTATACATGTAGGTGCGTAGTAGTATAATAGTAAGGAATAATTTCACATAAATTAACAAGTGGCCAACTAGATAAAGCATCAGAACCCACACATTTTTCGATTTGATTACTACTTACTTTTTTTTATTTCTAACTAAACAGTTGTAAATTTTAATATATATATTTATATATATATATATTAAATAATAATTAATATGTGTACATTTAGTTGAGTTAATAACAACATTTCCATTCACTGGGAAGCCCTGTAGAATTATGATTAATTGTTTAATATCTCATAAAGAGTAATATTTGAAATTAACTGTAGACATTTAACTGTATTATAACTTGCCACTCTTGCATAGTTACAAAGCACCGACACTATTCTGATCAGTTGCTAATATATAGTTAAATTAAATTATGATTGCATACCATAATAAAATATAAATATAGTTATATTGTACTTTCTTGTAACAGGTCAGTCAAATCAAGTGGTGGAACTGAACGTATCTGGTGGAGCATTAGGTCTGAACAAGCTGTCCAAGAGGGAAGAGGCACCTTATGCGGCGGAGGACGCACAAGTCAAGGGTCTCAACTTCCACCAGAGCAAAGAAGTGCTGATTGTTGAAAACGGCGCTAGCTCTAATGGAGATGTGAGTATATTATATAATTTATAAAAAAAGGAAAAAAGTATTATTATGTTAATTTTATTAAATAGAGATACACATTAATTACATAGCGTCATCCGGTCCTAAACTAAACATAGTTTGTACAATGTATTTTTTCCGTTTACTAGACAACCTCCGAATATAATTATATTCTGAAGACAATGGTATGAATATGTCTACATATATTGCAATATCTTCTGTACACCTGAAAATATTTAGTACTTAAGGATTTAACACTAGCTTTTCAAATATTTGCTTGATTTGAAATTCCTTCATCCAAATCCAAATAGATACATTATATTCAAGAAATCTAGTGAATACCTAATACAATATTTGTACAAAATTATTACCTACAATATTTATGGCCATACAAAGATTTAAACAAATATATGATACACGATTTATCTTACCTATAGATCTTTATTTGTAATTCGCGTTCGGTCATTAACATGTACAGTAAATATTGAATTTGTTGTAGCTTCCAGGAAAGATGACCGAAGTCATGGCGACCGAGTGCGAAGAATGTACCGACTGCTTCAATTTGAGTAATGTAAGTAATTATTAGGTACTATGTCTTGCTAAGTCATATCCGTTGTCATGTTGGTTACATATATACAAGATTGTAGAAAAAACAGTCCTATGATAACCGAAACTATTGTTATTTGAATAAAGATTATTTCTATTTCTAAACGTTAAATGTGTAAAATGAGGCACATTTTATTTTTCTTTCATTTAACACATATAAAATATCAGAATAATAGATTTCATTTGCATACAGATTATTTTTTATTTTGTGTTTCGGCTTTGGTACTCATATGTTCCATAAAAACATAGGTCAAAATATAAATTCTCTTAATTTATATTTACATACAATATTGATTAGGAAAAGATGTAGTTTTATTGATGTCAGTATTATTATAGGCACTATTCATTTTCACCTTTTAATAAAATTATTTTTTTAATGCATTTCATTAAGCTTTAAGATCGAGGGCAGCAAGTTTTTAAGACAAATATCCAGCTTGTACAGTTGAGAATATCCAGGTACCATTAATAAAACAATACAACCATGTTAAAACATTGAAAAAATGAACGAAATAAATTAATAAGTTTTTGGAACGAAAAATATTACAAGAAAAAACAGATCGTCAATAAATTAAGCATTATTTGTTATACATGTACAGAAAATAGGAAACTTAATACATTTAGAAAATATTGTCTTTTCTAAAAATACATAAGAAACTGACTATTTAATGTGTTCAGATGCTCATGAATGTGTTCTCTTTACAGATAACATCACGTGGTAAAATAAAAGCCTTAATCCAAAAGAACTTTCTACGAATGTGGAGAAATATTGGCGTGATGCTGTTCATCTTCGTGCTGCCTGTGATGCAAGTGATACTTTTCTGTTTGGCTATTGGACGTGATCCCAGCGGTCTTAAACTGGTAAGTTTTAGATGTATTTTTCAAATAGGGTTTCTAATCTCCCGATTATGTGATGATTATGTTGACGATCTCTTCGAACACTTTCCAATTTAATTTTGAAAGGTCACGTTCGATGTAACAACACTTTAGATATCTAAAATAAAATATAAGTGCTAATTTGTAGTTTGTATACACAAATTTAAACTTAAAAATGTAAAGTTACAGAAATTATGTAAAACAGAATCATGCAAGTTTCTTGCTAGTTCTCTTCTAATGAGACAGCCTTCCGAATAAGCGGTAGATAAAAAAAACTATGACTAGTCAAAAATACTTAAATTTCATATTTGAATAAATGATTTTCTATTCTATTCTATTATATATTACAGAAAATAGAAAGCATATTTGAATCAACACTCTGTGCATATGCTTTCTATTTTTTATAATATAATTTATCTTAAATATGTTCAGAAATTTATCACTCCTAAATTTTTTATATAACAGTAAGTTATATTTATACATATGTATATGTGGCCGACACATACCATACTAGGTATTTTTTCAACCGAAAAGGGAGAGCTTCTCATATCGACTGTGTAATGTATGTTTAATATACCTAGTCGTCATTTCCGATCAGTTTATAAGATTTAAACTTTAATTTTTTTTTTAAATTAAACACCTATTAATGCTTTGTATGTTCAAGTACCATGTTAATGCCGTCAAATGAAGCAGTTTCTGGAAGATATTTTTTTTTATTTTAATTAGGTACTGTTAAAGATTTTCAATCTTTTGAACAGGCTATAGTGAACGATGATGTGAACGTTATCAACGGCGACTGTCCATTCAATTCGTCCTGCTCAATGAAGAATCTCTCATGTCGGTACCTACATCAGCTCGAAGAGCACACTATAAAAGAATATTACGCGGACTTAACATCCGCATTGAATGCTGTGAAAGAAGGCGAAGCATGGGGAGCGCTTTACTTCAACGAAAACTATACGGACTCACTAGTAGCGAGATTGGCTTTAGGTAAGTGGAATTTATGTTATATACATATACATATATATAGGTACTAGCTATTTCGGCAAACGTTGCCTTGCTATATAAAATAGGGGTTGATAGTAGAAGGAAGAAAATGTAGATTTGGATGTATTTTTTATGCCATATCATAAAAAAATATATAAAAACAAACTTGTCACTTAGAGATATAAAAAATAGATAATCATTTTTCAGACCCACTGAATATACGATAAAATATCATGAAAAGTGGTTCAATAACTTAAGAAACCATCGCAGACACGAAATTTGTAGATACGTTTTACTTAGTATTCGACTAATTCACGTACGTAGGTATACTTAATATCTGAGAAAACATGTTCAACAGTCTCTTAGATCGCACTACCATAATTCATGTACGTAGTTCGTACATAGGTTCGTACATAGAAACTCATGACCCATTTTTAAAGATTTTAAACTTATTGGAACCATTGAATGTAAGGAAAGTAAAATTTTACAAAATCTATTAGTTTCTACCTACTCCATGTTAAATAGTCTTCTATAACATATTAATAATATAATCTCTCTTTTATTGTAGCGGACACTGCTGATAACGAGACCATACAAACCTCTGAAGTACAGGTTTGGTTGGACATGTCCAATCAGCAGATAGGCCTCATGCTTAATAGGGATATTCAATTCTCCTACAGGGACTTTGCTAAGGTAAGGTTTCATTTTATGTTATTAATAAAGAAAGAGGAAGACTATGAGGAATAATGGAGTACATGATTATAGGAACATGTAAGACAATGGAAAGAAAAAAATTGGATAGTACATGAAAGTAAAAAATGATAAGCTTGCTGTGAATATCTTCAATATAAGAATATACTCGTATATATATAACGTAAAACTTAAATTAAGATACAGTGTACCCACACCAGTGTACCAGTGTATGACTTAGACAATGCCTGTATTGTGCAAATCAATGCGAAAGAAACTAAAGAAGGTGGTATGACGATCAAAGATAAAAATAATAATAATGTTTATGTAATAATAAAAGAGATATGTATACATTAGAGAGTTTATTTGTGTGTGTAAGTATGCACTATAATGTATTATAAGTATGACTATTTCTGTACTAATTAAAAATAATTGCAGGACTTACTCGAAACATGTGATTACAACCCGAAGCTCGGCGATATCCCCATAGACTTCATGGATCCTATATACGGCAACAAGAACCCCTCCTTTACTGATTTCGTCGCTCCCGGTGTTATTCTTACGTAAGTTTTTCCTTTTTTTGGGTTACTATAAATGCCTACCTCGGTGGTTTAGCACTTTACTTCCGGTGGTCGCTGGTTCGATTACATACATTTGTATTAAGACTATGCTTGTTTGTATTGGTCTCGGTATTTTCTACGTATAATTTGTATGTATTTACAATAATAAAATGATTTAAGTGTCACTTGTTCATAGGCTACGGGTACCATTTACCATCAGATGGGCCGTATACTTGTCACCATCGTAGTATAAAAAAACTTATGTATTTAAGTTCCTTCGTAGCTTTACTATGGAAGTACTAATTTTGACTTTTATATCAACAGTATCGTTTTCTTCCTCGCCGTCGCCCTTACCTCATCAGCGCTGATTGTTGAACGCATGGAGGGTCTGCTGGACCGGTCCTGGGTAGCTGGCGTGTCTCCCGGGGAGATTCTTTTCTCACATGTGGTCACACAGTTCGTTGTGATGTGCGGTCAGACAGCCTTGGTACTCATCTTCATGATTTCCGTCTTCGGTGTCAAGAACAACGGAAACATTGCGTTTGTTATCATGCTGACATTGTTACAAGGTTGGTATTGCTTTCATATTTGTTTTAGTTTATGATAATGGAATGGTTCTTCTCATTGATAGATATGAAAAAATTAAATAATGTATCTTACTCCTAAATTTAGAGATTATTATTACGAAAAGATGTGTATACCTAGACTGTACCTACCCCATTAATTCATCCACAGGTCTTTGCGGTATGTGCTTCGGTTTCGTCATCTCAGCTGCTTGTGAGTTGGAAAGGAATGCCATCCAGTTGGCTCTTGGGTCTTTCTACCCCACCCTGCTGCTCAGCGGAGTCATCTGGCCCATCGAAGGCATGCCCTGGATCTTACGATATGTATCGCTTTGTCTCCCCCTCACGTTAGCAACAACCTCGTTAAGATCCATCCTAACAAGAGGCTGGCCCCTCACAGATCCAGATGTGTATATGGGTTTCGTATCAACGTTAATATGGATAGCTCTATTTTTAGTTGTAACTTTGACCATTCTGAAGTTTAAGAGGAATTGAATGCCATTTTTCATAGGTGAAGGGGAGCGGGCTAGAGAGGGGCGCTGTGTACTTACTTTTTTGTATCAAATTATTGAATCTACTATACCTACAGTGTGTAATTTTACTCTATTTTAATTATTATTAATGCGTGTAATTATTATTAATAATTTTCTGTTCTGTAACGTGGAAAATTGGAATATTCAATAAAAATAAAATTAAAGAAACGCTGTTTTCCTTCAAATATTGATTTATAATATTTAATTTTGCACAAATAATTCAAAATACTTATTTTAGTGCAAATATAAAAATCGAACCGCTAATTAATTTCTACTAAAGCACACAAGACATAAATTACAATTCTGATCAGCGTCAATAACTGTACACAGCGCTCTCGTCTCGATAATTCTTTTCAAAATAAGTCTGTTAATATTAACGCATATCACGTATATCGTTGCTCAAACCATAAAAACAAATAGTATAATTATTTTTTTAGCTAAATGACTGTTAGTCAATGTAAATAGTAGCCTTGTATTTATGCTAAGTATATCGAGTACACATGTACTTAATAGATGGAGAACGGGAATGTTAGCAATAATGATAGGTCGTGCGCTTTATGGGTTCATATAAACTACTGTAAGGGAGGGGAGTAATTCATAATGGCATATCGGATACCTGAATAACTGAGTTACCATAGAATAGAATGGTGCCATACCAAAATGTGGTGTTTTTGTCCATCGCCTCCACAAAAGCAACAGATTGAAGTGTACTTGATATTATTCTAAGCTTTAAATCTTTACATTTTCAAGCACTTCGTTATTTGGCATTCAAACCCTCGATATTTTCTAGAGGCTATGCATCGGTATCAAGAAATATGTAATAAGTTATCAAGAGACATTATTGTAAAAATATTGCATGTTGTTTGGTTCAGATTACAACTGGCTATGTTTTTATATAAAATTACAGTTATATTACATGCCTAATTATAATGTTTGGTAATTTTACAAAACATATTTTTATTTATAAAATAGTTTTTTTTTTAATCGCAATGTAAATATTATAATTGGAAACATCAGCGCCATCTATTCAAAATGTATAATTATGAAGACGATTACTGTTAAGTTGGTGTATGTGTGTGAACAATTAGTTTTATACTGTTGGTCATTCGAGTTAGTTTCTTATTATTATTTCTTTGCAAATCTTCAACGGGAATATAGAAAAGGCTATTTTATAAATCTATTTATTTTTCTTTATCTTCCTGCTACATTCTTTATGAAGAATTTTTTACTATTTAAAATAATAAAAATTGTGTATAATTAATAAGTAACGAACTAAAGTAGTGAAATTAAGAATATATTCGTAATATTCTTCAAAATATCTGCTTTATAAAAAAGGTCAGGTCCAAAACTTAATTAATTTTGTTTCTTTTTGTATAATCCCGTCAGATTTGTACTTAGTGTTAATGTTGTACAGTAAGTTAGGTCATTTATACACCGGATTGCTATGAGGTTCTTAGGCTTAGTTCACATCGCGACATATAGGTACGCGTGTGAGGGACGCCGGCTGCGTCTACTAGTGTTAGTTTTACAAGTGTCTGACTGTGATTATTTTTGCTAACATTGACATTTTTGTAATGACAATTATTATAAAATACTGTACCAAATAAAATGCAGTTTTCTTTTATTTTTCCTTTATGACTCTTATACTATCTTCCCGATAATATATCCTGTATATGTATATTTTATATTTAAGTAATTGAAATAGCAAACAAGCTGATGGCACACCTAAGGAACTTTTTTTCTCTGTCTTGTCTATCTGCGATAAGCCAATTAGCTTTTATCCGATTTGATTTAGCTTTAACAACAACTGTCCTGTAGTCCATGCATAATGCTTCAATCTAACAACTAATATATATATAAGGAAGACCACATCACTGGATGTATGTAAACTCAAAGCAATCTAAGGGAAAAAGGCAGTCGTCGCTAATAGTACCTACCGCGAACATCACCACTGTCACGTGACGCCCATGGTATAGTAGTCCGGCAAATATTTACTTATATTTCATTTCTGTTTATGTAGGCACGTAGTTAAATAATTAAAGCATAATTATATTAAATTATGCTATTATTATATTATTAATTAAAATTACATTTTGGTACGATAAATCACGTTCATATAAAGAAAGTAGTTTGTATTCAGTGTATTTATTTAATAAATAAAAATAACAACTCGCACGTAAAGCACATTATTTATTGGCTAAAATCTCACTTAAAATTTTCTTCTTCTTATCACCTTTATTGAACGTGTGTTTCTGAAATGAAATACATTATGTTATTTGTTGTTCATATAAATACCACTTCAGATATTTATACATTTCAGAAAAGTTAATACATAGATATTAAATGAATTACTTTGTGTGAATAACACAAGATGATTAATTTCTTATGACCTGTGTATTGGTTAATGAATAGTAATATTATAAATATGAACAGGTCCATCTATCTGTTACCATTTCACGACTAAAGGCAGAACGGATCCTAATAAAATATACCATGAAGATATATTAATAATAATCCTGAACAATCTCTACAGCGCCATCTAATCTCGAGCTGAGCTGAGCTTGTATTATGCGTACTAAACAATTAATTATACTAAATAATAGAAATCCTTAAATTCATTTTTTGTAAATACATACATATATAATATACATAAAAATCACCTACACCAATGCAAACAATCAAATTAATTAATAACGGTGTGTTAAAACTCGAGACCACCGAGGCACATGATTAACTTAAAAAATAACATATATTGTGTTAAGAAGGCTATTTAAAAAAAAATATCGGGGAGGTGGTAAAATAGGGTACGAAATTTTATAAAGACGAAATTGTTAGAAACCGTTAGTAGATAATTAGGCCACCATTAGTGCTTATAAACTTCTACCGATCCATGCCGGCTTTGCATGAATGCATTACAAATATTTGGATTTCTCTGCTTATGCTATATTACAACACGCATGTATTATACATATAAAGCTTCTTCTTGAATCACTCTACTTCTGAAAACTGGTTTAAAATCCGTTGCCTAATTTAAAGCTCCTTAGTATAAGCTAACAGACAGCGGCGGTGACTTTGTTGCATACTACATAAAGATAGTATAGGCCTAAATTGTATCATAATACATAAAAGTTAAAAAGGTGACATGTATGACAGAAAATAGTGGACGTAAACATACAACAAACTCAACTCATAACTCAACAAACTCATAAATTATAGGCCTTGTAAAATATATAATCAAATCGAATGGGTTTACGTTGTTAATATTGAAGGCCACTTTTGTGGAATATAATCAATTCTTATTAGAATTAGTAATTACTGGTTAAAAGCAATTATATGTCACCTTTTTCTTTTCAGATGTCATGCCAACAAATTCCTTTCTCACTTTCTTTTCTCTGGGTTGTTCTTTAAAGTTTGGTCTCTCATTGGTAGGTACTTCACCACTCTCCTGTAATGAATAAATTGTCCTTAAGAATTAATTTAAATGTTTGTTTCATTAATTCAGCAAATTGTCATTTTTAAACACTGAGATCCCAATAAAACATATTTTTTTCTAATTTGAAAGTTTATAAATATTTTATAATTTTCGAATTGTAACATGATTTTTATCTTACATACAAGGCAAATGATTGCGTAACAGTTACCTAATTCATAGCAACTAACTCCATATACTCTATCTACACTACGGCTTCCTGTTTTATAGTAGTGTATAATATTAACAAACCTGATTTTTTCTTTTATTCATAATCCTTCGTTCTGCACCCTCAACCATATCATTATTACGCTGGTTTTGTCCAAAGTTTTGTTTGCCCTTGAACTGATTGTTTCCGTCATTATTACTTGAGATATTCCTTCCTTGATTATGCCCTGAGAAATTTCTTCCCTGATTTTGCCCAGAGAAATTTCTTCCCTGGTTTTGCCCAGAGAAATTCCTTCTCTGGTTTTGCCCAGAGAAATTCCTGCCATGATTTTGATCTGAGAAATTCCTTCCCTGATTTTGACCTGAGAAATTCCTTCCCTGATTTTGCCCTGTGAAATTCCTTCCTTGAGTTTGTCCTGAAAAATTCCTGCCCTGATATTGTCCTGGGAATTTTCTGCCTTGATTCTCTGCAATATTCTTTCCATCATAATTTCTTGAAAAGTTTTTCCCTTGTTTATTTTGATTATACCTGCCATTCTGATTAAACTGTTTGCCTTTAAAATTATTCCCTCGATTGTTACTTTTATTACTCACTTGAGTGCATCGTTTGACGCGTAATATTCTATTTTTTATGGTCAAATCCTCATCTGTTAAAGCTAGAGCTAATTCTACTCCATCCTTTGATTCAAAATTTACATAACCAAATCCTAAAAAAAATATTTATTTACATTAATGACTTTATTTAAATTGTATTAGTTGGTTATCTTAACTATTCATAATTATTGTTAAAATATATGTCTAATTAATAAGGAAATGTATAACCAAATATTCAAAACTTGAAGTAATTCTATCTTACTCAAGTAATGTATAATTTTTGTCATCATTATTTCAGACTTTCAAAATCTACTGAGGCATACTTCATAGGAATAGTCTTGAGTCAACTATATTTATTGTCTCTATATATATATATTAGTAGATATGGACTTCCTTATTTTTTTAAGTATTAATTATATGCTGAATTATTTAGAAAATATGTCACTATAAAAATGTATTAGGTATAAACATACCTTTTCCAGCATTGGTCTTTTTGTCCCTTATAATCCTAACAGAGACAATGTTGCCACATTTCTCAAACTTCTCCCTCAAGCCCTCATCTTCCAGAGCAAATGGCAAGTTCCCAACAAACACAGAGAGACGTGGGTCGTGTTCTGCGCCAGTTGAGTCGCTCCTCGAAACTCGGAGATGATTATTATTCAACACTGTATTGTTCTCAATTAATGCCTATGGAAGGAAAGGAAATATTTTTGTACTTCTATATCTTTATGTAACTGGAATGGTAAACAAGCAGATAGTGCACATCATGGAAAATTAGAATATTTTCCATTTACTAGCTGTGTCAGCAATCTTACCTGCTTAAAATTTATAGTCTATATATTATTCTCATGTATAAACTACAATATGGTAAAGTTTCATCAAAATCCGTTCAGTAGTTTTGCGTGAAAAAGTAACAAACATCCATCCATACTCATGTTTATAATATTAATAATAAGATATGTATATGAAAGTCATCTATCATGGTATACCTCATACATTGCCATTGTACTGTATAAAGTTGTCATGGCTATCTGGCTATAAATATTACAAGTATTGTAATTTCACTACCTCAGCTCACACTTCAAATTGACACACATGTTACTATTTCATGTATCTTATATGGTGCTAAGGAAATGCCGGATTACTGCAAATGTGTGACAACTCCTATTATAGTATATATAATTGATTACTGAAATTAGATTAAGTTTATAAATTCAAGTTAGTATATATAGCAGCCTATAAAGTATATATATATACATACTACTATATACTATATATAATATAATGATGTATGTAAAATACCTCATCAACAGATGATGACTCCTTAAACTTCACATAAACATTGACAGTAGATCTATCTGGGTGCAATTCATTTTTAATAACAGCCAGTTTTGGTGTTACTCTGCCATCTTTTACAGGTACAGTGCGGATCCTAGAATGTTAAATTCAATCAATAAAAAGAAAATTACATGGTTAATTGTTCAACTTAAATTATAATTGCAAAAAACAAATTTTAATATATTTTTTAGAGAAAGCCATCATAAATTTGAAGATATGATAGCTGGGAGATAGGAGATTGTGTCAACTAATAACCCCATTGCTAGAAATATACTATAATATACTAGTTGACCTCCACATGGTGGCCCCAATTTTCATGATGTCACAATATTTTCACAATGGGATAACTGACTGACCAGAAGTTCAACCTACCTCCTTCTACTGTCAGCATAAAATGTTAGCATAATCTGGTGAACCAAACCATTGTCATATTATTGCTAGATATAAAAATTATTTTGAATCATAAATCATTTTATATTTTGTGTATATAAAAATGAAAATGAAAAATGTTTATTCCATTCAAAATTGACTTGTTTTCTACAACACAGTATTGAGATGAAATAAAATAAGAATATGCTTGTCTCATATTACTAATATTGAAGTGTTTATTAAACACATGAATGTTTGTTACATATAGTAAACAAAGAAATATCTCACCTAATTGTTTCAATGGCTCCATACTTATTAAAAATGCTTTTAATTTCTTTTTTACATTTATTACTAAAGGGCACATTGCCCACAAACAGTGTTCTTTTTATCTCATCTATGGTTACTGGCTCCACTTCAACTTTTGGTGATATAGCCTTCCCAGATGGTTCTTCTTCTTCGTCTGAACTATCATCAACAGGGCCAGTGTCTAGTATTTCATTATTGGCATATTCAGTTTCTGATTCTATCTCATTATCAGACTCATGCTCTGAATCTGAATCTTTGTCTATTATGGCATTGGGGTTAACAATGGTCTTATTCTTTTTTTTAGATTTACCTTTGACATTGTCACTCATTTCTGAATTTATGCTAGTATGATCACTTTTATTAGTTTCTTCAATAACTTTTTTGGTGTTTAATTTCTTTGATGTCTTCTTTTTCTTTTGAGGTACTACTACTATATCAACCATATTTTCATTCAACTGCTGATGTTCATTATTAGAAACTATTTTATCTTCATTAGTTTTTCCAATAGGTTCAGTTGATTTCCTCTTTTTATTGGTTTTATTTTTGGGGGTCATGTTTTCTGTACTCATAGAAATATGTGTTTCATCACTCTGGTTTTTAGATAACTTACCCTTCTGTTTTAGATTTTTAATCTCTGTTAACGATTGATCACCATTTACAATTCCAATAGCGTGGTCAGATAAAGATTGGCGTATTTTTTTATTCTTTTTAATTTTATTTTCTTCTTTAGCAGTTTCTTGATCTTCAATGCTATTATTGGGTGTCATATTATGTTTACTTCCAGGTGACTTAGGACTTCCCAAATGCGAATTATCATTGTCTAAATCGTCCTCCAGATGCTTTTTAACTTTGTCTGCCTTTGGGCTCGTTGTTGAGTTGTCAGAGGTTACATCTAAATTAGGATTTTGAAATATTCTTTTAGGCGATTTTTTAACAATAGCCTTTTTCTTTTGAAGACTAGGAGAAAGGAATATGGACCTATCGTCTACAAATTCACTTTTAGGCGTAACGTTAGGAGACTGTTGATGTTTTATCGGTGTTAGAGCTCTCCTCACTACTTTAGGGCGATTCGGGGTAACATCGCCTGAAATCAAAGCCGCTATACTGCCTACCTCATAATCCATACTTTCATTTAATTTTAATAATACATATAGTATTAATAATGAAAAATTGTAAGAAATTCAATACAATACACGACACACGTGTGAAAATAAAACACAGATCACAAAGACCACACCAGACTAGGTATCAACCACAGACTTCTTTTTTTGACGGCCGTCAAGACGACATTGATTGCATTTTACCAGAGAGAAATTAATACTTTTAATAAAAATTGGCATCACTTTATAACAAAAGAAAATAAATAATAATATAATAATAATAATAAAATTTTATATATCTATCAAACTTTAGTAGTTATAAAAATAAGATCTTGCAGAATTTTACATGTATTGTTTTTTGTAATGTGACGGGTTAATAAATGAGAGAACAAAACAAAACTCTAATGTTTAGAATTAGAATGAACTATTAAGGTATGACGTGTAAAAGAAAATATTTTTAAGGGCTCTATAATATAAGAACTGTTTTAAGTGGAACAGTTAAAGACAATCTGGTTTAATAGACATATTTACCGATGTCTTATTTCAAAATGTATTAATAAAAACATACTATATGTATTAATAAAACATATCAACATAATAATAATGCAGTAATATATTGCTAATATTAAAATTATTTAATTTTGTTGTAAATGTAAATAATTACGTTATTTTAATTTCATGATAAATTTGGTTTTTATTTTATTAAGTACGGTACATATAATTACTCTTTTTCTTAATAAAGTTTAGCCTAATAAGAAAGATGATAATAACACTGCTAGTAAACAGCTAACTGGCTACCTACTGTTGTGGGCTAAAGAGTTTAAAAGATATCCTCAACTGTCGTCTACTTTGTTTGTGGTTTAAAAACATGAATGTAGTGATATAGACGCTTCTGCGGTGTGTTAATGAATTTGTTTTGATTGTTGTTCGCTTATTTCGATTACAATAAGTTCTGTGTTTTATTTAGTTAATTGTGGCGAATATTTTTGAATTCTGAAAGTGAGTATAGCAAGTTTAAATGCTTTGTTTTTAGTTTTTCTATTAATCTCTTAGACGCGCGCCATTACACCGCTCCCCGCCATTCTCTATTTTTTTGTACTGATTGTTTAGATATATCAAATTTTCCTGTTGTTTTATTATATTATCTGCTACATGAAACTATTGCGTATGTTCAATTTAAACGATTAATTGGTAATAGGTGTAATATCGTCGTAGGTTATAAAATCGGCATGCCCGGTTTGTTCGTCATTAGAATTCATTGAAACTAATTCATTACAATGGTAACCTTAGTTTTTATGATCATAGACCCGACTTGTTATTGTCATATACTTATTCTAAATGAAATTTAATGAAAGTTTTATACCTCTATTAGTACACAGGACTTAAATTCTCCAAACCGTTGTGGTTATAATTGGAATTTTTAAAGTTTAATCTTTATTGTTCAAATTTTGAATTTGGAATAACTCACATATTCTACAATAATTTTATACTTAAAACTGATTAACCTATATATCCTAAGATTACCACCGCTATAATATTAATTGAAAGGGTACTCCAAAGAATTGGATTGGCACTTACTGCTTACTTATTTTTAGAATGTCATTAGAAATAATGTTAATATAGAAAAAATTATCTCTAAAAGAGATCTCTTCAAATCAATCCAATACAGTGTCGCATGTAAATGTAAGTTGTGTAAATGTATGTAGCCTCACATCTGGGCCATTGTGTGTAGAGCCGAGACTACTAGAATAGCCAGCCAAGCTCCTCCCAAAAGCGCAGAAGTCTTTTGGTGTCTTACAGTAGTGGCATATGAAGTATTGGGTGGGCCAAACTGTGCAAATAATCTTAATAATATAATTTCACACAAAAACCACTGAACAGATTTTGATGAAACTTTACAGTAATATGAGAGTAATTATGCATCAGAATAACAGGCTTCACGGAGTGACCTCACCGTTCCGAGGATTGTATAATAATGGTACATGTGCACTAAAAATATTGGTTGGTATAAAATTGGCCTATGCTTTAACCGTGATGCTTAACGGCGGCTCACGTAATCCTGGAGGGCACAGCAGTGGCCACACAACGAAAACAAATCCTTGGAACGGTGAGGTCGCTTCATGAAGCCTGTGAAGATACCAGGAGACTTCTGCGCTTTTGGGAGGAGTTCGGCTGGCTACTTTAGTAGTCTGGCTCTACTCACACAACAGGCCAAATGAGAGGCTAATTGCGGAGATTGGAGTCTAATTTACATTTAATCGTGATGCTTTCCAGAATGGTCTATGCGGAGGTCAATGTGATATGGTACATTAGTAGCAATATTATTACTAATATTGCTACTAATGTAATGTAAGTATTATTACCCAAACTTGACCCCCCCTGACTCTAATAACTATTACTACATTGCTAAATAGGCACATGCTTTAAATATTTAATGTTCATGACAAATTCATAAGTTGGGTCTAGCCTAATACATATTTCCTGGTGGGTTTTTTAGGCCCAAAGATATGGTGAATGTAATAGATTTGGTGAAGATATTGGATTTATTTATTTATACAAATAATACAGTGAAAGGCATTATGTTTTTGATGAAAAATCTAGCATTTAATCATTTAGATTTAATCAAACTTGATAAGTGTAATATAAACATTACTTAGAATATCTGATGATTCAAGTACATATATATTTAGTTGTTGAAATCAATCACTAGGTGCAGGTTAAAAGTACATGGATTTTTATGCCATTCATATTAATAATACTGTAATAAAAATAAGTAAAAGCAAATATTATGTCAATGATATAAATTTTCAGTTTGTTTACTATTTGATAAGGCAAGTATGTGTCACAGATTTAGATTTATACCTTAGTTGTACTCTAGAAATAATATTTCAAGCAAGTAATGTTTATTCTATGATTATACTTAGTTTATATTTTGATATATTTTTTCATACAATGTAAAAAAATATTTTGAAATAATTAACACATTATTTATGATAGTTATTGTTGTATTATTTTTTTATGAGTACTAATATTATGAAGCTTTCAAACTATTATAACTGCATTTTAGTTATGTGAATTACTTAACTGTTTCTTATATACTGCTGTAAAGTAGAAGCTTTAATCTACTAGTACGACACCACCATATACTATGCTTACAAATGTAGTTATACTCCCAACTCAACTCACATATATATATGGGAATCAAAAGGAGTAGTGTTGCATTATATTTGTTATCTGTTGTCAAATATATGGTTAATAAATATGATAAAAGATCACTATTCCTGAAATAGAACAAAGGAAAGGAACACTATACATAGGTTTATACAAAAATACAATCACTGCATTATGCATCATATCTCACTTATACTAAAAGATATTGTAGTGTAAAACTACAATATCTTTTAAAAACCAGCATGAATATTGGTTTAAACATTTCTTAAATATCATGAAAACCTTACAGTATATCTTTTGAACTAAGATTAATGGTATATATATCTAAGATTAAATAAACTACCTTAAAAATTGATTAATTTCTTTTAAAGAATTCAAATTAAAATATTTTTTTTATATTATTGTAGTGGTAGACAAGCTGACGTCAGTAGTGGTCTTTTTGTAAATATTTACATGAAGAGCACTACTGACGTCTTGTTACCTTGTGACACCTGCTATATTAAGGATCTGATTAAAAAGAAGAACTAATAATTAAAACTTAAATATATGTGCCACTTATTATTAAAAACCTGAAAATTATGTTATCAAAAGTTAAATTGCTAAGTATCCAAACTAGAAAACCAACCTTTTTTCTCTGAATTATTTTAAGGCATATCTCCTCTAAAATTCCTCACTTCTGATATATAAAAAATATAGCATGTTAGTAAGGTATAATTGTAGCCCGCTGGCGATGGCGTAGATTCGGCCCTTCACATTAAAATTACTGATGCATAAAAATCACTCATCCATGCTTGTTGTAACATAAGATGTCTGGTGTGGTCTGTTACAAACTCGATAGCGTGATTTAATTCTTATAAAACATAGGTATAACTTATTATGATCTGATTACGGTAGGACTGATACCTGGTAGGAAGAGCGAGCTGAGACACTATTTTATCATATACTTAGATTAGACCTCTTGCAGTAAAATATTTTTACATCTGGCAGCAAATACATGGCCGTGATAAACCTTAATATAACGTTACTATTAATGACATTATTAATCTGTTGTTAAATCTATAAGCATTGAAATATATTTACAACTACATGATTTTAGAATTGTCCTTACGTACTTTTTAAGTAGGCTGAAAAGAAAATTAACATACAATAGTAATCTTACTTCGCAACCTGCAAATAGGTACATTCAACATATTAAATAACTTTCTAAAACGGGTTTTACAGATTATTCATTATTTTATTATATTTAGTAAAAAAAATTGGTAATAAATTGCAATAGACGAAATATTAATTATGGGAACGCTAACATTACACTTACATACACATGTATGCGGTTCGGATATCACACGTACTAATCGATAAATCGATCCTTTCGATTTCAATATCTCCAGTGTTGTATTTTTTATACAACTCATTATAATGTGGGCCACGTAGGCACTTATGAACTCACAACCTCCTCATAAGAAGCCTTAAACTAAGTACTATGATATAAATTCCATAATATTATATATCATAACTTTGTCTGCTTTTTTATCTTCATAGAGGTATTTTTTAATTAATTTATGGTTAAAATAGTATTCTACCGCTTTATGATTGATAAATAGAAAAACAAAACAGTACAGTGTCTGAAATAGCTATGTTTGAGGTTTTAAGTTATTGTGAAAAAGGTTGTTCTTGTGAATATATACCTATAACTTAATGACTATGAGGTCAGGTCAGTTAGCCTATCATTGTTTAACCTGACCAGACTGGTACATTGCTAGAAATAGGTTCATTGATGCACATTACTAACAATACTCTACCGTCCTATAGTAACGTTAGCTACAGTCAGCGACATATTTTTTTTTGGAGTGTTAGGAATACTTAACAACTGGTTAAGTCTATATTTTCATAGACAAAATAAGCAAACTGTAATTTCTACAAAATAATTTCATACTATAACAGCCATGCCACAGCTATACAACAGCAGTCATTACGGTCATTGACCGATCCAATGGCAGGGATCCAAAATGTTACAATGAATGATTTGTGTACAGAGTGTGTTAATTGTAAGACTAACTTGACTGTTGTTTATTATTTTATTTTTAAATATATCTCCCCATGCATTTGGTTTATAGATATAGGTTCTAATTGGTAGTAACCAGGGTTGCCAGATGTCCTGTATTTGGCGACACGTTCTGCTTCTTGACAGCCTCTGTCCTGATTTTCCAATTATTGTCAACCAACTTTTTTTGGTCGCAGTGTTTCTACATAGTTATATCCTACTTTAAATACAAGATTAATATATTTTTTACTGAGATTTTTAATAAAATTCGCGTTGGAAATAATCTGTCAATATTGCAAGTAACGCAAACGTATACAGTCCTATCTTACCCCTTGTATATAGTTACTTTAGTTACCTTCAATTTTGACGTAATAATAGGTACATACAGACACGTGTATGAACACGTGACCACGTTATGTACTATACTTCTTCATTTGACATGCTAATTATTTTTGCTAAGTGCCATCTTTTTACTCCGTTTATCTCCCAACGTTCCCCCTCGCAAGTGTATAAATCGCCTCATCTATAATCATATATCTACATAGGCATTATCTTATCAAGATTCAAGATACATGATAATTTAATATCTTGTACCACAAATATGAAATTTAATCGTGACGAAATTCGTTCTGGAACTAACATAGGAGTAAACCCAATCAGTAACGACTACTCACCACAGTGCTAAGCTAATTACTTCTTAGTGCTACTTAGACTGTATTACAAAAAGGTATGGGTTTGCGTTTACAAACGCATGGAACCGAAGGATTACCTTTTAAACAAATTGGATCGTCTTCTCAATAACTCTATCCGCTTCATTTTTAATCTCCGCAAGTTTGATCATATTTCTTCTTTTCGTTCACAGCTTAAATGGCTACCTATCCGTTACCGTAGAAATGTACGTATGTTATGTACTCTCTATTCTGTTCTATACGATCCAAATTCTCCTGATTATATTAACAGTAAATTTCATTTCCATGGGGACAATACTAATATTAGCTCAACTCAAAAATTCTTACTTCATATCCCCCAGCTCATCTATCTGGTTTAGTCTACTATTCCTTCGCCGTTCAGGCTATTAAACTTTGGAATGACTTACCCCTTAATATCAAGACCGCCACGAGTAGATTTTTAAACTTAAACTGTGGGACTACTATCTAAATTCGTAAATTTGTTTTTTTTATTTATTTTATTTTTCTCTCGTTTCTCTTTACCTTATATTTTTCTTTTTATTCTCTGTGGTGTAACTGTCAGATTGTTTGGTATATATTCATATAGTTGTGTATGTATTGCGTATGAGTATATATTTGTATATCATATTATATATTCCTTCTTTGTTTATATATTTTTATATTTATTAGAAATGTTATAGTATAAATATTATTATATCATTTTTTATGCCTTGAATTTTAATTTTTTTTTTGTTATGATGATTTTTGCACCGTCAACAATTTTTCTCTGTACTGCCTATGGTTGACTGGTAGAAAATACCGCATGGTGTTAAATCCGCCAAATGTACTGTTACTTTTGTACTGTGTGCATTAAAGTTATATAAATAAATATTAATAAATTACCGGTAAAAAGACACTGGGTTATACCATTCATCCCTCTACAAAAATACATTACAGGTCCACTGATGGGCACAGGTTTCTTAAAATGAGAGTTTTAAAATACATCATTCTTAATTTAACGTCTCTGTATGCCAAGATAAACGATCACGTAACGAAGTAATAGCCAATTGTAACTCCCCTCGTCTCAATGTTATTTTATTTTTTCAAGAGCATTTGCTTGTGATAAAGCACTCTATCTTTATAAATAGTTATCTAACATATATTTTTTTATTTCTTTGAAATTTACGGACTTTTGCAAACTAAAAGTACATGCCAGTCCCATTATGCCTTAAAACTAATAACTATAACACTTCACCAGTGATTTTGCTTTTAAATTGTCTTTTTTTTTAATTGTCTTAACCGCACTGCGCTATCTGAAGGATCGGCTAAAACACTTTGTATGATACCAACACCGAATATATTTATAGTTTCATGGTCTGACGTTATTCTGTGTAAAATATGTTACTAAGTTAAAATACAGAACAAATGAAATTTTTGATCTGTGAGTTAAACAGTATATCGATAGAAAATTTTGAAAATATATTGCTAGGTAATGAAACATATGAAGAAGAAAACTTAAAAGTGAATTGATTTGAGATAATGTTTCTATTTACCGCACAGTATAATGAGACTACAGATTACATCTTTATTTTTATTTCAATTGCGAACTTTACATCCAGTAACAGTTGATAATCACAGTCTTATCTTCAAATATTATAGATTATAGAAACGCGAAAGTTTGAGTATGGAGGGGTGGATGTTTGTTACTTTGTCTTCATCTTCATCACACTTACATGATATATCATTATATTACGCTCATTTTACATAACATTTTTTAAAATTATAGCCTATGTGTTATTCTGATGTATAAGCTATTTTACTGTAAAGTTTCATCACAATCCGTTCAGTAGTTTTTGCGTGAAAGAGTAATAAACATCCATCCATACTCACAAACTTTCGCTTTATAATATTATTATTCATAATAATAAGGTACTTATATTGTGAAATAAACATCATTTACGGAATTTATCTAAGCCATTGCAATTAAATATATAGAGTTATTTCTCTTATCACCCAGCTAAGTACTGTAGCCTGGTATTTAATATATAATTATAGATCTATGTCAGGTCGATACCAATATACATATGTAAATGTGTATATCGTTTATTAATACGCATAAATAACGTCTTAACGTACTTCTGTGTTACATATCGTACAAACAACTTTTTTTTAATTAGAAACCATAGAATGAAATTAATAAATATGAACAGGACAACAGATACCAAAACAATTTGTAGTCTCTCTACATAACAGGTGTAATCCCGTAAGAGGATATTAATTGATTCGCACATACTATTACCACGCTAGTCAATCTACTTGTATAGTTTTATTTCGTAAAACCTTCTTTTGTAGCTTGATACGTGTATTGTTATTCAGAACGACCGAGTTATATCAACATAATAACATGCGGAAATATGTAGTTACTTATATCGGTGCCATTCTTACACACAGTAGTCATGGCGATGAAGGACAGCAGATGTCGGGTGTGATCAATATTAGACTTTAATAGGACTAATTTGGTTTTGTAGTCCTCAGTATTTCTATAATTACGTGCCTATGTTGTCAACGAACGTGCCCTCGTGTAAATTATTTTATCACGGCAGATTATGAGAACCAATATAATCTGCCGTTTCATTGCTTGTAGGCATATAGATAAAGAGCTATCGGCCATATATAATTATAAAAATGTTAACATAAATTGAGGAGAACTTCACGGTAATTATAAACTACTTGAATGTCACCAGGACTTCAAAGACTAATATGAATGAAACTATAATAGATGAAAAAAGAAGACTACGCATTCTACCGATTGTGAATGGCTTGTATTTTCTTCCCAACTCTTTATTTAAACAATGAAATGCCGTCAGTAGCTAATTTCTGAAAGAGCCCTTGGTAAATGCCAAAGTACGATGCAATGCATAGTATGTAGCGAGTAATATTTTAGGAAACTTATATTTATTTTTTATTGTATGCTAATACCTAGTTAGTAACATCAGAAATATCATTTATTATATTTTACCTAACTTCATAATAATCACGCTTGAAATATCATAGTAGCAGTTCTAATATATTTTTTACATTTTTAAAATGGACATTAAATCTGTCTATTTCATATGTAATTTTACTGTAACGATATATAAATAATGTTTTTTATGTAGGTTATTTGCTGGCATTATGTTTTTGTGGTTAGATATACATGAGGCTCAATATTACCTATAGTCATACTACCTTGGATCATACACAGTATACATATCTTCCTTGTTTTCCGACTATACGGCACTTTAATCTATTTGTTTTTACTATTGTACTCGTCCTATATACGTTATACGTGTTTACACATACTAGGAAAATAGTGGCACACTAGTGTTTTAATGTTAAAATATGGAGGTTTACGTCTAATAATGATTAATGGAAATAAATGCCCCTTGAAATTTTCCACGGAATCATTACATTATATAAGAATGGAAATATGTGTTCTGAGAAATTGGATAACATTGACGACATGTGTTTATACACGTGCTTACACACTTAGCCATTTACAGGACACTATGGATAGTGTTATATGAGCGCATACCCTGAACTGTAGGATTAGGTTAAAATATAAAATCTTTTTAATATTATAAATGCGAAAGTTTGTGAGTGTGGATGGATGTTTGTTACTCTTTCACGCAAAAACTACTGAACGGATTTTGATAAAACTTTTTACAGTAATATAACTTACACATCATTATAACACATAGTCTAAATTTCATGCGGGTGAAACCGGGTTCTGCTAACATAAAATAAACGAGATGTACAACTTTTTGTTTTCCCAAAATTTATTTTAAATAATTTTCAAGCAAATGTAATTGCACCCATAGGTACTTTCTGTTGCTATCAGCCCGTCTGTATCTTGGACCAAACTGTGTTATTAACAACTAATGGTGTGTATGCGTGGTCGTTCACCCCGCGTGTCTACGCGTAGTTGCGTGTGTTAGACACGGATAAATACTAATCAAATAAGACTTCTAGGTTCGCCACACGGCTGAATAAAAATTTACTCGTAAATTGTTTGTCATGACAGACTCTACAGAACTATTAAGTCTAGCAAGAGTTCATATTTGGAATACATGCCTGTTTTATAACGTACTTCATCATCCACTGTAAGATAATTTTTAAATATTCTTATGAGATTGGCATATAGGCATTAGGCAATAGCACACACAAATAAACGTAAACTCCGTGGTAAACAAATTATAAATTAGAAATGAAATGGAACTCTTTGACGTGGTAAACTCGTTATTTTTGTTTACGTCTACTTGAATATGTAAACTATATTTTAAGATACCAAATAATCTAATTTCCGTACTATCTAAAACCGGTAAAGCGCGATTTCTCAATAATTGGTGACCGTTATTTCTGTTCATCCATTTATGATATATCTTACCTTTATATCCATCAAATATTTTGTTTTGTATGTTACATTTTTTTTGTTATATTATATTATATTATATATGTCTTAATATTTAGACAGATAATGATTAATCACATATATAATATTAGTACCTTGTATCATTTGTAAAATATCTAATAATATGTAGTTTTATTATCCATATTGTTGGAGTTTTACAGCTAACATTGTTGTTTAAATGCATGTATTTAATGATAATACTACGCCCGAAAATATGTACTCGGATAATTTATTTGTTTGTATTCCCAGTGAAATTAAGAAAACACAAAAATTTAAGTGAATGTTACTGAAATATATCAGTACAAACCGCACCCAAATCAGTTAAGTCGTTTCTGAGATTAGCTGCGTTCTAATCTCAGAGACGACTAACGCACAGACCAACAGAAAATTTCTAACATTGTGTTCGTTTCTATTATATGGACAAAGTCTCGTAAAGTCGTAATATATCTGCAGGCACTAATCACTGATAAACAACTGAATATATATATTAATATGTGTTAGCTGGACATTTACAAGATATGTGTTATTTGCAGGTGAACCATGAGCCAGAAGGCATCGACCCGTAAAGGGGGAGTAAACGAAGATAAGGAGAAAGAAAAGGTAAGGAATTGCCAATTTAGAACGTTCCGCGCCTTATGGTAATCAGTTCCATACTTTAACCTCTGTAGATCTGCCAAACCGGGGACGTCACACACAATACCTACTACTTACTATGCCAGTTTATATTGGGTTGACTGGAAAAGATCTATTTCAGAGATTACATTATATCTAATAGTTATTATTGTTATGTATGTTTAGTGTAAAAAAGTACATTTATGTTTATTGCTGAGCTGAAACTCTGTGCGGGGAAGAGGAGGTTGATGTTAAAGGTTGACCTTCACACTCCCCCTTCGACTTCCCCTTTGAAATTATCGTGGTTAGTTCTTGATGAATATGCTAGGATGGGTTTAGCTATCACATATCCTATCATGCTTCGTTCGTGGCCCCCCAAAAAAATCATTTTGTGCAAGCACCCACCATTACATGTTGATTCATTAAAATACATGAAACTTGTAATATTTAATGTACTAAGAAAATAATATCTGTAATCTGATCGTTTTTTACTATATTAAAATGTTGCCTTAATAATTATAATAATGTATTGTATAGGTGATACCGAAAATTACTAGAACTACACAGTATTCTATTCTTAACCTATATTGTCCCACTATTGTGCGAAAGTCTCTTCATGTAATATTTGTTTTACGCCACCTCGTACCAGCTCTTTTAGTAAGTTTCGAGGTCAGCCACGCTAACTTATTATTGTAATATCTATCCCTAAAAACATTTTTAGATTTTACATCGATATACTTATACTATTTATTCTATAACTAGTATTGTCCTCGCGTGTACATTAGGACACGCCTGCTATTGATGATAAATTAAACAACAGTAAATAAAACAGCTGCATGACAGCATTTATTTTTTTATTACTAACTAACTGTGCCCGCGACTTAGACCGCGTGAATTAAACTTTATTTTTCTAAAATAAAAGTGCCTCAGTTACTCCTTACTACATCAGCTACCTGCCAAAAAAAGCCCCATCAAAATCGGTCCAGCCGGAACAAACAGACCAAAATGGTAAAAAGTGTTATTTTGGTGTATTTGCCGTATTTATATTCATATGCTTGTAGTAAAAAACTATTTCAATATTATTTAGTATTAGTTATTTATTAGTTATTTCAATATTACAAACAGACATTCCAATTTTATTTATATGTATAGATTAATACGATTGTAGGTGGTGTATTTATATTATAACTATTCGTGAAATTAATTCTTCCTTTATTTTTTCGGCTTTCTTTAGCCAATATGTTGCCTCATATTTAATAACTAATCTGTAAAAATTTAGTCCTTAATTCTCCAGCCCTTTTTACAGAAAGTATAAAGCACAGATCAGTTTTCGCCTCGCTATAATTTTACGATTTTGTTATATGTAGTAATTATGTCTCGTATCGGGAGTCAGAACTTAACAACTACAAACGATAACATAGATTTTACTACCTACTTGGTATGTGAGGCTTCTCTGCAGGCTTTTATTAGTTATGTATACGGGCATGGCAGGTGTTTGTACTCGCGCAACAAGTTATTATGTGGGCCAATAACCTACTGTTTTCTCTATGCAATTTAAATATAAATATATATGAGGCCTTCCTTATGTTAAACGTTAAGGATGAGGAGATCCCAACATTTTGTGCATAATAAAATAAATATAATATAAGTATCATAATTTAAATTTATATTATATATTTCTTATATATAAAAATAAACGAAAAACTTGAAAACATTATAATAATAATAAATATAATTGCAAAATATGTAACATCACATAAATGTTACCAGCATGTAAGAATCATGACAATGGGTCCAGAAAAATGTGACATCAATTGTTGATTACTTAAACTTATATTACTAGTTAACTTCTACTAAATTAGTAATAGAATCAAAACAGAAGTAAATTATTTTAATTAAAAAGCAACCATCCGTAAAGATGACTTGATTTTTTTCTAGAGACTATGTCCTTAACAAAGCAGAGAATGTTACTAACGCGTTCCGGGTAAATGAGCAATGTTTTAACAAGTAAATTAAAGTAAAATAAAGTTGTAAATGTTTACGGTCAAATATTTTAGTTGTATACTAAATGACATTTACTATTTGAATATATTGTGCGCTCCATACATTATCTGTCTTCAAATGATTTTTATAATATATTAATATTAAAAAGAGAAAAGATTTGTTTTTTTTGTAATAGATAAAGAGAATTGAATTGCAGAATTTTAAAAAACCTTTATGTTCCAATGGTACATTATTTTTTAGGGACACGGCCTATGTATATATTGTTTCAATAGGGTATACAAAGGTATGAGCACCCCGGTACACTAAGTTTAACAGTTATGTGTTTCTAAAAAAGTATTATTCTATTTTTTTTCAGAGACAGACAGAGAGCCCTGTAAATGATATTAAGAAAAAAGTGGTCGCTAACTCTGAGAAAGAGAAGCAAGTTGCAGAAAAGAGTACAGATAAAACCTCAGAAAAGAAATCTGAGAAAAGTAATGACAAAACTGAGAAGAATGTAGACAAAGCAGATAAAAAAACAACAGAGAAAAATGCTGAAAAGAAGTCGGAAGCTCAAGAGAAAACTAAAGAAGATAGCAGTAAAGGAGAGAAGAGTGGAAAGGTACTAACATTATGTAATATTGTTGTTTTATTCTTGTATACATACATTTTTGAATAGAACATAAATCATTTAACTAACTTTTTTGATTTGATACTAATAGTGTAGGCAATAATAATTCAATGCGCTAGGAGAAAATAGGGGAAACTCACATTGACAATAGAGGCAATTCACATTGTTAATTAATTTTCTGAAAAGAGAAAATGGATACGGTTTAATCACAATTAATTTTAATTTAATCATAACTTTCGTTAGCTACTCCACTAATAATTCCAGGAGAAGCAGGATGAGAAAAAAGATACGAGGAAACAGAACGGAAAAGATGTACACAACGGCGTCAGTAACGTCACGAATACAAACGGAACTGACGAAGCGTTGAACGGAACGGTGAGTGAATCGGATGATGACGAGATGTTGGTCATAGACGATCACGACCAAGACGAACTCTTCCCAGAACTGACGTATGATGACACGTCGGACGCTGAGTGTTTCGAACCGCCGACTCCGGAGAACGCGCCAAGTCGCAGCCTGACAAGGAGATCACAGGTACCCATGTTTGGTACCTGCGTTGTTATGTTCGGTGCGTGTGTGGTGACGGACGCGTCGGAACATTTCGTGACGCACATGGGCATCGCGAGTGTAGCGAGTGTTCTGAACGCGCATGTGATGAATGTGTGGTAGCCACATCCCACCATGCGTCAGTGATGAATGTGTGGTGGCCACATTCCACCACAGGTCGGTGATGAATGTATGGTGGCCACATTCCACCACAGGTCGGTGATGAATGTGTGGTGGCCACATCCCATCATGCGTCTGTGATGAATGTGTGTTGGCCGCATTCCACCACAGGTCGGTGATGAATGTGTGGTGGCCACATCCCATCATGTGTCTGTGATGAATGTGTGTTGGCCCCATTCCACCATGGGTCGGTGATGAATGTGTGGTGGCCACATTCCACCATGCGTCGATCATGTGTGTGTGGTGGGATGTCACGGTGACGTTACAGGATACGAACTCACTATTTGTTTTTCACTGAAATTATTGTATGATTTTTAAATTGCATTTGCATTGTTAATAGTGGCATTACATGATAAAGTTAATCTGTGAAATAAGCTATTTAAAAAAATTCAACTAAAGAGAAATAAAATTTGTTAAAAAATTAAGTTACAACTATTTTAACATTTAATAATAATCTTCAAAAATATATTTCGCGCAATGAAGGTCTTACAATAATTTCGATTTGAGAGACAATAAAGTTTCAGTAAGTAGTTATTTAAGATTATTTAATGAGGTGTTGGTTTCGCACGATAGCATGCAAAAGTCATTTTAAAATTAATTTATTCATGTGCATAATTTATACATAGTGGTAGAAATCATATTACTCATTTTCCAATATTCTTGATTATTATTACAACAATTTAAAACTAAATTTATTATTGTTTGTTTATACAAGATATATAATTATAAATAGTGTTCTGGGCATAGAATATATATTTACTGAAATAAGTAACAGGGTATTTAACTTTATACTATGAGGCAAGGGATGGGGTACTTGATAGATTGGTACTGATGACAGTAATCGACCACTAATATAACATTTCTGGTGAAGGCAAAAACGACTCGCACTCCGGAGACTCCGCGGCCGTCTTCCGATCGCCAGCCGGACGTTGCAGTAGACGATGTAAGTCTATCTTCATTGCGCAATTGTCTAGCAAACGGTTTTAATAAGGAACATAACAGACATCTACGTGTAACAGAAGTAACGCAATTCCTTTTGAATACACCGAATATAGAATTTTGTACCATTATAATTATAATCCTATTATATTCATTATACAGAAATCCTTTTGTATAGACATTTGAATGTACACTTCAAACATATTTATTATAAATATAAAATGTCTATGAAATTATTTAAATTATATAAGGTCGAATCAACTATATAACATTGATCAATATGAATAAAACTTGTGCCATATTGCACGTACATTTATACACTGTACACCTGAATATACTTAAATGATAATTTAACAAAAGTGCAGTCTTTATTTAATACGTTAGCATTGACCCAAATTCAATTATTTGGTTATTGCATGACGTTGAAGTCTGCTTTCTAGACAGTAATATCCTAATAGCTGTGTTGTTATTGGAAATAAAAAAATGTATGGGATTCATATAAACTTACGAAGTCATGCGGCCTATGATTGTAAATTTAAATCTTTATCTTCTCATAGTATAAAACAAGATCGTCATCGCTGTCTGTATGCTTAAATCTTCTAAATATCAACTAGTTTTAATGTTTCCAGAAATAGATAATGTGACACTAATGCACTTTATCTATTGCTGAAAACTACGAGTGACTATGAGGAAGGTACGGAAAAGCCTTGAAATTCAATTGTAATGCCTCCGTGCAAAGCTGGGGCAGGTTACCAGTTCTATATATTTTGCGCTTCTCAATGTACAATATCGTGTTAGAATATTAATTTGTCTATAAGCTCGGTCATACTTAAATTATATTATGCAACATTAATATACAACATTTTTCCTTGGAAACAATTTAAATATGGCTACGTACTCATGGCCTCAACCCTCATATGCTTCAATTCATCTTCATGCATGGTCAACGGTGCGGGTACTACTCGTAATAACACTATGAATAATATGGGTAATCTGATCACCAAATGAATGCGTCGAATCATCTGAGTTATCAGTACTTAACTTTGTTACTAAGTTAAAACCTGGTTGTCAAGGATAATTTTAAAAGTCTGTCACCAAAATTATGCTTTAATAGCATAATTTTGGAGATAGACTTTTAAATTTTCGTTATATGAAAAATATATATATGTATATTAACTATTTTTTGGTAATGATTCTTCGATTTCAGTCAAAGGATTCCAAAGTCCTCAAAATGAAAGACGACGCGTTAACAACAGATCGCAAACTTCGATCAGCTGATTCGCCAAAACCGGAGGGTAAAAAGGAAACTACGAAACAAACGCAGGACTCGCCAAAGAAACAGGATCCTAAAAAGACACAGGACAATGAAAGTAAACAAGGTGGCGATAAAACAGACGTTGAAATTGTGATTGATCTTGAAGATTCAGAAGGTGAGTACTATAATACAATATATACTTTACATCAAATATTGTATTGTCTCTTTTAGAAAAATGTTAGCTGTGTACAGTCACAAAGTCCCGAATACAAAGCTGTCCTGTCCTGTCCTCCAATTAAAATTGGATAAGGAAACCTTTAACAATCAATTTGAGCGCTGGACTATATATTCTCAAATAGGTAATATATTGTTATCCTAAATATATATGAAATATACCTTACAGGTTCGGCACGATGTTTGCTGATGTGATAATCAGTATCAGGACAGGTTTAGTACCGCAGTATACGTGTCATAGTTATTTAAAACTATACTGAAATTTTCGTCTATATGGGTCTTATTGGAGAAAGTTGTGTTAAAATATTCTATTTTTATTTCCATCTTTATTATTATCAAGATGTAAACATGATTTGGAGGTGTAGTTCAGTATAATACATTTGATCTGGAGCATTAGCATACATTGTTATTTCTACAAATAAGAAATAGTTTTAATAACATTATTTTGCAATAATTGTAATACGTAAATTTTTAAAAATAATGAATGATAGAATTATTTTTCATTAACTATTAAAATTCAGTTTATAGTTGATGTCAGTGATGGTTTAAAAATAATCTTATTGCATGCTCAAGGAAGTTTAGTTCGCTACAATAACACGTTTTTTTATTAATGTTGTGCATGTAGAATCTATTTCAAGAAAATTGAAGTTACTTAATATTATAAAATGCTAGTCAAATCAATTGAATAGTTACCATATTGTACATTATAGAATATGGTAACGATAAGTGTAGTGTGATGCGTTATGTCCGCAGAGGCGGCAGGCGCTGAAGAATCGCGCAAGACAGACACAAACTTTTCCAAGTCTCGCGTGAAGGTGTCTCCATACCGGCGAAGTGGGCGCACCAGCCGCCTCGCCGACCATACCGCCAGCTCTGTCATGGCCAACTACACAGGTATAGTTGATATAAAAATCTTTTATTAATACATAATATCTCACACTGACAATTCGCACAACGCCATCTAATCACAAGCTAAGCAGTACTTGAGTTAAGGGCACTAGACAATTAATATCTATGTATATATACATACATAATATACGTAGAACACATCCAGACTGATACAATCATGCTCACATATATACAGAGAAAACAATAGCTTTGGTCAAACAAAACGTTGGTCACAATTTTGTGATACCCGTGTTGCTTCTCTCGTGCCACCAGGAGGTCAGTCAGCCTAATTGACATTTGAGCGACCTGTTTCCATATTTATAAAATACTAGCTACTCACCCCGGCTTCATCCGGGTGTACATGTACATTTAAACCTTCCTCTAGAATTACTATCTATTTAAAAAAAGCGCTACAAAATTCGTTGCGAAGTTTTAAAGATTTAAGCATACATAGGGACGGACAGACAGTGACAGCGACTTTATTTTATATAATATATATATAATAAGCGTGATTTATAGACCTGCTAATTGATTATGCAATGTATTTATATTTTAATATTTTCACAGTCTGAATACAATTGTGTATTTAGATTTGATGACAGAACAATAAATAGCAATCTTTTTGTCGAACTGTTACAATTTTGGATTCTATTGTATTATAATTAATTTTGTAATAATATTTATGTTCCTTCAAAAATTATAAATTGATATTTTACATTATTTAACTTCACAGGCAACAATACAACGATGGAAATGGATATAACGGAGACATCATCGTTCGTATCGGAGGATCCATCCCTGGACGATTCTTACCTGAGTGGTCTGCGCACCATCCGAGGACGGCGCTCCTATAAGCCGCTCAAGGAGATGGCTCTGAGGAACATCGGCGCCAACAGAAGTCTTCGTTCCGTCGCTAGCCTCAACTGTGAGTTGCCTTTAATAATATGCCTATATATTATATATTATAATATTTTATTATACTTACTTTTACTTAGTTTAGTTCAATACTTCACATTTTTGCAAGGAAGGGACCATCTACTTTCATAATTGTGTTTATAATTCACTGTTTATATGAATTTGACTGAGAGAATAATTTCACATATCCAAATTTATAAAATCGTTTATATCATGATGATATTTATACTTTCGACTCTAGTAATGAATTACAGTGTTGTTATGGGACATCTGATATAAAATTTTACTGTACACAACTAAATGGAATACGGTGATTTATACTAGAATGGTAAATAAGGTTATAATTCCAAGAAAGTGTTAACCACCTATGGGTGTGATGCCCGTAAATGATGTATCTTTGCTTCTTTGATCGCAAACCTGAACACAATTTGCAAATACAATAAGTGATAAATTCCTTTTAGCATCGGAACAACCGTCAAGGCCAACCGGTACCGTGGTAGGCCGCAAGCGTAAACAGGAGAATGATGAGGTGGAACTGGGCGAAGAAGCTCAAGAGGCAATTGGGGACATGGAAGTTGAAGGCGCAGTGATCGGGAAACGGCGCCGTCTTTTGGAGCGCCTCGCTCAGCCTTTCCGCCGCACACTTGCGAGCACTCCGTTACCCGCACGCCGTGCGGCAGAGGTATTTTTTTATTTATTTTACAGCAACTTAATATAATAATATTGCTCCATATTATATATACCTTAGTACTAACATATAATAATATAAAATAGTAATATTGTGTTTGTGGTCAGCACAAAACCAATATTATTATTTGGTTCCTTCTGTACACCCTTTTACGTACACTAGCAGTTCATAGTCACATACGTAGGTTTACGCACACCCGTGCCACACATGCTCCTGTACATCTTCCTAATATGATGGCTTATATAATTATTACATACGTGCTTATCAATACGTTAACGAATTATTTAGCAACTAGCCTTGTCCCCGGTTACACCCGCGTGAAATTTCTAGCCAATGTGTTATTTTAAGCTATATTGCTGTGGTTTCAATAAAATCCATTCTGTAGTTTTTGCGTGAAATAATAACAATCATTCACCCATACTAACAAACTTTCGCATTTATAATAGAAAGATATAAGAGAAGAATATATTAGAAAGATTACAGTGTAAATAAATTAACATGTTTTTATGTAGATCGTGGGCATCAATACAGATCTACCGCTATCAGCACCGGTATCGTCAGGCGATTCTTTCGATCCTGAGTCGTTGAAGGCGTCCGCCAGCACCCCTGTGGCTACCCCACTCGATAACCCCACCGTCACCACTAACGGACACGACAAGGACTCGAAGAGATGTATTGTTATGTAAATTAGAATGGAGTTTCGCATTTGTAGGTAGCTGACACATCAAAAAATATTTAGATTTTGTATTGTAGAAAAGAAAGATATTCTCTGGCTAAAGGACTTAGAGTGAAGGTAGACTCAATGAAAATCTGATTGTGAAGAAATTTTGGGCAGAAATTAATAAGACATGCTGCAATATTATATAAAATGCCGCAACATTACAATATTTAAAATGAATGCGTTCTATTGAAATTTTCAAAGATGCATTTTTTAACAATATTGTAATATATGATTTAAATGAAAGTTCTATTTTTGTGTTACAAAGGTCTTAAATATAGGTGTCGCTGCGGCATTTTATAAACTTTATATGTCAAGTATATGTGGTTACAAAAGTCCAGTTAATCGGTAACATCATGGGAATTAATTGAAACAGATGAGATGTATTATAGTTCAAATAGATTATAACGTCAAATAGAAAGACAAGTAGAATTTACATGAATAGATATATTATTAAATATCAAAGCGTATATAATTAAGGATTTACATGTGTTTGTACATAATGTATGAATAGTACTCGAAAATTGCTTTGGGTTCGTCGAGCACAATATTAACTAATTAGCCAAATTTTTGCGATCATTATTATTTTATAAATTGGAATAATTTTCAATGTTTCTGAATCAACATTTAAATAGTGCACTTGTAGTCGACTAAAATGTTTTAAAATAAATATGTGCACCTACTATTAGAATTAATTGTTAAATTTTGCACCTATGAATAATTATTAAATGAACATTCTTTATCCTTAACTAAATATGATAAAATAAAAGGGGAAGATACAGTTTAACAATCTTGCTCGGCGAGTCTAAACCTATTTTAAAAGCATGTTCTAAATTTAACAATATTATAATAATGCCGATTTCTAAAAACAGTTAATACAAAGACAAGTGCGACACTATTATGTATTGTTCAATTTAGTACAGGTTTACCGTTATTCGGTAACACCTTATATTAAATATTCAACACTTCGTTTTAATATTTTAACTCCTGACTTTTAAATTGGACATATTTTATACAATTTTGTTCGTGTTATTTTATAGAATTATAATGAACATCTTCTAAGATAGATTAATATATCTTATATTCTTCATAGTATAAAACATGTCCATAGTAATTAGTTTTAAGTTTATAACGCGGTTTTATACGTGTTTTTAACACTATACCACTTCTTACAAGGCTTTAAATATATGTTCATTATTCAGCACCACAGTACTGATGTAGGAAAACAGAAGGATCTTGCTTATAAGGCAATAGTGTTAATTTATCCGTTTGAAATGCTCTCTCATGTTGCTACTGTGCTTATTATAAATAAAGTTATTAATTATGGTTATATAAAACAAATATACTAGTATTTGTGTTCAATGTACGATTATAGGATTATTAAAAATTAATAAAATTAAATTCAGTATTAAGTTATTTTTAATGGAACTATGGGGTAATAAATGTTTTATTAAATTAATAAAAAATCATTGTTTTGTTGATGCATTGAATTATGTAATTTTGTTTTATGCATTACATATGAAGTAAAAAATATATGTATTAATAGAATATTGTATTTTAAAATATTGATCAATAAATTATAATTAATTTTCAATAATCCTATATTTAATTAACATTTTCTATGCTGTGGTAACTGTCGAAATCAGGATCATGTCAAATAATGTTTTTTTTTTAGAATAAATCAAGCTAAAATAATATTGATATTTTTATTTTAGAAAACAAAACGTTGAGTGTTCAAACAACAATAGATGTGTGGGCACATAGTTCACCCTTAATCCTGCAGTATGTATAAAGGAGAGTTAAAGAAATAAGCAACGTTAAGTGACTTGCTTATCATATTCCTATACCTATATATCGTAGCACCTAACCTGGCGGTTTTTGTTTTTCGATAGAACTAGATGTTGTCCTAAACCAGTTAAATTATACTTTTGAGCTAAGAACTTTTACGAATTTATTTTGTGCCGAACCTAGTTATTTAACATCCTCTGCTGATCCTAAGTCTCACCTACATTTAGTTACAAAATATTTTTAGAATTATATTATCACTTATTGTAGCATTGGAGGCAATAGAACTTGCAGCACATGTGATGGTGTTTAACTGTGTTTTTTACAACGCTAGGGAAATTACAGCCAGAGTTGTTGGCTTTTTTTAGAAGAGGTGGTTGGAAGACATTAGAAAACAGGCGAGAGGAGTCTCATGGAGTTGGATTGCCATTACAAACAATCCCCTTCCCCCGTGAGCAGGGCCATTCGTGGTTATACAGCGTCATCTATCACTTAACACAAGTATAGAAGGATGACATATCACATAATTACTGGGAATTAATACCCCATTGCTTTTCATATGACAAGTCAGGTCGATCTCCTGTTGACTGTGGACAGGTTTGCTTCTAGTAACCATCGTCGCTAATTCCTGGTGATTTCTCTTCAAGAGGCTAACTGACCCGACTTCATGTTCAGCCTATTACTCTTCCCTGGTGCTCTGTCTGGTACCGTTTCACCGCGCACCATTTCAACATCAATTTAAAATAAGTTGTGTGGGTGGTAGTAGATATATCGTTGGTTTATACGGAAGATAGACAAATTGCTTACTAATTGTATGTATTATGTCGTCTGTGCTAATTGTATACTCTTTATTACGAAAGTTTTTGCAAGTGTTTGCTGTATGTTGGAGTATTTGAGAGTGAACTCTGAACCGACATTAAAAGTAGGAAGTTACGAATTGGTTTGTATTTCTTTGTTTGGTATCGCCAAGCAAACCTACAATCTTTTCTTAGTTACTTTTTGTCCTTTCTATATCTTGTAGCTACGGAAAATACAGTCGAATTATTTACTTACCTACTTTTTTATTTTGTTTAAATTTTTGGATTAACCTCTAAAAATAAGTTATAGTATATCTTATCGATAGTTTCGTTAATTCAGTAATCATTTTAATTATTCTTTTTGAGTTATCGAGTGTTCTGACCCGTTCCTTATACGGTAAATATTAAGATTTCATACATAGTTGGGTAGTAATTCTTTCGTGACTATTCAAGGCGTTTTTTATGTAAAAAATAATGCTTCATAATGTAGGTAATCGGTATCAAATAGTATACCTACCGTCATAGCTCTACTTATAGAATTTATGAATATCGTAAACATAAGCTTATAGCTTTATACTCAGAATGTCATAATCAATCAGCCATGAAGTAAAAAACTTACATCTTTACCGTCACGGTTGCCGCGGGGGAAACGAACGTTGCATCGAAAGACTGCTACCAATAGCCTAAGAAAAAATCGTATGGTCGCTGGTGTGGTGTAAACGAGGCATCTTCGATTTCAATTCATTACATAAACTGTACTAAGTTGCCTAAGTGACTGGCAGACGGCGCTTGACCGCCGGCTTAGTTTGTTGTGTTTTTATGAACGTATAGCTAAAATTATTAACTTAAAAATAGTGTAACATCGAAACAAAAATACTGTCAAATATAAAAAATTACTGTTATAATGGGTAAGTTTATTACATTTTATTTTTTTTATCTACCCTATATTAAAATTTTTGTACACTAAATGCGTGTTTCGACTTAAATGAATGAAATTTTAAATTCCATGGACTTCTATTTGGATAATTTTTTATTTGTAATTGATATTGTATTGTATTTTTTGTATATTGCAGTATTGGCTGACTATGTAACTATTAATATTTTTAAAAATAATGTAAATTGGAGATCGTCTTAAATACAATTTAAGATATATAATAAACAACCCAATTTACTGGTTACTAAAAAATATTTCCGCGTTCAATTTAATAGCTATTATTAAATTGTCTGTAACAACAATATTCCATTTAATTTCAATTTCACAATTTCTTTATAAATCATAGGATATTTTACATACATTGTAGTGTAGGTAATGCAAATCATACAAATTAACATCGCGTAAATGAAAACTTAATTTGACTAAACCTACTTGGTTGCTATAAATGCTGTGCAATGTGGCCAATTTGTATTTTTGTTAGAGTGTATACACATGTATAGAGTTAGTTAAAGCATAGGACGCTAGTCCGGTCGCTGACCGTTATATTTCTATAATGTTAAGTAATCAAATCCAACTTTAGAGTCCGGTAGTAGGAAAATCAAATTGGCATAAGACAATGCCAAAAATACATATTACACATATAAATATTTTAATTTAAAGTAACACTATTCATTTATAATTAATATTACATGTACAAAAAATATATTATTAAAAATATATAGGTCTTTCGACTAGGTGTGCCCGCGGTTTGATCTGCATAAGAATAGACTGTTATTCTGATGTATTATTATATATTAACTGTTTAATGTATTGTATCCCATTGCCGACACAACTTTGGCTCCGCTTTCTCGAGCATACAGATATACTCGATAAAAAAAATAGCTATGCATATATTTATACGTTTTGTTCAGAAGGATATCATTAATCTTTACAAGTGACAAGCATAATTGTTATCGTTACCTTAGACTCTAGTAGTGACATAACGACTTAATTAATGAAAAAAACTTGATAATGTTACGGGATAGGTTGTAAGGATGAATGTAAGTAAGTACTCGTAGTAGCATTGATTATAATAATGTACGAGACAGTACACACTCAAATGTCGTACCTATCATTTGCCTAACAAGCACCACCCTTATAAGGTACCTATTTTATTATTTTTAATTATCTAGTTTATTTATAATTTTCATACTTAATTAAAATTATAAATAAACTAGACAATTACATACATACCTAGGGAATAAAAATAATTGTGAATAAATTTCTTTTTAACTTCTTGCCATTGAACCCTAAAATATGACGGCCTTGGTGGTTGGTTTAGCACACCGTCTTACTTCCGATGGTCGCAGGTTCGATTCCTTGCACAGTAGATACATACATCTGTATTCTCGAGTGTGATTGTTTGTATTAGTCTAGGTAGTAGTAGGTAATTTAAGTTGTATAGTGTCCATAATACAGGCTCTTCTTAGCTTAAGACTAAAAGACGCTGTGTGAATTATCCTGGCGTTAGGTACTACGTATTATTGTTACTAAATACACGTAGACTTACTGTCTACCTGCTGTTTGATACAAGGTGCTTTTATTTGCCAATATTATATACTGGGATAACGTTGCGCTCAGTTATTGTTCTCCGAGTCATTATTACGTCAGTCGTTAAAAAAAAATAAAAGAGTTATTTAAAAGTTGTTAAATTAAACACGTTGATGACTCAGTAATTACATCACGATCTTCAAAGCGCCTTCCTTTATGTCATCTTGGTCAGTACTAGTATATATATACCTATCTTGTTTTTTAACTAAACTATTCATTATAAATAGAGAATAGGAAATTTGTTTTTTTGTTGTAATGAACCAGCTCAAATATATTTGCCGATTATAAATTTGTTTAGTCTTCTTACTTTATCATCTAATAATAAGAGTTGCATTTCATTTGTTTTTGTTTAACAGTGAGAAAATTTATATGATATAGGCATAACATTTTAGTCTTCTGGAATGGTAACGCATGAGTGGTATCACGGGCGGCACATGATAACGTGACGTCAGAAGAGTGTTTATTAATATTGGCCTAGGTTTTTTAATTACTGATCTAGTATTTTAAATGTTTTAATAAAGTTAATTTCTCGGAAAAATATCTGTCACATTTATATTAATTTCACCTCCATAAGATTTGGCCTCATTGAATAAGAAGAAAATTACTTAACTATCATTATTGCATTGTAATGTAAACGCGAATAATCTCATTTTTTTTTATCAAAACCGAGGTATTTTTTTAGGTTCTTTAAAGAACCGTAAACTTTTTCCTGTAACGTCTAATTAATTAATGAACGTCGTACCTAATCAATTGAGACTGACTGATTAATTATTATTTTTTTGTGAACTAATCTAATGCTGCTTTCGTTAGGAGATGATTTTAAGTGTCTTGAATTGAAACTATAATAGGTACTTGAAAAAAAGGATTTAATTTTTCGTTTCTTATTAGAAACGAAAAATTAAATCCTTTTTCATATTATCTATTGATAATATGAAAAATATACTTGGTGTTCAAAGAAATCTTCTACTATATATAGTAAGCTTCATTATCAGAGTGTGATATAGGGTGTATTAAATTTTAAATAATTAATGTCTTATAATTACATTAAAGTCTTACATAGCCTCGGCGTTTGCCGCTAGTAAAATGCGATGAGAGATATATGAATACAAGAAGCTGTTACGGTTTTTTTACTTATTTTAAGGGGTCTCTTGTCGAATATCTATGGAAATGTTTATGACTTTATTTTTAGACATGTATGATATAATAAAAAATGAGGTAATCTTCTGAAGAACTCAGAGATCCGAATGTGTCTCAAAAGATTTGTGAGCTGCAATGGCAACTGGTAATATTGAATTAAATCTTATGACCGGTAACGAGGAGAAATGAGTGTTGGTGATTTACATTGGGTGGTAGGAGTCAAGTGTATAAAAAGGCTCCAGAGCTTTCTCAAAAGACTATCATAAGGAACGGCAGTCTATTGAAATCCTTACTATTTAATTAAGCAACCTGTTCTAGTAGATGTTTAACAGTTTAGACAATGGTAATACACAATCCTCAGTGGAACAGTTATTTAATACCGATGTGGTGACATATTAAAAACATCAGTTACGGGCGGAGAGCCAATGGTCAAAGACGTGCTTTTATCTTAAAAGACGCCCGATCATTTCAGAATTATGTTGATAGATACCGATATTACTTACTATATGACTACATACTGACGTAACTACATACTATATTTATATGACTACATACTATAATTATTTATTCCGTATAACGGCATACTATTAATGCACTAGTGTAAATACTACATATTTATTTCTTTGGTTGCATAAAATAGCTATTTTAACTGTAGATTCAGAAGAATGTAGAAAAAATGTTAACTAACTAATGGTTACAGACGGTATCCGTGGAATGATTATATGAAATTATTTTCTATGTATTCATTTAACAATAAAAAAAAATTAATTAACTTCAAAATTAATAATAAATGTGTTTCTTGCCAATTCTTATTTACTGGCAGTGTTACCTGAACTGGACAGCATGGTTAAAAAATTAATATAAAATATTGTTGGCTGTATAATAAATGGCATTTTGTCATTCATAAATAAATTCTTTTGAGTTTGACTTTGTGTTTGCTTTTGAATAACTGTTTCTGACATGTATATTTTATGGTATTTTCATTTAGCATAATTTATTGCATATGGTAGGTAATATATTGAAGCGTTCATAAATATCGGATTTCAAGGTTCATTGTTATTTCATGCGCCAATGACTTAGGGAATACACCGTTTTAAATCTTTTAAGATTTACTCCTGCATCTCATTTAGTTTACATATTATTTATCTTATCGAAACAGCCTACAATTCATATGTACTTATTTGAAAATAAATTACTGTTTTTGGTAACTATTCTATACCTATAGCAATTCTAAACCTGTTATAATTAGTTCCATTTTTACGAGAGTACTTAGGTATATAGGATAAGGAACATTGGACACAACTTGCTTATTCTTACTCAAATTCAAATTCAAAATCTTTTCACGACTAAACGGATATTAATTTAATTTGACGTCAACATAGATTGTACCATGAATACATGGGCTATTTTATCTGAAGAAAAAAGACAAAGTCGCGAGTAATACTTAACTTGTACAAATATTATGAAGCGTTGTTGCGTGGTATTTGAAATATCATTCGAACAATGACACAATTGAAAAAACGATTTCAATACAATTATACTTAAATATACATACCGAATCTTAAATATGCATATTATACCATTATAAAACCTGGCAACACCGCTATATTGTAATCATGATGATAAATAATTTATGTAAAGTTGTTCTCCCACCAGAATTTCTTGTTAGAATCTTGTCGTGAAGTTCAATAACCTTCCTAATACGCATAATTTCAATAAGCATAATTTTATGAGTATCTCCGCTTAGTGCTATATGCATCATAGATACGAGTATAAAACTAATATGATGTTTAAGAAGAATGTTAAAAAAATATTTTTTACTTAGAAAAATGAACGCTTTGTCGATTTATGGTGACTTTAAAATGGTTTACCAAGGTAGGCTTTGTGAGAAATCTGCGTGAGTAGGTACTACTCTGCCTCATAAAGCCGTTTTTTTTGTCACCAGGCAGCTTGCTTTACAAACAGCTTGGATTGAAGGTATGCTAAAGAAATTACATTGGTGCTGAGGCATGATAGGAATGACAATGCAATAGGGACGTGATATTCCTGTATTTATTATAGGCGATGGTTGCCACTTTACATTAGATGTATCGATTGCTTGTTTGCTATCCGAATAGTATTTCAGGCTTTTTATGTCCGTAATTCATTTTCTAGTATTAAATTCTGTTTAAAACATAATCAAACTATGTATATCATATAGCTTATCCTATATAAATAAACTTATTATTCAATTACTTAATATTGGTCTGTAACCTTTACCAGAAATGAGGCCAAAGTCGAATTTAATGTAAACTGTTAAGACATAAAAAGTTCATAACTGTCAATAAGCTAAAGCGCGAATTTTTATTAATAGAATTAAGTAGCTTATCTGGCTTAGTTTTTTAATTAAGACTTCATGCAGTTATTATTTAGTTTATGATTCGGACAGGAATCTTTTTTTAAATATTAACCAGAACGGTAGAAAATAAATATATGAGTAACTTACTAATGAGTACATATGTAGTAGAGAACAGCTCATTCGTGAAACTCCATTAGTGGAATTTCAACTTATAAAGTTATATAATATAGGACTTTCCCCAGGAATATATAAAATGGATTTAAAAGATTAAAGAAAAATTAAGGAAGTACCTACTGAAGTTAGATACGATGATTAACTTATCAGACTCTAAACAGGTAGGTTTAAGAAGAATATATTGTTTTCTTTCGCTATGTGACATTAAAAAAATGTTTGTCATTATGTCAATCACATGTAACTAAAAAAATAATATCTGCTTAGTTTTTATTGACTTTATTAGCCATCGCGATTAACGAAGATTTTTACGCCATAATTTTTTTGTCGTAAAAATAATATGATTGTTCGTTTTAATGCTCTATCAATTTGCTAAGAACTTTTACAAGGTATTTATATATTATCTATTTATATTATAAATATATATAGAATATAGGCTTTTTTAAAATACTTCTTTAGGTAAATTCCGTGTGGATTACTGTTAGATTTCTGCGAGGTTGTATTTATATTGCATTTCCTGTTTGTATTCTCTGGTCAATGGCTATCCAATTTCTTTAATTCGTGATTATTAGTTACTATTATTGAAATATAATAATTTCTTTTTGTTTGATGTGAAGTCCGCTCAAGGAGTGATGTTAATACAATATAGAGAAACGAAAGTTATACTTAGCGTGTCAGTTATAAAGAGAAAGTACTCAATATAAAAGAACTTATATATCAAGTCGCGTTTTGAATATCCTTAACATAATTTATTATTGTTGTATTGTAATGGTACAGTCACAAGTGGTACAACCTTAGTGCCATGGTTTTATTATGTTATTCTGTTCTGAAGTTAGAATTACCACAGCGCCTCTATGACTCTAAAACTCTATATATATTGTATAGTATAATATGCTATATAGTGTTTGCATTCAATTAAGTATACCATGTATTTTTACTGTACACAGTACAATGCTATAAATCACGACAAAGATTTATTTTAAACCGATGGGTACAGCCTCGATTACAGTAGTAGTAATATATTATACAGTTGTAATCATTATTAAAATGATTGTAATATAAACATTTATTTAACTTTAATGCATAGAACAAAAGGGGACATATATAAATACAAAAAGTAGGTGCCTGTATTTGGCGAATTTAGCACATTTTTTATTAGTTGATTAGTAGTGTAGATGCAAGTGTCGACGTCAGTTTTATTGTATAAATAATGAATGTGTATTGAATAATAGTAGTACCTCTAAAATTATAGTCTATTCATAAAAAACTGTACACTTATTGTAAACTCTCAAAAAATTTATTCAGATGCCATAAAAGGGCGTAGATTTTAAAAATATTAATCTCATTCAGTTCAACATGAGTAAAGACTCGAAATATACACTGGCACGAGAACATAATGTTTGTCTCATAATCTGGCGTAGTACGAGTATATATTTTTCTGAAATAAAATGTACTTGTTATGTTTTGCTCACAACAATGGCACGTGGTATAAATATAAATTTTATTAACTTAATGCCCGGCTCCACCCACATATGGTAGTGACGTTTTCCTTGACTAAGGCTGAGACGAGGTTACGCATTTTCCTTAAACACCGCGGAGTTTAGGCGCCATATCATAGATCTTAGCGAATTCAATTTCTTAATTTTTTTAACTGTTCTTAATTATTGTTATTAATAAAATAAAATAATTTTGTAATATTCTTTATAGGTCAATCAAGTAAAATAAATATGTGTGTCGGTGAAATAATTTTTGAAACCAAACTACATTTTTTTGTGTTTCAAAGAAACTCAGACTCCGAAAACTTGACTAACGTTTCTATAATAATTTCACATTCATCAGTACTAATATCACAGAAAAAATAATATTACATAGTACAATACAATATACAGGTATATAAGAATATACTCGTATATATATGAAAGTATGTCTGTCTTTTTATTATTTTTTATGGCTAAAGGACTATTTAGTCTTAGTTAGATCTTAATAAAATTAAACATGATTATAAATTGTAACAGGAAGACGAATGTAGCTTCCATTCGTCTCGTAATCTTCTTATAACTTACGTATATTTTATAAATCTTATCTGTTTTAAATAAAGTAGACAAAGACACGGTATTTTAAGTAACAACTAGTTAGAAATAAAAATCAATCCTTCCACTTTATAATATTTTGATACGTATCAGTAATTGTAGGTATAGGTAACCAGTCACACGACATTAGTTATTACCAATCTGGTTTTTAAACGTCACAATGTGATGTGACCTAGAATCTAGATTTAAGTTATTACGGACATTAATCTATCACTAAACTACTATAGTTATTTTTTACGCATAATTAATTTAAAAGAAAGTTAACGGACACCATCGCACAAGAATAAATTCTATAAATTGAAAAGTAACCATCGAAATATGTTCAATGTTGAAGGGATATTATAGATATGATCTACAATATTTTTTTATAAGTATTATATTTTAGCAAATTGGTTAAAAATAACACGCTAAACAATTTAATTAATACAACCTATTTTTAGCTTTTGACCGTCATGGCCTGTCATACCCCTATATCCTAGAGGTCGAATTCACAAATCTGACTATTACCAAAAAAATACGTGTGAAAATTTTTATTTTCGACTGACTTTTTAGCGAAGAAAACGTCGATATAATATCAAAAAATGATCCAATAAACAACGGTGGTCAGCGAGACTCTTGCCACGTTGTATTCAAAATGAACCCAGCGCAATGAGGGCATGGCAAGTATTATTTATCACGACATCGACAGTTGACAATGCCTCTAACTATTTAGGGTAACGCGTGGTCTCTTACCACAGGCAAGTCTATTTATATACCGATTTTAATTTTTGTATATATTTTATTTGCAGTAGCAGCGATGGGTTGGAGTCTACTTCTTTCTGTGCTGTATGCCGTCCAAGTGGCTACTGGACAGGAGTACCTGCTCCCTGGTGATGTTCGTCCCACCCACTATGACATCAGAGTGGTGTACGATATAGATCCTGCGACCAACTTCAGTTTCTATGGACTTGTTGATATATCGGTGAGTCTCATATTATATAGCTTTCCTAAAATCAGCCAGTCTACTCTGGTCTTGGTACTTCGTCGTCCACAGACATTCTCTGAATTCCATTATTAATTCTCTTCAAATATATATTAAAGAGTAAATGATATAATATTTCGTGGTCAATAAAAAAACTGACTAACATTGTCATCGATTTAGTTTAGGTCTAGCATTGATAATGTTTACTTATTATGAGCAATATAAAACTGCATTGAATCTGAGATTAGATTATACTTTCCCTAACGTAGAAAATCCTATATAATTAAAGTCAATTGTCAGTCAACCTACTGATATGATACTAAATAATAAAAATATTGCAAATGGCATTTCACAAATCAAGATAAGCATATGAAATATTATTTATATATGTATATATAAACAATCAATCCATAGGTACATTATATTGAATTTGAAACGCTTCGTGGAACAAATTATTCAACATTTTTCAGTATGTTTTGGTCAGTCCTTGTTAACTTTGACATTAATACGTGTAAAATTATAGTTGCATATGTACAGGGATAAGGAGATACATATTTTTAACTGACTTAAAAAAACAGTAATTTCAACTAAATGATGGTTTTCTATATGTAACGCGTGGTTTTTGTTAATTCTAAATCGATTTGGATGATCATTTTTCAATAGTTTAGTTGGTTACTGAAAACAAAGACGGTTTATAAAAATGAAAGTAAGTAATATGTAATATACAGCGGCTTCAGCTAGTGCCATACTAATATTATCATGACTAAATAATTTCAATTTTGTGAAACAAAATATGAAAATGAAATAAGAATTAGATATGACTGTCGTATATATGTAAATTTGTGTTACTTTTCTAAAGTTCAGTGGAACTTCTGAAAAGTAAGACAACATAACATAAGAACTTATGTAAATGCTTATGTTTTCTGCACGTACGAGTATGTTAATTACAAATAATGTACTAACAATTAGTATATTATTTGACCTGTAATGTACCAAATACTTGACGGTTATTACCATTTAAATCACAGTCGTTGGTATACTTTCTTGCCATAATAATACCGTTAGTGGAACAATAGAACAATCTGCATACCCACAACATAATATCTACTGGTCTCTTGTCTCTACATCGTGATTATCTAGTGACATTTTCTTACTTCGCTATTTTATTACATTACATTTATTTTGTTTTTGTTGGACGATAGATAGTATAAAAAATTACGATAAGCATAAGAGGCCGAAAGAATGAATATAAATAAGTATTTCTTTATTTTTATTTATGTTACTGGAATAGCAACTGAGCTTACTGATCGATCTGATGGTCGCATGTACAGTCGTAGGTACCAAATAGGAGTTTGTGGCCCGGGTCCCAAGCCACGTACTGTCCACCTTCATGAAGGAAGACTATTGGACGATAGGAGTTGTATACCGACCAACCGGCCATATAGTTATATGTCGGCCAGGTACCAAGCGATTCCATTTCAGGGGATTAAGTTAGATAAATGTATTATAATAAAATATTAAGTGAAGTTCAAGTTTGCATGTAAAGTATAGTGTGGAGACAGTCGTCACACTGTTATTGTTATTTACTCTAACATGTATTGGGTTGGCAATTTTTTGTATGTAGCCCGAATGGCAAATAAGGTGACGAAATTATAATGGAAAGTGATAACTGTCTGCATGCATATAGTCAGTCCAGTCAATTTTAAGCGAAACTTGTTTAGTTAACCTTCAGTAGTGCGAAGGTGCCTTGTCAATATAGGTACCAAGGGAAATCACTGTAAGCAGATATTAGCCATTCACCTCGGCTCCCCTGTATGAAGTTACAGAATACTAATGAAACGGAACTTGTGCGATGTTGATTAATATTAAATAAATATTTTTTCTTTTGTTCTTGTGGGTAGAGCTTGAATGATAATAATATAAAAATTATTTTTTTATTTGTATTAATCACATATCTACAAACAAAAATATAGATATTTTATTTGTTCGAAGTTCTAGTCCTATAGCGGTAATCAAAATCAAAAAAATTTTAGGACTCTGTTGACCAAATAAAATATGATTGGTTATTGTGTTACTAAGTTCAGCTTTAATACGATGTTCGAAGGACAAAACATATTTTCACATTTGTGTGGATACAAAAATAATTCATTAATTAAAATAAATTGGTATCTAATCAAATAGTTATAAATCAAATACAATATTGTATATAGGTATCAGAAATAGAATATAATAATTTTAAATAACTAACTATGCAAAAATGCGTTCAATGTTTTTAAAATTGTCGCATGCGAAAGTAGTGAGTTTGTTTAAAATGATTTGCGTGACTGATTTGGCTTAGTGAATGAATATTACATTTATTCATTAAAAAATACATAGACATAATCAATTCACGGTGATGAGATCGCTTTACATTTTTATAATATTAAAATCGAACTGAAAACCTCCTTTTTGTAAATTTTGTTAATTTACAAAAAGGAGTTTCATACACTGATAGTAATAATGATCTTATTATCTTATAAAACTCTAATAAGTAATAAATTGTAGAGGTACCTAATGAGACTAGAAATAAATACATTAAAAGATCTTAAGTTTTTAAATTTACTGCATCTATATTATAGCATTAAGCAAGTTTCACTTGTTACATTGGCTCATTGCGTCTATGCACTATTTCAAACTATGTCAAAGATTGCTATTTTTTCAATTATTGCAAACAAAAAAGTAACTTTAATATTGTTCATTTTATGTAACCCAGTTTTCTTTACATTGGACAATATCACAAAACATCTATTGTTGAACAAACATAATCAACGTTAAAACGGAATTATTATTTTGTCATTGTAATGTGAAATCGGTGTAACATGGTTCAAGGTTAGCAGCGAGAGATGAATATATTTGCAACTAGTTGAAAATATGGGCAGTACAAATTATTTAAAATAACCGTCGCCAACACCAATATAAATATTAAATAAATTTGTTAGAAGACGGGAGTTAATGGTATAGGAGAAGGGTTCAACAGAGGGATATTCATGTCTTATACATATAGGTATGGATATTTAACGAACAGGACCGAGTTTTATTAAGTTTTTAAGTAATCAGCTAAATTTTCAATAATATATCTAATATTGTTCAAAATCTGGGAATTCAATTTATCTATTCTAGGCATAACGTGACTATAAACTTCAAGATATTTATAATAATTTTAATGACGCAGGCTACATTAAGGCTATAAATTATTAAAAAGTCAAAGCCATATTTTATTTTGTTTGTATTGCCAACATATTGTGTCTTCCGACGATATCTGCGGTAATTTATTCGGCAATGTAAATTTATAGAGGCACATTAAAAATAAAATATATCGGTAAAAAGTTTTTCTTTTATCCATTATGCATAAAAAACATATCTTTACTATTTGTGATGTTAGTTTTTATATATTTATTGTTACTTTCGCTTGTTACAGATAACTGCTGTCAAGCCTACATCCAAAATAATTCTCCACGCACAAGACTTCACCATTGCAAATGATGACATTAAGATCAGCGGTCAAAGTGACTCGCCCCAAGTGTCGATGAGCAAGTTAAATGACACATACAACTTGCTCTCACTCGAGTTGAATGGAGAACTACGGCAGAATGAGAATTACATATTAACCATACCTTTTAGTGGTAATTTGAAGCCTGGTTTGGATGGCGTATATATAAGTTCATATATTAATAAGAAGACTAAAACGAAAGAGTAAGTATTTTCTTAACTTTTAAACAGCAACTGTGAATCGGTAACTTATACGCAAGATCTCTTCGAATAGTCTAAATAGTTTATCGAATACTGTTGTCACAATACATACATATATAGGTACAAGTACGGATAGGTATTAATTGAATAGAAATGTATAAATGGAAAATATATGAGAATACAATTTATGAAATCAGTGTTATTATAAAAAATAAAATTGTTTTGGTAACACCACAGATAACATAATATTACATAGTAACACTAACACTGCTGAAAGATTTTGTCGAAATTAGTTGGATACAAACTTTATCTGATAGAGCCAGTACTAAACTTACCTATAGAATGTAAGACATATTAATTTACTTCACAAGTAATAGGTTTTGAAATAATAAGAGAAAAACGATGGAATTTAAGGTGTGAAATTTTAGGGTATGGATGTGTAATACATAGATTAGCTTTCTAGAATGGTTACATATTAAAGGTACAACGAGCGTCAAGTAATGACTGGTGCTGTTTGTTTATAGACGGTTGGCACTTATCATCAGGCGGACCGTGTGCCTGTTTGTTAGGTACATATATCTGTCATACAAAAAATAGCGACATTCTTTCATGAAATAATATTTTCATTAATAATTTAAGAGCGACGCCTTGTCGGTGGAGCACTTTCCACAATCTAAAATAATATATAACATATCCAAAATACATATTTCCAACATAAATATAGAAATACTATGAACTGTTGTACTTTAACATTCGACGTTTCATACTTACTATAGCAACATCGTCTAATTAAATGATTGCATTTGCGTTAATTGATTGGATCCGGGTTTTTAATTAACGGTAATCACTTTAGTTAAACTTTACTAGTAGTTTATTGTGGTTTCGATCGCGTGAATCCGTCAGATTGTGTACTCCTATTGTAGGCATTTCAGTGATTCCTTTCCTCTACGGGTTCACTAATAATTAATATGTGATAAATAAAAGAAAACTGTACTCCACACTTAAAATTGCTTTCGTGATATGTATGATTTTACATTTGTTTTTATTTAATGTTTTATTTTTTAAATCATTAAAAAAGACATAAAATGCAATATTAAAATTGTAATTAGTTAGTAAATTATAAAATAAAAGCTTATAATTTATTTATTGTTAACTATGAGGATAAGATACGAGATGAATAGGACGTTAATATTTTAATAACCCGGAACAATCCACACAACGCTATCAACAAGTTAAGTAGAGATTGTGAGATGTCTATTAAAAAACTGACATAAATGATTCAATATTTTATATTTGAAATACATACATAATATACATAGAAAACACCCAGACCAACACAAACAAATGTTAATGAAGTTAATGTTTGTAGGTACCTCATCACAACTCAGTTCGAAGCTATAGATGCTCGGAAAGGTTTTCCGTGCTTCGATGAGCCGATGTACAAAGCGACGTATACGATAACTATCGGTCACCATCGGGATTATACAGCCGTCTCCAACATGCCCGTGCGTGCCAGCAGTGATGAAAAGTTAGTATTTATAAATATATTTTTACATAGGTACTTATCTCATAGCAGCTGCATATTTCCGGTTATTGGAATAGGTAGATAGGGTTTTTTTTATTGATGATAATGGAATGGTGCACCCGGCTGCGCTAACGGTTTTCGCTGGCGGGGCACCAGTGGAGGATGGTAAAATGAGCTTGAGGTCAGGTCAGTTAGCCCATCGTGACAAATTCACCAAGAAGTTATCACGATGGTTTCGTGATTGATTTGAGGTCAACCTGAAGTGGTACATTGCTAGCTATATGATCATCAGTTCACATTACAATCAATCTCCTTTCCCCCCTCCCTAGATAGGGGTTGTTAGTTATCCCCATTACTAACAATCTCATTCGTCCTATTAGCAACAAATGGATTCATTATTACTAAGACCGTATCGTAATGGATAAATGTCCACGTAAAATCTCTAGTGGTTAATTGATTTGGCGAATTTACAACGATATGCTAACTGACCAGACTTGATTCACGTCCTCTACTGATACCCAGCCACCATTAACACAGGTGGGTACACTTCTTCTTTAATGTAATATATAAAGAAACAAAACCAACATCAAAGGAAATTAATCCGATAGACGGTTTCAAACATATCCAGCAAAATGTGTGCATGTAATATCTATTGCTAATATAATAATATATATTTTTATTCTTCCAGTATTGCTTATCGTTTCCCTAATGATAACGCAATAGTGTTATTAGCCTCTGTAGAATGTATACAATTTGGAAAATAGTGGTCATAGACATCTATGATACTCTGACTATTCTATTTTGTATACCTATTGAAAACACATGACCGTGATAAGCTGAACAAATCTTGAAGGGTTACTTGTAGCTTATTTGTCATAACTGGATATTTACAAGTTTGTTTATTTTTTTTTTAGTGAACTAGAATCATATTGGAGATGGGAAACTATTGGCACGACATTTGGGTAAGTTTCATATCAATATGGTTTTGGTTATGGTTATGGAATAGGTTGGGAATATTCCTATGTGCATTAATAAATCCTTCAAATCTTATACTGGAATTCTTTAAACTAACTTGAAATAAATCTTATTCAGCAAATCGAAGTCCCAATTCGTATGGGATACCTTCGAGAAGTCGGTGCCGATGTCTACATATCTGGTGGCGTTTGTGGTCTCCAAGTTCTCTTACGTGGACAGTCCTCCGATGCTATCCACCACGAAGTTTAGGATCTTTGCTAGAAAGGATGCTATAGATCAAGTAAGTTTCTTTCTTATTTTATGTAACTGAAATGGCAAACAAGGCGATGGCCCATCATCAACAATAAGCGTCGCCTATATACATGAACACTACTACGGACATCTCGTTATCATGTGACGCCCAACCATCACTGCTTATTCGTTGCCATGATAAGTTGCTAAGATACCGTGCCTCTTATCCTTTTGTCACCGTAAAACAGAAATATAGCTTCTGAAGCAAGTTTCTGGCGTCCTTAGGCTACGGTAACTATTTACTATCAGATGGACCGTATACTTGATTGCCACCATCGAAGTATAAAAGAAAAGTCGTTTGACGTCTGAAAGAATCGAAACCATAACTTCGCACAAAGTTGTCGATTTTGTTGTTGATTAGTTTAAAAAAAGTATCAATAGATGAATGAAATGGTACTATATGTTTTTTAGTTTATCTATCAATTTTATTTTAGTATTATTATTATTTCAAGTGGTATTCTCTTTCTTGTTCATACTCGTGACATTGAAAAACAGCGGCATGATGTTATAGAACATGGCATAAAGCTGAGTGATTGCATTTCCGTGTTTTATATGTCAAATCTATTTTTTGTTTATTTTTTTGTTTCTATTTTATTAATAATATTTCTTTATGTCTATAATAACTACTCAATATACCCAAAAATGCAATAGTAGGTACAATTATAAAGTAGAGAACTCTTATAGCAAAAACTAGCTAAACTACACATATGTAAACTTTCTTTGTATCCTATGATAATTTAATTGTATGATTTATACCTAATTATTTCACAGACAGCATACGCAGCGGAAGTGGGTCCTAAGGTGTTGACATACTTCGAGAATTGGTTTAACGTGTCGTTCCCGCTTCCGAAGCAAGACATGGTCGCCATCCCTGATTTTTCTGCTGGTGCTATGGAAAACTGGGGTCTCATTACATACAGAGAAACAGCCCTGCTCTATGATAAGCAGGAATCGTCGTTCTTAAATAAGGAGAGAGTTGCGGAGGTAGGAATCAGATGTAATATGGAAATTTTGATACCCTGAAATGCGTTTTTATTTTCTTAGTCATTTAAAAATCCACTGTATATAAAGAACCCTGGTTATTTAGGCATTTAATATAAGTATTTATTTAGAAAGTAGAAAAGAAACAAAAATATCTCTGTTAAAATTTTGCCATGTTTTGTTATGTATTCATTTGATTTGCCTAAATTACTCAACTTAATTATAACTCCTACTATCTACTGATTTAACATATTATGCTATATCCAAACACAGTTACAAAATTTTTTCTAAGGACTAATTTATTTTTGAATTCCAGGTTATCGCCCACGAATTAGCTCACCAATGGTTTGGAAATCTCGTCACAATGAAGTGGTGGTCTGACCTATGGTTGAACGAAGGATTTGCAACTTTTATGGCGTCTAAAGGTGTTGATGAAGTGGAACCGACCTGGAGAGCTGATAGAAACTACGCCGTGGATAATATTCTGTCTGTGCTCAACTTGGATTCTTTGGAGTCATCTCACCCCGTAAGTATTAAATGCATATAGTGTATTGAAGTCCTCTTTAATTAATGAATATCTTAACCGCCAATATACTTTAAGTTTGTTTACTGTCCGAAAAAAAAAACAGTATAATAAATACGTAAAAGAAATTCGATTGATTTTTAAATAATAATAAAATATTTGTTTTTATTATTTATTCTACGCCAGTCTATTTCATTAGATAGTTGTTAGAGTTAGGTTTTGTTAAAAAAAATGTAACTTTTATACTACATATTTTATGAAAATTAACAAAATTATTAAATCCTCGTCCAATACACAAAAACATAAACATTTGTAGTTACAAATTGTACGCATTACAAACATATGTGTAGGTGGGGCGAACGTAAACACATTCGCCGCGCTATATCCTGGAGGGTGAGACTTTCTACAGCAATACGGAGACAATCGTAACCGCATAGACAACCGATGAAATGCATTAAAACCCTAATGTTTATATGTATATTGTTTTTTGTAGGTTTCAGTACCGATTGACGATCCTAAACGTATATCGGAAGTATTCGATGAGATCTCATATCGCAAGGGCTCAACTCTTATCCGAATGATGACTATGTTCTTAGGCGAAAATATTTTTAAACAAGCTCTTCACAAGTAAGTATTTTTAAGGAACTTCATTTAAACATATTAGCGTGAACTTTCGAGGCACACATACACATGAAGAATACTGTTAATTTCAGAAAAGTTAGATTAGAAATTCCAATAATTATTTAGGCCTTTCAGTTTACTTCAACAATAACGAATATTATAACTCCTATCTATAGCATATCAAATCCTATATATAGCAAATTAATTACTAACTACCACAAATCTCTTATGTAAGTTTTTAATTATATGCGCAATTTATTTCAGCTATTTAGTTAAATATTCGTATCAGAACGCTGAGCAAGATGACCTTTGGCGTGAATTGACTGCGGTGAGTCAAGCTCATGGTGGACTAGCCCGCAATGTGTCGGTAAAAGAAGTAATGGATACGTGGACCACGCAGACTGGATATCCTCTATTGACTGTCTCCAGGGATTATAGCCGTAATTCACTCACTGTGACACAGGTTAATAAATTTCAACAGTTTTATTTAGCAAACATTGATAATATTTGATCCTCAATAAATTGATCTCAGTTTAGTTTGAAAACCAATCATTGATCGGATAAAGAAATTAAAATTTATCTAAAGTCACTCTTATACAGCATCTTAAACTAAGAAAAGCATAAAATATTTATAACATAAGTATATAGTTACACAACATAAGACAAACTTGTGTGGTGATAATTCTGAAGGACAATTGCTTAACGAACGGGAGTCCGAAAATTGCGAGTTCTTTTCTCGTTCTCTTTGTCGTTCTCTTTGTCTTTGTAGACTAATATTTTTTTTGTTACAGAAACGTTATCTAGCTCTGAGTGCTCGGTCTCCATCTCCGTCGTCATGGTGGGTGCCTCTTCGTGTATTGTGTGCAAGTGATGACCCGGAATCAAACGAGCCCATTGAGTGGCTCGCTGCCAACGAAGGAATCACCTCCGAACACAAGTTTGAGCACGGTGCCGATCCTGATGAGTGGGTGCTGTTCAATGCTGACATGATTGGTAAATATTTATGAAATATGCTATCCAGCAATTGATTTTTTGCATTGCCAATAATCTCATGCTTGTCTATTTCTGACGCACAATGGTCAGGTACAAAGACTACATTAAGGTAGGTGGAGCGACCGCAGTAGGGCACGACCTTTTTTTATACCATTTAGGTGGCAAACAAGCATACCAGAGGTGTCACGTGCGCGTTGCCAACCCTTAAGAACCCTTATACCCTTCTTGAAGAACCCTGTAGTCTCGTGAGAAAACCTCGACAGGTAGTTCATTCCACAATCTAAGTGTACGCGGGATGAAGCTCCTCTGAAACCGCACAGTCCGAGACCACTTACCACACACACACACCACAGTACGTTCCAGCGTGTGGGGATGAATTCCCTGTCAAGTTGGATTTATATAAGCAGCACGGAATACAAGTATTGACTTCATCATGACGTTGGCAGTTGACAGCATCTCTGATTACCTTATCTGGATTGACAATCAGAACGATATATTTATTTTATGATATATTTAAAACATACGAGGTTGTCTATTATAGCTCCGTACCGAGTGAACTACGACAAGAACAACTGGCAGCTTCTCGTGACCGCTCTAAATGACAACCCCAGCGCAGTGCCGGTGCTGGGCCGAGTACAACTACTATCTGATGCCTTTGCACTCGCCTGGACCAACATCTTGGATTACCACACTGCACTGCAGTAAGTGCAGGAGTATTTACTTTACGCATTTGCGTTTAACATTATAGGATAAATTTAGAAACCAGTACTAATGAATATATAAAAGATCAATTCCATAAATTTGTACCTACTTAAAAGATAAATTAACCTTTTATCGAATTCAATTTGTATTTCGGCTTAGAACATTGCATCAACTAAGCAAAAATTCATTAACTACTATTTATGTATATAGCCGATAGGCCTTATATATCTTCTGTACTAAAACGTTATACACTATACTTTCAAATAACCTGACAGTTTACCTGATTGTAAGTGGTAACGGTCACTTATATACATAAACCGCACTACATACATTAACATTACATCACTACTGATTATAAGTTTGTTAACTTAGCTGTTTCATTTCAGATTATCAAACTATCTGCGAAAAGAAACAGAATATCTCCCACTCTCAACTGGATTAAGAGCACTCAGTAAGATTGAAAACGTGTTAAAAAGATCCCCAGACTATGGTGCCTTCCAGAAATTTGTTAGGAGGCTGATCGGTGAAACTTATCTTAAAGTCGGCGGACTAGCCACTAAGAAGATACTTAATGGAGATGATTTGAATAGTGTCAAATTACAGGTAAGTGTATTTTTATATGTATATTTATTTATTTATCTGAGGATTAAGTTATTATTGGTGTTTATATCCGATATTTAAAGACGGTATTAGGCTCGCCCCTTGCCACGTTGGATAATATGGGTATGTTCAAATATACCCAGTGAAATATAAGCATGTCTATTATGTTCACCATGAACCCCACTATTGATAATGCCTTTGACTACTTAACCTTGAGATAACAGTCGTGACGTTAAATTTTAGAAAAGGAATTTTTACAAAGTTGACCTCATAGTCATTATCTTGACGCTCTTAATCTACCACACTATGCTAAGAACTTGACATTAGTAGACTAGAACAATTCTATAGGAATAAATGTCTTTCGTTTTATTTGATATTGATGCATGGTTACAAAATTTCAGACGACAACGAGTGCTTGGGCCTGTCGCATGAAAGTTCCTGGTTGCGAGGAAAATGCAATAGAACTTTTCCAAACCTGGATGGAGACTGATAATCCCGATGAGAACAATCCGTGAGTTTATACAATAATTTAGTTATATTAGTTTGCAAATCAATAGTATTGAGCATATTTTGTGATTTTCGATTCCCACTTGGTCCGTTGTCTTGCTTGTCAGATTCCTCCCTAGTATAACGTCATACTTTGCAATAATTATACAAAGAGTTAAAGTTTTTATTTAGCATTAATTGGGACTTAGAATGGCGCAATTTGATAATTAGATATACATTTATTACTTAGATACATGATAACTTCTCTTCTTGTATTTCTTCTCACGTAATTTATCAATGCTTCTGACTTATAGGTACCTACGTAGAAAACATTCATGTAAATACAGTAGTATAAGGAGTATTTTCTATGTAAGTATAATAAATATAGAGAAAATACCTAGACCGATGCAAACAATTACACTTAGGAATATAAATGTTTGTAGTGCACCACCGAGGCCGATTAATAAGCCGGTTAATAAGCCGATAATTATGGCTCCGATTAATAAAAATATATAATGGTCGATTGTATCGGCAGCATCCCGTTGGACCTACGTCGTACTGTATACTGCGTGGCTGTGTCACGAGGAAGCGTGCTGCAGTGGCGGTTCGTGCTCGCCCGCAAGCAGCGCGCCAATGTGGCCGTCGCACGCGATGCTCTGCTGTATGCGCTCGCCTGCACGCGCGAAGTATGGATCCTTACACAGTAAGTGTAACAAAAATATCTGTGTTCTAAACATGGAAATCCAAGCCGAATCGAAGTCAGTAGAAGAATGAGACTGCTTTTGGAGTTTTGGGGTACGATAAAATATTTTTCTATTTAAGAGTTAACTACTGACCTCGTTTATGCTCCTATAAAACTTAAAAGAATATGAAATAACAAATAATACTTAGTTCCTTAATTATCTAAAGCCAATAATCATGATCCGTATAAAATAACGTGGATGGAATTGGAGCCTATGATACTTAATAGAAATCTTGAATGTCATCTGATATACACGTAGTTCTATGTAGGTTCCATAATAACTGCTCTCAATGTCAAGTTTTATTTGATTTTGTTTTGTAATTTTTCAGTTCTCATATTTCTAAAGTAATAGAACAACGTATTATTTATAGATGCTGAACTTTATTCATCTTATGAATAGTGACTAAATCGTTGTCAACAGATATCTAGAGTGGTCGATAACAGATGAGTCGGAAGTACGTCGTCAGGATGCAGCAGCAGTCATCACTGCAGTGACGCGCTCTACTGTGGGCTATTACATCGCCAGAGATTTCATATACAACCGCGTAGAGGACATCTTCAACGCGTAAGTTGATATGCAATATTTAATATTACTTGATATATAACAAGCCGTCTTATTTACAATAATTGCGGGTTAAATTCGTCGCGTGAAACAAACATTTGTATGATTGTTTGTATTGAGTTGGATGTTTCATATATGTGTATATATAATAAATAACTGGAATCATTTTCGTGTAGTTTATGGAATAAAAAATATTTCGTCTGTCTGTGATATTATAATGCAATGCAAAAGTAGTAAACGATAAATAATGTATGGGTGTAACAGATTCAGCGGTCAAGGACGACGTCTTGGCTTCATCATCAAGACTCTGTTGGAACAATTTACAACTCAGAGGGAACTTGACGAGGTAAGAGATTTTCAACGATTTATTACACTAAACAAACATTCTAGATTATACGAGCGAAGCTAAGATATATTATGTTGAATAAGAATATAAGACTAGCTATTGTTGCGAAAGTAACATTGAATGGAGAACTTATTTCGCAAATAGTAGTAGGCGTTCAAGGTACCGAAATATTAATAATAACTGAACATTAAACTCAATCCTTTACAGCAACATCTTTTACTTTCTAAATAACTCCCAGCTGTATGTAACATTTAGCCTATATCAAATAAAATTTCTTTATAATTTAGTAGTAGCTGTAGTATCACTCCCTAATTATGGTATCAATCCTTCGATACTTAATTTCTTGTAGTGTCTTTAACATTATCTATTTTTAATATTAATTAATCTTTTATTGCAGTTCCTAAAATGGCGCGAGAGCAATGGAAAATACCTAGAGGAAGCCAAACTGTCTGTAAATCAAGCGATAGAAAAGGCGACAGTGAATATCGCGTGGCTGACCAAGAATAGAAGTTCCGTCGTCGAGAAACTGCGGGAATTGTCTAAGTAATTAATAATGTGCTATCTTTACGTAGGTACATGGATCTGAATGAACCTGGATATGACAGGAACCAATTCGTTATAAAGTATACACTAATGACTTGATCATAAGACGACATTTCATAGAAGTCATCACGGTACAGGTACACACGTTTATTTTAATTATTAGAGTATTATATCACTTTCTTTTGAACGAAGAAAATTCTTTGGAAGAAAAGGACTAAGCAGTTCGATTTGAAATATACTTATTTCAAATCAATTTAAGCTGAAATAAGTTTATTACTCGTTTTTATGAACAAAGTTTAAGTAAGTCTATACGTTGCGATCCCTGACTTAAATTGTTCTGAATTAGTTAATATTCCATTTAAACAATATTAAATTTTTCGTCGTATACTATAAACTCATACCAACTTCAAAATAAATTAATTCCTTTATCCAAGTTCATTTTGATCTTAGTCCTTTAGTAATTCGCTTTTGGTTGTACAGCTAATAGCAAAATTCATACCTACTAAAATTCTAGTTTCTGTAAAAATAAACTTATTTGTTATGAGTAATATTTTTCCTTACATGATACCATATCAGGTAAAGAAACATTTTTATTGAAAAGTAACAATAAATGTAATTCAAAATTATGTCCTGGCAATTTTTTTTATTGAATTATTGGAATTTTGTTACATTTATATCAAACAGAAACTAGATAGCTGAGCACAAGTTGATATCTGTATCTATATATATCTGACGAAATTGTATGTAGTTATGTTAAGTACGTTTTTAGTCATGTAGTATTCACAAGTAGAAGTAGACAAGTAGTGTAGTTTAATAAAGTTTGGATCATAATGGGAAGTATACTTGAATACACGGCTTCTGGCAAGCAATAACTCTGTCAATAAATGTAAATAAATATTTGTTTGATTACTTATGTTTTAGACAATATTTTTCAAGATGTAGGTAACTGACGGTTTAAGTATCTAAAATTAAAAAAAAAATACATATTGATTTAGTCATTTTTTTATCTTTATTTTACAATTGTGTTGTCTCTAATATTATTGATTATTGTTCTAAATATTGATTTTGATATGGAGATGGAATGGAATGGCAATTAGTATAAATGACCTTGAATATTGATATGAAAATGTCCATAGTAATTAGTATATTAATAAATATAATATGCAGAAATAGATCCGCTATTAATCGCATTTGAAATTTTATCACGCCTTTATAATATTTACACTTTACCTACTGTATTATAAAGTTAATCATACCTATATGTAGTTAGTGTTTTAATTACAGATCTGAATGTTTTAGTAGCATAAAATATTAACGCTAACTGCTTACTACAGTTTAGATATGTAAACATAACTACTCAAATATGATTTTGAGGATGGGAATTAATGCCATCATGCATTTACTTAAAATATATCAACTTAGTACTTATTAATTCCTGTCTCTTGAAATCATACAACGATTCAAACGAAAGTCACAATTTAATTTTGCTATATTGTCATATAAAGGGGCCTATAATTTTGTTTATTTAACTATAGTTTCTCCGTGGAACCACCTGTTTCGCTGTGGCGTGGACGACCTGCCTTGATATCATCGATATTCGCAATACATAATATATCTAGTGTACTTTAATTAAATAATATAACTGTGTAAATTGACTGAGTTCAGAAAAGTAATAGAATATGGGTGTAATACATAATCAATTATTTGTATATAAAAATTACATACGTCATATCATAAAGTAGTAAATATTGTTATTAGAAGAGAATTTATGATTGGTAGGATTAGGTACATTAGGCAAAATCAAACTACATAGTTAAAAGAGTTATGAATTTATATAATAATTTGTCATAACTATAAGTATCTACTTTGCAACTATTTTTGATTCCTACAGCTTATATACTATTTAAGTCTTGCTTCAGTGTTAAAGAAAGTTGCGAAAATTTACGAAAACATCATTACAGATTATATTATCAGTATTGCATTGGAGTAGCTTCTGTCGCTTTTTTAGTACTGTGACAAAACATAGTTTCTTATTAATAGCAAAATCCAATATGTCGTTTGTAACATCAAGACAAGTAAATTAGCAGTATCATGTTAAACTTTAGTCATAAAAAAATTGGTATTTGCGTTTATATACGTTTCATAATATTTGTATTTGTATGAAAATGTATATATATGTATGATTAGCTCCATTTATGGTAGGTAGTTACCCTAGTTCTATTTCATCCGATAATCGTATGTGTAGAATAAACAGCTATGATGAGTTTGATTTTCACATTAATTTTGCTACACCTATTGATAATGACAAATTCGTTTGCCAACATATTGTATTTTATCATTGGTTATAATATTATTGAAATATTTGTTGGTAACAACCATTTTATTACTGAAGATTTTATATGTAGGTATCCGGCTCGAAGTATCATGCATAATCAGTTAGTTTTAATGTGAGTAAAAAATACAAATAAAATAGTAGGTACATAGGCTTGTGAATAGCAATTTTGTAATATGCGAAAGTATTACCGTGCCTACAGAATTTTCTAAATACAATGTTAGGGCTACCCATAGTACTTTCTAAATGTTATGAATGCGGGTATTATCATTATTGCTTACATTAAAGTTAATAATTTTATATTACCTTACTTAAATTGTCTAGATTTATAAATAATTAATCATTCGTTATAATAATTTATTCCACGGACATGATCACAATAATAAAATACTTAATAGGTACTTTAATACTTTTATTTACGATATAGGCATAAATATATAAATTGAATGATGAAATACTTAAAATGGCTTAATTTTAATAATAATAATGAATTGATTTTTTTAAGTCTTACATATTTATTAGTACTGTAAATCAATTTGGCCAATAATTGGCACTCAAGAAACGGTTTATAAATTTGTTTAGTTTTAACTAGTTATTAAAAAAAATATTCTGCAATCAAAATAATGTCCGAATTCATAGATTTTATATGTTTTCAGACTTTTTATGTAATATATGTTTTAGAAATATGTTATTTGAGTATGAGTCACTTGTTACTAGACAATAAAAAAATTGAAATTTTCTTTTGTTTTTTTTTTATTCCAAATCCCTGTATTTATTTCTTTATTATCTAATACTTTTTTACAAAAACGCAGCGACTATAATAATGGAGGGCAAGTTTAAAGTATATAATAATGAATTTCTTTCCAGAGATGAAGACGCTTTAAGCATATGGCGAGTGATTAGTAATGCTCACAAGTTGCACGGTGGTACAGTTCTATGTAAAATACTTTTATTATATAAAATTATACATGTTATACGTTTGTGTGCTTTTAAAAGTAAAATCCTTAATTACAATCATATTTTACTAGATCTTGAACAAATTTTCATATAAAGACAATTTTGGAATAATTTACAAGAGGTGACCTGACGAGAAAGAGTTTTTCAATGACTACTTACTACATAATAATGTAGTAAATAGTCATTGAAAAACTATTAACCAAATATCCTTGACTTATCTATAGCGAAGCGATCGCTATATATAGATATGTGCATAATCAAAAATTAATATTTAAGCTAAATCGTAATAGGATAACGACAAACATCTACCTAATTAATAAATTAAATATCAAGTAGATATAATATTGTGAAAATAAAATATCAAAACAGTTTATTTCTTATTTTTTTCTGTTAATATAAAAATATTTTCTATCAAAATATTAATATGGGTTTCCATTCTATCTATTATAATTTAGTTATAATAGATAGAAGAGGACTTACGGAGCGCCTGAAGTCCATTATCTACCTGAGGAATAACTGAGAATTGCTTCCTAATATAGATAGGTATATGATAGGTATGACATATACCTATCTATATTAGGAGCAATTCTCTATTAAAATAATTATACATATAGGAAATAATATAAAAAGCTAACTTTGTGTTTAAATTTTCCAAATAAAAATAACATTAAATAGGTTAAACAGTAAAAAAAGTTAGGAAGAAATAATTAATATAGATGATATTTTAGGAAAATAATAAGTAAATATACTCTGATATAAATCATTTATTAAAAATAATGGAAACATAAATGTTACTTAGCCAACATAATACTTTATAAAAATGCTCGTACGTTTGTGCTGAGTTTTGATGCAACAACAAGTCAATGGCATCAAAGGTAACTCTTTAATTAACAACACGTAACATGGAAGCCTTATATATGTTTTATTTAAATTTATAATATTTATACAAATAGTAAAATTTATTTGTAATACAAATATAACAACAAGCATTATTACTAGTCTTATAAGACGGAGTATTCGATGTATATCTTAATCATACTTAAGTGAGTCACTAATGATATAAAATGTCTATAAATTGTGACTAATTACTACTTAATTGTTAATCTATATATGTATATGAAAAGATAGCTTCATTTCAAAGATAACAACAGTATATAAGATGAATAATTTATTATTAGCAACTCATTTTGTTGCCATTTATCAAAACACTATCTAAATTCCGTAATAAAGATATTATTACAATAACCTGATACTTCTGTGTACATATAACAAAAAAATATATGTAATTATAAATTTTGAATTAATATAAATGCTAATTATTCGAATTATTGTATAAGAATAATAAATTATCTAATGGCAATTTTAATATTATTTATTATGGCAGTATCAATTCCATGCTCAGAACAATATTCTAAGATTACATTAGTAGGTACTTATAAACATAGGAAAGTTGTCATTGTACTAAAATTTACATCACTTTTGTATGGTTGACACATTTTAATACTTTCAATAATATTAATAACTAATGAGTAGATATGTTTTTGACACATTGAGACGAAAATGATGTGTGATATCTTGCGATAACTATTCATTATAAATCTATATTAGCAGAATTATGAATAAAGTATGTAACTTCAATTATTGACGGAACTCTCTACCATGTCACCTAAATATGAACATTTTATTTCATATTTTCAACTAATTATTCAGTATCTATAGGTAGGTAATTAACACATTATATAGTAATTACTTTATCACTTTTACAGTAATTTAAAATATATCGTGCATTCAGCATTATTTGTTTGTGAATATATGGGTACTTGCTGTCATAAATTCATCATTTTATTAAGGGCTACGAATAAATATATTTTATTTGGCCTATACCTACTTTCTTACCATTTCTTGTAGGTATGTATATCAGACTTGTATTGGTATAATTACACATATATATACTATTAAGATTTATATTAAGTATAACAACAATAACATACAAAGTAGAGTAATTTTCCTCAAGAACCGGAGTTCGCAAAATTCTTTTAACGGATTTGAAAATTGATATAAAACTATTATATGTGTAACAATATATATAAATATAAACTCTAGGTTGTCTCGTGATACTATAGCCAGTTTATATTTATAGTTTGACTTCATATTCACTAATGTAAATAGTTGCTTAAAGCAAGAACGGTCAAAATAGCTTCATGGTTTAAAGTCAAAATATAGGGATCAATAATATTTTTTATATCAAAATTAACATCTTCAGTACGAAATATACTAGTCAAAAATCATGGTCTAATGCTATTTATACTTAATAGGTAATACGATTCTTTAGAAATTTGTAGGTAAATAACAATATTTGTTATATTATAAATATGAAATTATATGTTTCTGCGACGTAATTACTCTCTCTCATTTTATGAAATATCGATACTTGCCAATATTTTCATGATATGATATGATAATATCCATACTTTATGGCACTATAATCCGCAGTATAATGCAGGCCAATGTACCTAATTAACTGTATTCTTGTGAAGCAATACCAGGTTTTACATATTACCTTTCGTCATCTTCGTTCATTTAATCATCTGTAAGAGATAAAAAGATTTTTGATAACTTGCAATTGTTTTCATATTTTAATTTAAATCAGTACATAATGTAATATGGGTTCATTACGGAGAGATTAAAAATAAAAGATATAGTAGTAAAATATATAATAGTATTAAGTAACCTAAAAATATTTTTTCGGAAAATATTTTTAGGTTACTTAATACTATAGGTTTTTAGGTTACCTAATATATATATTTTTAATTTTAATTAAAGTATTAAAGTTCAATATTTCTATTTATAACACTATCAGTACATTTTGCGGATAATTAGGTAGAGATCCACTGACATCGAGTATCCTCTGTAATGTAATAACATATGCGGTTCTTTCATTTATATGTATCAGAATACATATAAATGAAAGAACCGCATATGTTATTCAGACAGTACGGAACTTACATCGGTCACGTCTTTGGTTCTCTGACGAAGCTCCTGCGTTTGCGCAACGTGCCGAGGATCTGTAGCATCTCCTTCACTGCTTCAGGCTGGTCTTCCCTTGGCTTGCGTTCCATGAAGTTTTGTTCGGTAGATTTCAGATGGAACTTGCCTCCTTTTATTTGGTCTACTATTGCATCAATTGCACCGCCTGGGAATGAAGTAGGTAAATAGGTAGTTTAGAGGAGAAGGGGATTATTAGTAATGTAGACTGTTGTCCCTAAGAAAAGTACTATATCAGGTTAACCTCCACGCGGTTCCCCTGGAAACCATGATGATACATTCCTGGTGAATTTGTCACGATGGGCACTGAACTGACTCCATTTTCATCTTATCTCCACTAGCGTTCCGCTAGCGTAAACAATTGACGCAGACGGGTGCACCATTTCATTATTGCCCATTAAATTTAATTAGGTAGGCAAAAAATATTAACACAAAAAACTTGACGTTCCTAAGCGGCTAAAATGTCCTACATGAAGAAATAATTTGACTGAAAAACACTAACCTCCATTTTGTTTGCATTTTTTCAACGTGCCTTGCTTCCCGGCGAGCAACTTCGCCATGTCCTCCACACCAGATGTCACGAATACGGATGGAGGCGGCGGTGGTGGTGGCGGGGGAGGGGGCGGTGGACATGCTGGCGGGGGTGGGGTCGGGGGCGGAGGGGGAGGGAGCTGCGGGGCCGCGGGGGGCTCCGCTGTGGCGGGGGACGGGCTCCTCGCCGGCGGCTGCTCTGAGGAGTCAGGAGACAGCAGGGGGGGCGGCGAAGGTGGTCGGGGTGGAGACAAATAGGTTTCTGGCTTGCTTACAGGTGGAGCTGGAACAAGTTCAAGTTAAAAAATGAAAACTATTCGTTAGTTATTCTGTAAAGTATATGAAATTAAAGTAAACGATTGTTTTAAAAGAATATATCAAATTATAAAATACTATTTTATTTAAAAAAAAAAACTGGAAATAGTATGTCTGCGTGTGTATCTCAGTCTCATCTATTTCAGCCGCCAAGCAGCTTGCTTTGTAAATCGTTTCAGTTGTAGGGTTCCGATTAGGTAGTGACAGAAAATTATTTATTCTCGCTCTCATAAAAAAATACAGTTACATATACTATTATTCACAAAAAGATAAAAACAAATTTTTATTAATATATCAGTGCGCAAGAAAAAGAGGTAACACGGACGGCCTTATGCCTCTAAGATGCATTGATAACTTAATCATTTACAATTGCAACTCATGTGTGGTATTGCGGGTGTCTCATGATAACGTGACGTAAACTGTTTTCGTAGCAGAGGTCGGAAATGTCTATAACATATGTAATGCCGTAAGGCGTTAAGTCCGCCATATGTACTTTTACCTTTGTACTTTGTGTATTGAAATTATATAAATAAATAAATAAATATGTAAGTGAATGCAACTGATCTAATTATTTAATTGATAAACTGCGGAAAGCCACAATATATATTTTCGTAGACCAAAAAAAGCGAGGAAAAGAAGGCGTAACTTAAAAAAAAGTACAACTTATTTTAATTCAGATTTCTTACCTACAGGTTCTTCGACTTCCTCTTTGATCACCTCCTTTGTTTTGCCCTCCTGTGCTTCGGACGCCCCATTTTCGAAATAACTAATTCTGGACATGAGATTCCCCCTCCTTGGACGGTCGGGCAACCTTTTCTCTACTTCAGCTAACTTCTTCTCCGCTCGCTCGGCTCGCTCGATGGCTTTCTGAGCATCCGCTTCTGCCAGTCTAATTTTCTCTTCCCACAATAATATGTCAGTATCTTCATGTTTTTCAGCTACTTTGAGCTGTAGGAAAATCGCACAATAATTAAATAATAATACTTACAGGAATTTTCCATATCATGTAAATGAATCATTACGTAGACGAGATGGACAAGTTATCTTATATAGATATTATAAGACAAAGTTCCCGTCGCGTATCTGTGTTCGCGATAATCACAATGACAACTGAAGTTTCATGCCGTATTCAGGTATCAACAGAATATTATCTGAGGAAGGTTTAGGTACCTAATTCGTTGTGTATATCGGTTTATAAAATACCCGTGCGAATGTGGGACATCTGCCTAACATTATAATATGCCCAACTAGTCGTATCCCACAGCACTGCCTGAACTAGACTCTGTACAATGTCGTTAGCGTATAACCTTATTCTCATATATTTCTGCTACTAAACAGCTTGTAACCTTAGTAACCTGTGTTTCAGTTTAAAGATGTTATAGCATAGCAGGTGATAGGCATGATATCTAAATACATGGAATTGCAATGCACGTAAACGTCGCACGAAAAATAAACTGTCTGATAACAGGGGAAGTGCGTATAATTTCTTACCTGTAGTTCCTCCAGCTGCTCCCGGTGACGTGCGGCCTGATTCTCGAGCGCATCCTTGAGACAGTCGACTTCTCCAAGCAGTAAAGTGAATCGCTCGTCTAAAGTGAGCTCGCCCACTAATAGTGCGCTCTGGTGTGTCAACACGCGGACCCGCTTCTTTGCGTCCCGTGCCTCTGACTTGTACCTGAATCAAATCAAACAAAATTTATTAATCGATTACGATATTTGAAACAGTTGTTATAGAACCGCTTTTCCATCAAATGATCTCTATATAGTATAAAGCTAAGTAGATGTTTTAGTCTTTTTGTTTGTTCTCTCTGTCTTTTAATCAGGGTTCACTTTATAAGATTCAGTCCAGACGCCCCTTTTAGATATTAAATTCGATATCAGATATTTTGGCGACCTCAATGAAACCCATAGGCTATTCCTATAGCCTATAGGAGAATAATGTCATTATCTGCTATGACGATAGTAATAAAATTGCGTAATTTTAACGATAACAAAATGGATATAGACTATCAGTCTATAGTTTCTAATAGTGATACTGATATCATATTGGATGTAGGAAGTGTATTAATCAATAATTCCACTTCTAATTATATTAGCGTGTCTCCTGTCATATTAAGTATTATACCTATATATACCTTCTAATATATTAAGCTATGTTTTAGGTCTGACATTTCACATTTATTAACTTAAGATTAAAGTAGCTGTAATATTAGTTTAGTTATTAGTTGATAAAAAATTATAATAAAAAAATATTCAGTAACATTCACAAATGTGACACACTCATAAACAAGAGACTTAATATATACATCGAACAATACAAAAAGTAATACAATACAATGGAAAAACAAAACGAAATACAATATCGTAAAACAATAGATAATAGGACGACAATAAATAGAAAAACAAAGAGAATTGATACAAGTATTACGAAAAATGTGGGGTCATAGATCCACTCGCACTCACGTTTCAGCCATCTCCCTGTCCTTGTCGGCATTTTCTTTGAGGGCAGTGACCTCTTCCATAAGTAGCTTCGAGATCCGGTTGTGACTTTCCAGCTGGCTGCGCATGTCCTGCAACTCTTTCTCTTGGGTTGCACATTTCTCTCGCTCTGCCTCTAATTCCTAAAAAATCGTATTTGTTTGATTAAACTTCTACCAACTTCTTTAGTGAATTACTTAAATAATACTATTTGTATATATATTATATTATAAAGATTAGATTATAAAGGTTGATGTTGGCAAATGCCACTGTTTCAAGTCCGCCATATATACTTTTACCTATATTACGTCCATTAAAGTTATATAAATGAAATGAAAGAGATACTATTCTTTTATACCTTTTTAGGTTTTAAGTAGAATATTGGGACAGCGTAAAGTGATAATAGTATTTTTTTATCATTGGAGGACGTAACAGGATGCACCATGACGGTATAGATGAGATATCTCATGAAAGTTGACCTGACTAAAAATATTTTTATTAAATTTCTGGACAATTCACACCGCGCCACCTGGTCCTAAGCTAGAGCTTGTAGTATGAGTACTAGACAACTGAATATATGTAAATACAAATATAGATTTTTATAACATACATACATAACGTGTTTTCATGTATATGAAAACACTCAGACTGATACAAACAATTATATTATTGCAAAATAAAAATTATTATTTGATGCAAAAAATAAAATAAAATGATTAATGAATACAAATATTTGTACCGAGGGATCGAACCAGCGACCATCGGAAGTAAGGCAGTGTGCACTTAAGCCATCAAAAAATAGGACAATTGTTCAACATAAATTTTAATAGTATTACAGTATTACGAGGTCTTTAATCACCTGTGCCAGTGTTACATTCAGTTCTTGAGCCTCGAATTCCTGTAACTTGACAGCGCTGAGTTCGGTCTGCAGCTCAGCTATCTGACGACTCAATTCAGTTACGGTTTGCTTTAGAAATTCTACCTCTTCATTGCTGCTTGTATCTGATGCTGTGAATACGTATAATTAAATATAAATATTAATTGCTCTTTAGTGCTTAAATCATGATATTTTAATGAAAGTCACAACTATCATCGGTATATAGGTATCATAAAGGTTGAACTTTAAATATATGGTATAATAAAATAAACTAGTATTTCATGTATGTTTCTAGCACAGAACGAAATAAATAGTCTAGTTTTGCATCCTGTGGTTTTTGGTATCCAATAGGTTCTGCATTATTACAGAGAGAAACAATATACAGGTACCTATATTGTAACTTAAATCAATCAATATAAGAATCGAATGAAGAAATCTTTAAATCGTACTACGTATAGCTTGATCGCAGACATTATCCAATCAATTGGTTTCGTTTGTTTGTTTTTTCTTAAATCAGTATTTAAGTAATATAGAAATAAATTAACACAACTAAATTAATTTCAACTTAAATTTAATAAATGTAGTCGAAACGGAAGTGTTTAAAATTTCTGAGCGATTAATGACTATTTAAGTGAAAGGACATAAGTGCTACCTCTGTGTTAATCTGCCTATTGAGATTTTACGTAAGATTACACGGAAATATGCATATATATGGATACATATTCTATTGCGTAGAGTGCATGGAAATATCCTTGGATATTTAAATTTATATTCTTATTATAAACGCTACCTTTATCAAATAGAACATATAGATAAATTTAAAAATATTAAACAAGTACAAATTTTCTTCCGGAGCCATTTTTGAGATATTATAATAATAATAATCATCTCAGGACAATTCACACAGCGCCATCTAGTCCCAAGTTAAGCTAGCTAAAGCTTGTGTTATGGGTACTAGATAACTGATACAGATACATAGATATATTTTTTTTCGTCAATACATACATATTATACATAGAAAACATCCAGACCGATACAAACAATTATACTCATGAATACAAATGTTTGTGCCGTGCGAGGAATTGAACCTGCGACCATCGGACGTAAAGCGATGTGCTAGACCGCTAGACCACCGAGGTCGTCAATTTATTGAACAATGAAATAAGTTTCTCACTGTGTAAAATGAATATAGTTACCTAATATTTATAATAAGCTGTTACAATTTCTTGTTACCATACCTGTGTCTGTAGAGTCCGTTAAGTCTATCTCAATAGCTTTGGCAGGCAATGCTTGTAGGATCGCTGTACTTCGCCGTTTTAGTTGTTTATTTTGTTTGTACCATTCACCAGCCTGTTGCATAACCCTGAAATAACATAAATTTATACATTTATATTATATAAAACAAAAATATAGAGGGTTAGTTGGACAGACAACAACTTTTGTTCTACAACTTTGAAAGCATATATTTTTTAAAGAAAAATAAGTTCAAAGTTATATTAAAATACAATAACAAAAAACACAGCCCTAACATCAGCTGTTTTATTTCAATGTCAAGGACTAATATACTGTCACTAGGAGGATGGTTTTTTAATGATGGGAAATAAATAGTAGCTCTATTTATTAATTATATTAACATCTCAATAATTTATTAACATCCATAAAAAATACACCATCCCACCGTTTTATAGCAAATGATGTATTCGTTCGATATCGTGGTGAACTAAACGCTTGACATACCCATATTAACCCTTGGTATATTTAAATCTATCATTTTTTTAACTGTAGGAATGTGGAAAGATATATGTAAATTAAGAATGAGGATAAATTGAAATGAGTATTTAATTCACTCTTTTGGAAAGGAAATATATAAGAAAGGTATAGTTGAGCTTAGTATTAGGTACTTTTAGAAGTCTTTTTCTCAGACTACCTACCATTTATCCACAATACTTGTTAAGTACTAAAGGTAAAAAGGGTGCAAAATAAACTCAGAATTTTAGGTAAAACCTAAAGAAACGAAAATATATATATTTTTTTTTGATTTGAGTTTAGTTTTGGTGATTTATGTTAGTTACGTTTTCGGTATGTTTGTATGTAGATATTATTATCCTTGTAATATAAATGCTATTTTTAGTTTTATATTATGTACGTCTTGTATGTATATTAATTACAAAAGCTAACAAATTTAATAATTTGTATATAAATATAAACGTGTTTCAGTTATAACTATATTGATATTCAATAAAAAGTGTAGTAATTTTCTTGCTTCAACTTTACGTATTATATAACACAAAAGTTGCAGTTAGTGGAATATTTTTTTAAATATAGAAGTAAAAAATTGTTGGAATTGGAAGTTATATAATGTAATACGGATTTATGAAAAATCGCTGACGGAAATTTTACAATACTATTTTAGATATTCCTCTATTTATAGAAAAAACAGGTAATGTGAGGTTCATAAAAATACTACGTAAATACAAAATATGTCGCCAGTAAAATTTCTAATTAGCAAATTATTAATAATAATCCTGTTATTTACAGCATACATAATTTTTAATTGTAGCCCTTAATAAAACTTGTAAAATTTTACTACGTTAAATAAAGTTTACGGCATCCTAATTATGTGGTCGGGCGAAATTTTCACATGAAGTACCTACCACCCATACATTAGTTGATGTGAAAAATTCGTCTGACCAGAGCTAGCGACGTTCAATGAATCTAGTTATTATTTGTTCTAGACTTATTCATACTAAACGGTAGTACGTAGCGACCAAATAATTGCAGACCATGACCCATGACCTAATTGTTACAGACTATGGGGGCGAGACCTCCGCAATCATTGGTTATTTATTTTGTTACATTTGTCACCAGCTGCATCAGTTAATATCTATTAAAATTAATTGCGCGAATAAACTTCTCTACCATACAAAAACTTAAGTATATATATTTTTAAATGATCGTCCAAATAATAAATATAAACATATCCTAAATAATGAGAACGAACTAAATGGGTGCAATGAAATATTTTTTATAACGCTTTTAATTAAATATATATTTATTTTAATGATAAAAAATCAGTGTAATTAAATATGTATTACAAGACAGTACAAATCATTGCCTGTGATTTTATAAAAAGATTATTTTTATTCCATTAACTTTTATAAATTTAGAAAATAATAATAAAATATAATAACTGGAAAGACTTACATCTTGAAGCAAATTTTATATTCGACCATTCCAAATATAAACAGTTAAACAAATTTAAATGTATACAAAAATAGTTCGATTTTTGATAAAGAACCTGCAATTATAATAATTTTTTCACTTAATTTCCCTACATCACTAAGTATTAACGGTACAAAAAACGTCAATTTCAATGAAAACTTCATAAAATAATCGCAATAATTAAGATTTTTTCTGCGACTTTGCACACATTTAAAATGTATAACAGTCTTTCAAAATATGCAGTTATTATTCACACAAAATTAAACTTGGCTATTCATTTACGATATAGAGGTCATATTATCACTGATGATGATTCAAAACTGATCATAATCGAATACATAATATTAGCTAATCTATTAGTGAAATTTATAAGTATATTACAATATTTTTGCATATTGAACAACCTAACCGATCACTTTGACTTTCATTCTTTTATAATGCGAGGAATCCAATAGTTACGAATTAAGCATTAAATTAAATATTTAAACAGCAATTCAAGCAAGCAAGCAAGTTAAAAAAATTTAAAATTAATAATATTCTTCTGGTACCAATTTTTCAAAATATCGAATTTGTAATTTATATATTTATTCAGCGTTACTTTTAATGTCATAGTATAAAATTTTGTTTCTTTATTTAGTTGTTTGTTTATTATCTCGCACCTAAATTGCTATAGCTATTAGGTGGGTATAACTTGAAGTAGATATAAAGGTGTCCACATAGGCTATACTTAAACTAAATCTCATACGAGCAAAAACGATATATATTATAAATATGATAATACTTTTTTTGTTAGCTCAACTACCATTTAAAATAATTTAATTTAATTTTACTTTTTACAATTTAAAAAAACGGAACTTGTACTCTAACTCAAAGGTGGTGTGGACGTTTTATGAAACATTAAAACTTTTTAAATATATTTTTTTCGAAAACTATTAGTTTTACGGAAAAAAGAAATAATATGTTTTGTAGGCAATTTCACATGCTACAAATTTGATAACCACTATTTTTCAGTAACTGTGACCGTTAACGAGACATTCGCGAAAAACTGTTTTTTGTGACCTTTTACCTCGAGTAAAACATTTTTAGCGGCAAACGGATCAATGAGGACTTTCGGGATTTTGTTTAGAACCACAAAAGGAAGGTTAATGCAAAAATCCAGCTTTCCCGTAATTTTTCCATAGTACGTCTTTATGCTACTTACTATATGTGATAAGGTGACGGTAAAATATTATAAAACATAAGTACATACATAACTACGCATTACAGCCACATACGATATGCCATTCATAACAAAGAACAAGCGTGACAAGCTTATTCTGGTATTAGGTACGTTATATACCAACGTATGAATAGTACATAAGACTCAATGATCGTGCATCAATAACTGAAATGACTGACGAATATTTTTTATTAATGTATCGTCATAGTCTCATATTGTTAACCAGCTATCTAAAAGGAGGAAGTTTATAGTTATCGTCATTAACTGACTGATTTTCATTTTATTTATTATTTTGAAGGGTATAGGCAGTCTCTCGAGGTACTCCCACTGTCACCATGTCAGATTCTGATAAAAAGTTCTCAGAGTAATTGCTATAAATTCTGAAATAATATAGGAAGGTATTGTGTTTGAGCTTTCTAGTTATGTTTTTTAAATGTTTATTTCTGGGAAATACTAGTAGTCGTGCAAAATCAATACCGATTCAAAGCGGTATTTTCGCGGATTGAACACGCTAGTAATTATAGTTATTCTAGATGTAGATTTTTTAAATTCTATCATTCTAAATGTAGTATTCGATGGAAAGAAATTGTATGCAGGTCTGTACTAAAACAAAGTCGTCGTTGAGGGTTTTAAAAAAATATTTTTATTTTGCACTTTGTTCCTATGGCAAAGTTTTATATTGTAGTTTGATGAACTCTATTCTTGTCTTCTGCTTGTTTATACTTATGTAATTTTTATGATTAAACCCGTATAACAAACCACGCTAGTAATATATCAATCAAAAGAAAAGATAAAAGATATTACCTACAATAAAATGATAAAGTCATTTATTTAATCGATTTTGTATTCGTTAGCTACTAGGTAATGGAACACTTCAACTAATAATAGGTATAAAATACACTAATTAAAATTATTATAGTTATTGGGTTTTAAATACAACTACATATACATATATATAATATTTGACATCCTTTATAATACGTAACCCTACATTTAGGAAGTCTAAATATGTAGAAGACTACATGTTGAAATTTTAGTTTAAAAAAATCATCTTTTTATATTAAAGTGAATCACTGACCGAGCAGTGTGTATGAGTTTTTAAATTATTTTGATTTTTCACCTGTCGTTATGGAAAAATTACTTCACTTACGTGAATAAGTATTATTATTGGATTTCGGCTTGGTGTACTATTTACGACTATAGTGTCACCTATACGGACCGAATATACGTTTGCATTCGCAGCGAAGTATTGACATAGTAAGCTATCACATATCAATGTGACAACACAATGCAACATGCATGTAAAATTTGCAGTTTTACGTTTGTTAAGCAGCAAAGTGGAACGATTATGTAAGCAGATGCAATCTTTACGTAAGAATAAGAAATATTTTACAGATAATGAAATAAATTCGCCATCTTTACGTATTAGGGAAACTTTTCAATGAAATACTTTATTTTCATTCATACACACACACAAGCATAAACATTTTTCAAATTAATGTACGACAAAGTGACGTAAACATTGAGTGATTGTAGTACCAATTAAAAATAACATCTGTAACACAGGGATTCCTTACAACAGATGTTACGGCCTATAAATTAACGACATTGTCTCAATCAATAAATATTATTATGTTGTAGGTCATAAGACCTATAACATCAAGAAGAGCCCATGTCATGGTACGAGTAAGTGGTAAACGTCACCTATATACATAAACAATACCATAGACGTCAGGCTATCAAATGACGTTAGCTACGATGCCATGACTTTGTACTCTGTAATGTCACTAGCTAATCTCCTCCTTGAAACGAAACATATCTTACAAAGTACGCTGCTTAATAGCTAAAGTAGGTTAGATCTGTTTTATTTTAGATATACTCTGCGTATATCTAAAATGTGGACAGGGCTTTGTGGACAGTTTACATATTTCGGTAAATAATTATATTTTGGTCTTACTTCTTCTAACTTTATTCTTCTGAAATAGTCATATCTACGTCGGTGTTTCTCGCAAAAAGTATTTCACCAAAATGTGTTGGTGTATTTTTTATGTTTATATTCCCAGAATCTATTAAGAAATATTATAGAAGTGCTCTAGTTCCCTTCTTGTAATAGTAGCAGTGAAACAATGGGCAATAACAACTTACTTGTGCCTAACATCAGCCTCAACTTCCAGCTGATTCTTCAACTGTTGATATTCGTGATATACCTTTTCAGAGAGTGTTTTCAATTTGTTCAACTCCCGCTCTCTCTCCCTAAGCTCCCCCTCCAGGTGGTTCCTCTCCTCTGTGACGATATTGTACCGTCGCTGTAAGTCATCGTGGTCACGTTTCGCTGAAAAATTAAGACTAGGTTACCAATGATATTATAGTATAAGAGGCATGGCATCATAGTTCTCTGGAATGGCAACACGAGTTATATCATTTTAACGCCGTGTCTGTAATGCTGTCTATGAATATGGGCAACGGTTTTTTTATGGATGATAATGGAATGGTGCACCCGCCTGCGCTAACGATTTATGCTGTCAGGGCACCAGTGAAGGATGATATGATGAGCATGAGGCCAGGTCAGTTAGCCCATCGTGACAAATTCACCAAAAAAATATCACGTTGGTTTCCAGGGGGAACCGCGTGGAGGTCAACCTGATATGGTACATTGCTAATAATGGGGCCATGAGTTCACATTAATAATAATACGCTTCCCCCCTAATAGGCAACGGTTACTGCTTGCAATTTGGTGAGCCGTCAGCTTGTATGCCATTCTAATTACATCTAAAAATCTAGATGTGATACCGGCAGCTGGGAGTAACAACACTATTGATGGTTAGGGCCACAATGTGATTACATTGTAGCAATGCCTGCAATGTAGCAATACCTTTAGGTTGATTAATCTAAAGGTATCGTTACTTCTCGAAGTATTGCAGTGAAAGATAAAATGTAAGACTAATATTAATTTGGTACCTACCACAGATTACAATCTCAGGTGGGTAGAGTAAATAAATAAACATTAGAAAATATACAACATAAATACCATTTTCAGAAGTGTAGTTTTATTATGAATTACATAATAAATACAACTGGGATCAAAACGATTATAGCTTTGTATCAAGCCTATAAATAGGGTTGTTTTAGGAAATACATATTTATTATAATCTATTAATATGTTTGTGTTTAAATACAGAATTTTCGTATTATTCTTCCTTATTCTCTTGAATTAATTAACCAAATAATATAAATTGAATTAAGAGAATAATATTAAAACAAGACATTAACGATGTCTTATAATCTATTAATAATTTTCTGTTTAAATACAGAATTTTCGTATTATTCTTCCTTATTCTCTTGAATTAATTAACCAAATAATATAAATTGAATTAAGAGAATAATATTAAAACAAGACATTAACGATGTCTTGTTAAGACAAGACCTAAGGGCATGGAATCTATGTTTGGATCTAGATTTTTTTTTGTCCATGATTTGCCGTTTGTTTTTGGCATCATCAAATATTTTGTTGTGTTAATTATTTATGGTATATTTTCTGTTTTTTGTATGTTGTAATTTATAATTATTCCTATATTACTTATATCTAACGTTTTTGGCTGCAGCTTGCCTTTACAGTCTCACCGGAACAAGCTGTCATGAAGTATCTTCTGAATATATTAATATTAATAGTCACATTTTAATAATAATCACGACAAATAATTCTGTTAGTTTTAATCTATAGTGCTGTAATGAAAATTTCCCGTTGAGTCAATGAGGCCTTGAGGAGATATGCTTACCCGAGACAATTAGTCATTTAGTATGCAGTCTAAACCGTTTGTTTTTGTTGGAACTTTATGCATATTTAATATTTCAATATTAAATATATTACATACAAATATGTGGTTGACGCATAATAACAAATTTGTATATGTACCTATAGGTAATTTTGACCTTTTTTCCTCATAAATATACTAAATTTATCACCTATTTATCAGCAAGTTGGTAACAAACATTGCTCATGGGCTGAACAGTTTTCACTAAAAAGCATCAAAATCGGTTCATTCCTTTGTGACCTTTGGTGTCATAGATAAAGTTAGATATATGATACGTATAACAGCCCTAATTTTTATGACGAAGGTTAAACTTAAAAAAAAAAGAATTTTTTTATTTTGTATATATGTTTATAATAAATAATACTTGACCAATTTGAAAAAAATGTTAGCTAGGTATATTGGTATAGCTAATAATGTAATATTATGTTATCTGTGCTAATAATATACCTACATATGTTACGTATAGTAAGGGGTAGCAAATGAGTCAGAAATGGATAAATAAAGAGACTCAAAGTAAAGATATATAGACACATTATTAAAATTAATATTATATTATTTTATCTATCTAAACCCACAAGCAATATACATACGTAGGTTAATGCAAAGCCAGGCGGGTAGAAAATATTATTGTAGGGTCATTTAGCCTGTTCGCGTCCATCGCCCAATTTGCGTCTATTTTGTGGATCTCCCGTTAAAAATCATCGAAAATAAGTCAATTGACACACCAATTGAACGAAAAGTCATTACCGCTAATACCTCAATGTATAAGAGGCACGCACAAATAGACAAAAGTTCTGTGCGTCAAACCAATCCCGTTTAGAAAAAATAGTTAATCTCGACTGTTCAACAAGTAAGTCCGTACCCGTTTGTATTTATATAAAAATTTGATGGTAAGTTTTTTATTGTTTTATGTGAATTTTGGGATACAAAGCTACGTTTCACACTTTTATGATGAAAAAAGGAATAATATTAATTATGAATTTGCTCATGTTTTTTATATTTTACAAATAAATTAAGGTGGACGCGAATTACTACATCGAATTTTACAATACTTCCACTATTTTCGTTAAATTAATAATAATTTATTATTCTTATATATTATTTATATAATTAAAAAAAAATTATAATTATAAACACATAGTCTTAATAAAAAATGTACAATGATACTTTACTTTACTTGCAAGGCAAGTAAAAATAATTAAAAATGTATTGTTTATTATTATTGTACATTTTTTATTAAGACTATGTGTTTATAATTATAAATTATTTTTTTAAATAAAATTATAATTTTTTATATTATTGCTATGTACCACATATTTTCTTTCTTTTTTTATTTGAAATGAGTAATTTCTTTCATTTTACATCTCTTATTTTTTTCATTTAAGATGAGTTCTTCGGAGTCAAGAGGAAAAGAGAACATACACAGAAGAAGAATATACACACAGAACATACACAAAAGCGTTAAATTAAATTCGAGAGAAGAATAAGACAAATATGTGAAGAATATACTATTCCCAAGACAACAATATTGGACAAAATCAGTGGGCGCAGACCCAATGGAGTAAAGTTATAATCAAAGCTGATCTGTAGCCTTAAGATTTCAGGGTAAAATTAACAGAACGATTGCTGTTTATTCTTAAAGTTGCAATCATTATTCGCCTACTACTTAATAATTTTAGGTTCTACCAATGTTGAGAAGAATTATTTATATTTTTTTGAAGAGATTTTTTTAATGATTATTATGTTGATTTTTTTATATTTATATTCTTAAATAAAGAAATTGTTAAAATACAATCTTTTTTTACAAATTCTTAAAAATATCACGCCTCTATTCCTTTTCTAAGCTGCTGGACGCTAAATGGTCCAAGGTTGGACGCAATTTGGATTTTGTGGACGCAAAGTGGGTAAAACGTCTAATTCTGAAGTTTATCTATTTATAATGATAATACAAGATTTTTCTAGTAAAAGTGAAAGTTAATCTAAAAATAAACTATATATAATAATATGAATACATTACACAAATTTGTCATAGAAATTAGTGCTGGAGAATTTCTTTTATCGCCGTCAAACTTGTTAACTGCACTAAATGGACGCGAACAGGCGAAACGACCCTACTATAAATAAAAATAGCCCAAATCAGCTTTATTTAATACTGTAACTTTAATTGTTAACCTAACTATGACTTGATAATATGTATCACTTTTATAGCTAAGTATAATTACTTACTCTGTTTATATATATTTATTAAAATATACATTGGTATAAACTACTATAAACAGAGTTATTAAAATCAGTGAAATAAATCAATAATATTTTTTGATTCGCTGTACTGCACATAATATTCTTCTTTGAGTGGCGTCTATTCTAAGATGTTCAATTAACAAAGACCTCTATTAAGTTAATAAATAAATTTTCTAGTTAATCGATTTCGTATTATTAAAAAATATTTATTATAATATTTATTAAAAAAAAACGTGAGTATTGCTAGAAAAAAAGTTAGTAGATTGGTATAACAAATAATGCTTATTTCGAAAAATCGGATGTCTATAAAATATACATTCTAAAGTAAAAAAAATCAATTAATAGTAACCTATTCAAAATATATTTCCAAATTCTTAATCACACATCAATATCATTCGTCTTTTTCTAATTAGAATTTTTGATACTTCAATAAAAATTGTGTTGAGAAGTAACTATAAAGATCTAAATGCACGGAGAAATTAATAATATTTAACTGACATTATATTCCTTTCTCTACCACCAAGCATTGCGCAGTTCGATAACTGGTTTTACGTTATGACATCAATAACAAACTTACCTTAAAAACTAACATTAATAAAATCTTTAAAGCGGTTAAACTCATTTCATACGAAACATATGATTTACAAGTTTAAGAATTAATGGATATGCAACAGGTTATCATCTGTCATAATCCGACAAATACGCGAATAGGATTTCCACTCGTGTTTTGGTTTGCATATAAAACCTCAAGGTGTCCGAGCATGCGCACTTTCAGTTATAAATACGTGGAAAAATATACATTTTCTTATATTAAACCTATTCCTTACCTTTTTCTGACTTGAGAAGATTTGTTTTGTGTTTCCTTTCAGCTTCTTCATATTTATTTTTCCATTTTTCGACATAAGTTGACAGCGCAATGTTCGCTTCTTTGGTGTTTTGGTGCGCGTCAGGCGGCGTCATCCTGACGGTAGTGGCTCGCGGAATCCTCGTGGCCGCGCCGTTGCTAGGACAGAGCGAGACAGCGCTCCGTACGCCTTGACACTGATTGTTGTTCGACGCGATCGCAAATACATTATCACTGTTCCTTTTAATCATTTTTGCATTAAATTTTTATTATACGTTCGTGTATATGGCTCGCATCGTCTCCTTTGCACGTATGCACTGTTCTGGATAACACGTGTTTAGATCAACAGGCTGGTGCGTCAGAAAGTGTTAACGTTCTTACAAATAAATTCTCTTTGTTCTTGCTGTTGAGGAAAACGTATCTAATAGGTGTGCGGCGTTTTAATGTATGTTACGGGCACTTGTTCTGAATTATAAAACACGAAAATTCCAAGAAGAATAATAAAAAAATATGGTTCACGAAAGAAATCTACTAACAACGTATACAATATTTAACAGCCAGTGTTAGATTGTAACTAACATCAGTAAGGTATGCCTGGTACAGTGATATGATAATGAGGAGTTCGTCATCGTGAGTCATTTCGTTTGGTGTTTACGCTTACTGTTTACATTCAATAAATCGTGTTATGTTACCCATTTCGTCATACCACACCTAATAGCCCTGTTTAGATTTAGTTAGAATTTGTTAGTGCATGTTCCGTGTAGATTTGATAAGCTATCAATTATAGCCAATAATTTTAGTGACAATTATTTTATTATCTACACATTGGTTCTATTTACATTACTTCATGTTAATTCATAGAAAAAAACAGGAACTATATTACGCAGGTTCTGTTTATTTTCTTTATTATAGTATACCGATAGGTATTATTTATAGATACTAAGTTAGATATTAACAATAATTTATGCAGCATTAGTAATAAATGTAATAGTTATGTGTATCAAATAGTAGTGCTATTAATATTTATAAAACTGAATAACTTTCTGTACTTATTTGGTCACGTATTCATGTTTTGAATGAAAGGTTCAAAATTTTGTTACGATTTACACTAAAATGAAGAAAGTTCTTAAATTTCATTAATAATATCACAGGTTTCGGATTCAAATACCTATCTGCCCTTTAGGTACGTCTAACTTTCTACTTATAAACAAAAGAATCGTTCTCTTCAACTAACCATATAATTTATATTGGATACCTAAATTCCATTTATTGGGCAAAATTAAAATACTAAGTAATTACGAAGATATTTTGGGACATAATTGTTCAGTATCGTCCAGAATAAAATACCTATTACATAAAACACTATAAACAAAATGATAATATTCACCATTTAACGCTGATCTATTGTGGGATAACTTAGGCAATAAGTACATATAAAACAAATCACTCAAACAAACCACAATTCCGCGAGAGAATCAAAGACACAAGTACATGTCAAAGTCCACGAGTAAAACGCACTGAATACATTTTGTCCAAGTAGGGTCGAACAGAAATTCTAAATTTAAACTATTTCCAGTGAAACGACCTACCAAACAGAGACTTGCCTATGGAGTAAGTAAAGACAAGATCACAAGACTGGCGTGTCGTGTGGGCAGCCACGAGTTCCAAATGGTGCAAGTTGTAAAGTAATTTAATTGTCAGGACGACAACACGATGCATTAATCTCTCTAGCCAAGAGACTGTGTTTATAGTAACTAGTCCAGTATCTAAGAAAGTCAAATGATTTTTGCATAATTTTTATGAACTATTGGAGCCTTGTACTGAATAATTCGTTCCATCCGTCAGATCAGATTCTGAATATTTTTGGCAATGATTGAAATTTAAAAAAGTCCTAAAAACGTTTGCAAAGACTAAAATAGTTGATATTAGAGTGGATAATGTCACAATTTTGATGTGTCAGAACGGCGAAATCGTTGCGGATAGATTCCTTTTACATATTTAATTCACAAAGGCCTTCTATCTTCTACTTTGCATTGAATATTCATCTAAATAGATTTTATATATTTCTACCTAAATAATCAAACTCCTTAGCGTGTATCCTGTAGGTACATGTATAACATTTTTCGTTTATTGAGATCTTAATATTTTACATAAAAAAATTGTAGGTTTACAAATTCGACAGCGTTTTCCATATTTAGAAAATAGGGTCAGTGTTAACCAACAGTGGTTTCTACAAGGCAATCCGTTTGGCAGTTAAATAGCCAACACTACACCTACTTTGTAAATTTCAGTATAAACTTAACATTCTCTACTCAAGATTATTTCGACGTTTTTAGTCTCTAAGTAGTATTTTGTTATAGGCAATAGAAACTTTATAAAGTTGAAGGTATTGAAGTTATCTACATTGTATGAAGGCGAAATAATTCCATTACGAAATAAATTCAATGGTGTAAATTTTATCACGTAATAATAATTCAGTATTTAGTTCCCTGCATAAAACAATTATTAAACGTACTATTTTCCTACATAAATTATACATGTTTAGGTTTATTCACAAAGAACAACTCATTCAGTAACAATCTGAGAATTGGAAAAAGAAAAAGCATTATTCTTCCATGTGTTTAAAATATTTCTTACATCCGTCTACATCTGTGCCAGAAATGTATTTGGTGTTATAATTTTTATGAGCGAATAAAGTGTGATCTTGAGATCGTTCACCTCAAGAGATGCAATCTATTTCTGTAACGCGTTGTTATCCTTATTACGGACTGTTTCTACGTCTCTAGTTCTGTGAACACTATGAGATAACCGATTATTCAATAAATGTAACTGTAATGATATATTTCATATGGTACTATAACGTAAGTTATGCAACATGTCGATCGCAACGTAAATTGATAATTAAAAAAATAGGCTTGTATCTATAAATATAATATATTGACTTATACATTTTATCAACCAGCAAATTAATAAACTATTAAGTCTAATGTAGAGCAATAAACTGTAAGTAAGAAATAAAATTCGTACTATCTCAATTAATAATATTACAGTCCATCCAGACATCCACATTCCGAGCTCCCACATGTCTGTCACTCTTTCGAATACTAGGTACAATGTGCGTGGGTGCCTAAACAGGACTGTTTGCGAGTTTATTGCAAAAGTTCGTAATGACATAAACCACAACCTGATGTAGGTGTTACTTAAGTCTCGATAATATGTATTGTACGGTCATTGATAATCCAATAATAATATATGCAACTTTCGCCATATCGCCCACGCATTTTATCAAAACATTTATTTGCTTACCTTATTATTATAATTCATATAAACATTATAATGATAATTCAATAACAATTATGCTTAATTAATTGTGAGCATTTTTATTTAAGCAGACATACTCTCACTATCTAGATTTAGAAAACACGTGCGAATTCATACTCATAAAATATAATTAACTGATACAATTGTATATGGAACTTGTTTTTGTTTCTTATGTTTACATGTAATTTCTGTTGATGATTTACTTGAAACTTTAGCTTGTTCTTTCTTATTGTTTTAAATTATATCAGTTTTACTAATTAACTGCTGAACAGATAGAATTTTATATATCTTTAGTATTGGTACGTAAAACATAATCTGTTATCTCTATCATTGAATTTATTTTTTGCATCGTAAACAAAATTAATGATACTAAAAATGAAATCAATGTTTTAAATCCCAATGACCAGAAAAAGGATGTATAATAATAATTTATTCTAAAATTTAATTGCAACTTGTTATCACAATTTTTCTTTCTAAAAGTTCAGAGACAGCTAGACACGAATAACATTAACGCATAGTATTAAATTTATGGCATCAATTAGAATGATATACGTCCATAAGAATTGTATATTCAAAGATTCATGGACATGTTGAGGCGTCTAATAATAAAAAAATAATACTAAATATGATTAGAGGAATCATGTAGGTATACGAATATTAAATACCACATTAAAGGCGAAATAAAAATTTTCAAATTAACGTATGTTGGTTTAATTCCAAAATTAAGATCTAATTAGTATCTTAATTAATATATACTACTTATCAGAACAAAACATGAGTCACAAGAAAATGCATGTTTTTATGCAGTTGGAATTAATATTGACTATAAATTGAATATCTACTATATAAAATATATATTTAGGTACCTACTCCGTTTACATATAAAGTCACCAAAAAGGTTTAATTTTAAACTTAGGCGTGAAGCGTGAATAAGCACTAGGATTTCGTTGAAAAATTTATATTGAATGATCGTATTGTGAGGTATATTCATGATTGATTCATGAAGTATGAGTACATTCCAGGAATGTATCTCTTTATCTACGTCAATGAGTATATATTTTTTATTAATAATACTGAAATGCAACACTCGCTTGCTATTATAGTGTATGCTGGCAGGACATCCTTGGGTTGTATTAAAGAGGAGCATCATTGTCAGATCTGATCAGACCGTGTAGTGGTGAAATGCCAGGAATTAACCACGACGTTTTCTAGGGAAGAACCTCCGCTTGGAAACCTCCAACTGCTTGTAATATTACATTGCTAGTCATGGCGTAGACCCCGTTATTAACAATTCCTTCTCCCCAAATGAGGCCACTTAATTGTTATGGTAAATTATTTTATATGTTATATTATAAATATATAATATACCCGATATCTAATAAGATATATGATTTATAAATACTTCAATTTAATTTTTTTAATTAGACAGTATCCGCTCACATGTGTTAATTAGGTACTTTTTTAATTTAGACAAAATATGACAATATAAGCTATACATATATGGCTAAAATTCTATTTAACTTTCAAATAATTAAAAATCTAAACTAAACTTTACTGGTTCATACTATACATGACATGTGTACAGTGTGATTATAAAAGACGTAGGTACCTACTGCTTTATTTTCATTGTGCGTCAGTACATGAATCATACTTACAGCGCTTAATGACCGCATTTCATCAACGACAAATTAAAAATCATATTTAATGTATAAATACAAGTTGTTATAAAACTAAATATACACTAGTGTATTCTATCCTCTTAGTATTCATTTATTATAATATACTATATACTATATTAAGATATAGTGAGTAAGCCTATTGTCATGTTATTGCAATACTATTTTATCTGCCCTATTTTCTATTCCTATTATATAGACTTTTCATTATGCTAATAACAGTGAACAATCATTGTTGTTTACTATATATATTTAATTTTTACAATGGTCGTTGTTTAATTTGTTCATCCTTTATTTTTTAACCTTTTAATTTTGTTTACTTTATTACTCTAGTTAGCAGTGACATCTGTTATGTACCTAACATAAAAAAGAAACTGACTCGACTTAGTTGCTAATGGTGTTGCATGTACTTGCTATCTGTGCCGGTAGATGGCGCTTTTAATTAAATATATTTTGTTTCTGTAGAAAACACACTGCTTTCTATGGAGATGGAGCTGCTGTCTTATTAGTTATTAGGAATCAATGATTATAGCTTGCCTGGCATATTCGTATTCGTGACATGTAGGTATAATAGGTAAGCAAAGGAAATTTTCCGTT